TTTGGGGTTCCTGATTATTATTTCCAGGGGTTTTTTGTTTTTTCTTTCCTTTTTTTTTCCGGGTGTGTGTGCTGGCGATAGGCTATTGGTTTTTGCTTTCCGTGTGGCTCTATAGTTCTATACCGAGTTCTAATAGAGGTCGCTTGGATGCAAGTCTATAACAAAAGACAGAAAAAGAAGAAACAATTGATGTTGTTGTTATCGTGTTGATGATATCTGAATAATGAACCAAACAAAAATCATCACGACAGCGTCATTCCCTTATATATCCATCCTAACCAAGGAAAGAAGAGAAAATCTCTTCCGACGCTGCATCTCCATTCTGTTTAGAACGTCTCCGCGCATCAAACGCCGCGGCCTCTTTCAGCCTCTTTTGCGCTTACCACCAAAGGCCACACGCAGCCAATGCCATGGCGGCCATTAACCAGCCCCGGAGATCCGGAGACGCTGGATTCACGCCGCGCCCGGGCTCTTTATAAGAAACCTCTTCGGAGGACCCTTTTTTTTTGGTCCCTGGATTTTTTGCATTGCGCATGACGGGTCGCTTTGCTGGCTCCACTGCGGACTCGGGTGGGCTGATTTGGAAAAAGCAAGGACGGGACCGGAGCGGCGTATATGGGAATAATCGGAATGGCTGGTCGTATGGAAGACGGTCCTTTTTGGTGTACTAATTTGGAATTCTTGCTTGGTTATACGAGGACTTGCTAGTTGAGTGACCTAGGTAGTCCCCGGTTGAGAGCTGAACTAAAAGAGAACGGGCACAGTGGTGCGATCCGGTCTTGCGGCAAAAAGAGAAGAAAGAATAGACGCAACAAGAGTCATTGATCATACGAGTTTTTCGTCAGGCGTGATGAGTATTTGGGTTGGAGCATATCCGCGGAGAATTGAGGTTTCTGTTTCTATTGCTCTTTAGATTTTTTTTTGGCGTTTGAGGGTATCTTGATTTGCCTTTCTGACGTGATGTGACGGATGAGCCCATGTTTAGTTATTGCTTGATCACGGCCGGTAATGGGAGTGCGGATATTTTCGCTGTACTTTTTGGCTCCTCTTTCTGCCTCTTCTTTCTTTTTTATTCTTGCTTTGTATACGTTCTTATTCTAGCTTGCAGTGTTTCTTTTCTTTTTGGGGAGTTGATTGTATATCCTGCACGTACTATTCAACTGTTGTCCCGTAACTCTCTACTCTCTGCATTGTAAACTCTCTTCAACTATCATGCAAGTGCGCATCCTGATTTCTTCGGTATGACGTTGTCCCACCATTCAACGGCTGTATGACCGGGCGAGCCATTGACCCCGTACTTTATGCGTCTCTACAAGCCATGGAAATTCATGTCCTTGATGTTATCAGCCTTCAAGTGGGCCTCTTTGAGCCCTAGCTGAAGCATTGCTTTCGATGTGATCAATTAGAATCCTGGTTTGCGGTAGTACAGGGTATGCAGGCATGGAGTATCGGTTAGGCCTCAGATTCGAGCTTGTAAGCTCACGATCAGCACTCTTTTGGCCGCTATCAGTTGGCATCTTTCAGTCGTAAAAAAGTTCAAAAAAGAGAGATCCAATAGAGAATACTTTTTGTCAATACAGCATCAATGCAACATCGATAGGCACTCTTTTTGCTGGCAGCACTGCTGATATAACAAATGATGGCCGTGATCCCGATGCGTCAAGCTTGCCCACTGATAAGCTGATAAAGCTCCTGCTTAGTCATCGGCGGAACTGGGGAAAGGTGGCCGTTGACGACATCCAGCCCACCGAAGCTGCCCCAAACGAGGCATCCAGCTATGAACACCACATAAGCTGCCAAAATGCGACGCTCACTGCAATCGGCCCTGCTGCTGGGCCTGTCGTCGCTCGTGGCAGCTGTCTACAAGGACGAGGTTGGCCAGATCGACTTCCACCACGCCCTCGTCGGCCTGCCCCAGAGCGAGACCACCTTCTTCCACCGGCCCAAGAAGGACGAGAAGGCGAGCCTTCTATATACACTCAGCGATGTGGGAGTCCTGGGCGCCGTGAACCCCAATTCGGGCGCTCTTGTTTGGCGCCAGCAGATTTTCCCCGGCATCTCCCGTGGCGGCGGCCACCTGAGGGCCCCCGAGGGCGAGAACTGGATAATTGCTGCACACGGCCAGCAGGTCCAGTCGTGGGCTGCGCTGAGCGGACGGAACCTGTGGCAGACCGAGTTCAGTGGCCAGGTCAAGGATCTAGAGGTCATGGAGCTGACCGAGAGCGCGAGAAAGGACGTCCTCGTCTTGTTCGAGGAGGATGGCGTCACGGTTCTGCGCAGGCTGCACGGCGTTTTGGGCTCCGTGGTTTGGGAGTTCCGCGAGGTCTCCAAGGATATCCCTCTCCAAGTGTCCACCAGCCTCTCCAATGTCTACGTCATCGGCCTCCACGGATCTCCCTCTTCGTACAGCTTGAAAGTCACCTCGTTGGAGCCCGCCACGGGAGGACGGGTTGACCACTGGACGGTTGGCACCAAGGGCGACGTCCAAGGACCGCAGGATGTCATGTTTGTCGGCGCAAACTCGGCTGCTCCAATTCTGGCATGGGCCAGCAACGATCTGGCCAAGCTCAATGTTCACATCCTGGGCACAAAGTCCAAGCAAGACTTTGCGCTTCCCGCGGACACCGTCTCTGTCGAGATTCACGCCCCGCACTTGACCCAGTCTCAGCCTCACTTTCTGGTTCACACCCGTACCACCACTGGCAACAAGGGCGAGGTCTTCCATACCAACTTAAAGTCTGGCCAGATCACCAAGGCTTATGAGCTTCCCCTGCTCCCTGGACTTGGCGCGTTCTCTACCAGCTCCGAAGGCGCCAATGTCTACTTTACCCGCGTTACCAACGACGAAGTCCTCGTTGTTTCCTCCGACTCTCACAGTGTCTTGGCTCGTGATGCTCTCAAGTCCGACGCCCGCGTTGAGGCCGTTCACGCTGTTTCCGAGGTCATCAAGAAGGCCGGCGGCAAGGAGTTTGCTATCCGATCTGCCACCGTCACCAAGTCTCAGGACTGGGTGCTGATCCGAAACGGTCAAGTCGACTGGACTCGCTCCGAGGGCCTCAGCGGCGCCGTTTCCGCGGCCTGGGCTGAGATCCCCGAGGCCGAGAACTTGGCCAAGGTACTAGCCGAGGAGGCACACACCAACCCATTGGACGCCTACATCCACCGCCTTACTCGCCACGTCAACGATCTCCAGTATCTTCCCGACTACCTTGCTACTATCCCAACTCGAATCATTGAGAGCGTTACTGGTGGCGCTGTTGCGCTGTCCAAGACTACAGGTCTTCACCGTGACTCGTTTGGCTTCAACAAGATCATCATCCTCGCCACCCGCCGTGGTCGATTCTATGCCCTAGACACCGGAAACCATGGCGAAATTGTTTGGTCCGCCGATGTGTTCCCTCAAGCTCCCGGCTCTGCACTGGATGTGAAGGGCATCTTGGTCAATGACTCTGAAGGCACGGTCACAGTTCGCGGCGCCAACGGCGAGTATGCTGTTATCAAAGTGGCTGATGGACAAGTTGTCGAGTCTCAATCCGGCAACGACTTGGCTGCCGTCTCTGCTACCGCCGTAATCGAGAGCGAGGGTAGCAAATGGCTACTTCCACTTGGACAGGACAGAAAGCCAACTGGCGATGCCCTGAAGGATCTCACTCTTGACCAGACAATTGTCATCCGAGAGGACGACGATTCCATCAAGGGAGTCAAATTCGTCAACCAAGATGGCGAAATTGTCAAAAACGAGATTTGGCAGCTCCAGCTGCTCCCTGGCCAGAAGATTGCCAGCATTGCCAAGACACCTGCTCATGACCCAATTGCCTCCATCGGCCGTGTGTTGGGAGACCGAAGCGTCAACTACAAGTACCTGAACCCCAATGTCGTTGTCATTGCTGCCATCGACACCGCTGCTTCGGCACTTTCCGTCCATCTCTTAGACACGGTTACCGGCCAACTGCTTGCATCCCAAGTCCACGAGGGTGTGGATGGCGACAAGGATATCTCATGTACACTGTCGGAGAACTGGTACAGCTGTGCCTTCTTCGGGCAGTATACTCTTAACGATGGCACGGACCGCGACATCAAGGGATACCAGGTTGTCGTGTCCGACTTGTACGAGTCCCCCTCGGCCAACGACCGTGGTCCTTTGGGTGATGCGGAAACATTTTCACCCCTGGATCCCGTCGATACCCCAACCGGCGTGCCTCTCCCGTGGGTTGTCTCCCAGACATGGATCCTGTCGGAGCCTCTGAACAACTTGAGCGTTACCCAGACGCGTCAAGGTATTAGCAGCCGACAGCTACTGGCTTACCTGCCCGAGTCTCACGCTATCCTCGGCATCACTCGCCATGGTATAGACCCTCGTCGACCCGTTGGCAGAGACCCGTCTGCGGCAGAGATTGAGGCCGAGGGCCTCGCCAGGTATACGCCTGCCATTTACATTGATGGGCGAAATCTGCTTAGCCACGAGCGGGACGTTGTTGGTGTTAGAGGCATTGTGACCACGCCGGCCGTGGTTGAGAGCACGAGTTTGTTGGTGGCATATGGTATTGACATCTTTGGATCTCAGATTTCGCCGAGCGGCCAGTTTGATATTCTGGACAAGGGATTCAACAAGGTTACTTTGCTTACTACCGTACTGGCGCTCACTTGGGGAGTCGTGCTGTTGGCACCTATGGTATGTTTACTCCCTTTTCGTAGCCACAAAGTCTTGGGGACGATAACTGACTCGTTACGCAGGTTCGAAGAAAGCAGATCAATCGGATGTGGGAATCATTTTTGTAAGAAAGGAACGCGACGATGTGATGGAGAGGATAAATCACGGATACCACATGCTGGATTTATAATTAGGTGGCGCGCGTGCATTTACTTTGGGGGCCTGCGCTTTAATGTATATGAACAATGAAAGAAATGGATGGCATTTTGGATGACAAGTTTTGAATGAAGCTCTATTTGTTTTGCTTTGGTCTATTCATCGCTCGCTCTAACTAATGTCACTACCACGCCTAGGCCTCGGGCCAGTTACCGGTGAAGGCGATGCAGCTCCCGTTGGCACTCTGGCCGATGCCATCCTCGCTCAAGAACGCCACGTATCGTGCTACATTGTCGACTGGCACGTTGTTCATCTGGGGATGCGCCGCCTTGACGGCCTTGAAGCCATCGACGTTCATGCCCGCGGCGAAGGCATCGCTGATGTTGGTCTCGTTCATGCCGCCCGGCTGCAGCGCAACCGAGTAGATGCCCTTGGGGCCATAGAAGCCCGCCGTGTGCTTGGTCAGCGCAACGAGCCCGTGCTTGGACGCAGTGTAAGCTGCGCCAGCAGTGAGGCCCGAGAAGGAGGCCGTGGAGCCGATGTTGATGATGAGGCTGCCTGGCTTGCCGGCTTCCTCTACGCTGGCCTGCAGGTGCGGCAGGGCGTACTTTGTGACGAGGAAGGATCCGGTGAGGTTGACGGCGAGGATGTTATCCCACGTTTTCTTGTCGCAGTCGCCGATGGGGTCGAACTTGTCCATGATGCCGGCGTTGTTGATGACGATGTCGAGGCGGCCGAAGTGGGCTACGGACTGTTCGATCAGGACCTTGACGGACTCTTCGTCGGCGACGTTGGCCCCGAGGGCGAGGACGCGGTCGGAAGAATGTTTGTCTGAGAGCTCGGATTTGGTGGTGGCGAGGCGGGATGGGTTGATGTCGCAGATGGTGACGCTGGCGCCACGGGAGAGGAGGGCTTCGGCGATGGCGCGGCCAAGACCGGCCGCGGAGCCGGTGACGAGGATGACTTTGGAGGTGAGAGACATGATTTATACTGTGGTGAAGAAGATGATAAAAGATGACAGAGTACAGAAGGAGTATGGGAGGGATGAGAGAGGGTATATATGGTGTGTGTATCAACGGTTACACACAAAACCAATACTGGCGATCCCCCCCCTTCATATACACAACCCAGCCCGCGGTCTTCCAGTTCTCCGTTTCCCGCCCGGCCAGTTTCTGCCTGCCAGCCTCGTCGAAAGAGGATCGAACAGGCAAATCCGGCTCCCGCCCTGCCTTGCTCTTCTACCGCGCATGTGAGGCCTCGCCTCGCCTCACCACATCGCCCGCAAGGGAAAATACGCGTATACATGTTGGTTTCGGAAGCCAAGCGCAACGAAGCCACCCCCAATATTGGCTTCAGCCGCAGTGGCGGCATCGGGAGGATTGTCCGACGCTGCGGGCGATGACCAGCTGAGAACTGGGATGACTATTATTCTTTCTAGCTGTGTTTGGGGGTATTATCGCATGTGACTGCTTATTTTTTTTGACCCGGTCATGGGCATATTTTACTCTTGGATCTTTCTGATTACGCTCTGATTCCATCGCAGCCGGAGTCGAGAGAGAGATTGTTACTGTGTGGAGTTTTGGGGGGATTCTTTTGGGTGAGATGCCGCCTTTTGCGGGAAAATTACCGTATTAGGCATTTCATACATGTTGCAACTTGGAGCGACAGGTTGGAGATGCGAATACGACTCGCGGCGAAGACTTGAGATTGCGAGTTTGTCCTCAGTCGTATACGAAATACGTGTATAGGATATCGAGCTACGGAAGGAATACGCGTATTTACTACTCCACAGAGCGGCTCGAGGCGGGTCGATGGCCTGGGGAGTTTCAATGCCCTGGTTAGATGGGACGATCAGGGGGCAAGCGTGAGGGGCATGTTCGGAAGCCATGGACGGTGATTCCGAATAGGAACAATGAGTAATGAGATACAGCAGTTTGACATGAACTTTTGACAGTTGTGTGTGGTGAACCTGTCAGCGTGGTTAATAAGCGGAGGAGATTGCTACAAGAAGAGGCATAGGATGACATGGAAGTTGCATGGGTTGCGTGGACTCTTCGGATTCTAGACGAGAATATTCTTGATGGCGTTTAGAGTGTTGCATTCTGAACTGATTATATGCCATATGAGCGATTTTCTTTTTTTAAATTTACATCTCCTAACTTGGCTTACATTAACGGTCTTGAACACAAAGACTATTATTACTATCTAATCTTAAGCTATAGGCTTGTCAGCGAATTCCAAGCTCTCACCCGATATATCGTCAACTAAACTCCGTATGTCACGCTCAGGGGGTGATACAATACGTGATGTTGCTCTACCCGACTCGACTGCCATCTTTCTGCCATCTCCTCTGGACGTGTGCTCTTCCCAGAATTCCAAGGCGAGGCACACACACTCATCACCGGGAGCGCCTCTAATGTAGACGGCGTACTGTATCCACGTTGGCTTGTACATATTCACCCATCATACTGAGCGCTGCATCAAATACCTCTACTGGGTCGACAGCGTCTCTCGTACTTCGAATATATGCCCGTCACAAGTCTCTTGGGGCACGCTTGTATGTCTAGCAATAGACAGAGCTGTGTTGAACATTTTATCAGAGCCACGGGCTCCCAGATGCCGCCAAAGTTGGGTCATTGAGTAGGCCTGATGCTTCGAGGTTTGTATAAACTCTTCATGAGCGTTCTTCAAAACGTTCAAAATAACGCAGTCGTCATCTAGCTGAACTTGACTTGGCATTAGATAGGATAGAGGGCCCATCATCTCGTCAACTCCATCGACTGGAACATCTCGCGCCGAGACAATGTTACCGAAGCAGGGAGCTCGCGATCCCGTCCAGCGCCTCAGCACAAGGGCCCAAGCAACTTGTAGGATGTTTGCTAGGGAGACTTGTCGCTCTGCACAGGATTTTGTGATTTTCTCCGCGTCTAGGCCAGGAACATCGATGCTGAAAGTGCCCCGCGAGTCGATTGCGGGCTGTGTCGAGGCAGGCAGGAAGCAAGGTTCAATGCCATCCATATAATTCGCCCAGTGGTGGCGACTCTGTTCATGTTCGTGAGACTGTGTCATGACATACTGGAGAAATCTTGAATACGGTGGACAATGAGCTTCAAGGCGATTGTCATACGCAAGCTGGAAGTCTCGGACAAGGGTGTCGAAAGAATGGCCATCTGCAAGGGCGTGGTTGAACTGAAAACGGAGATGGGCGCGCGTCGCGTCCGTCTGATGGACCGACAGGTGGTGTTGTAGGCCGGAATCAGAGAATGAGGCGCCCGTCAGTTGTTTGCTTGTTGCCGAGTGTTTGAGTTCTTGCTGAAAGAGGGAAATACTTGGAACTGGATCCTTGAGAACGATCTGGTATGATCCGCCTTCTTCTGGAGATCTACATACAAACACGGCACGCAGTAAGCTATGGCGCCGTACAACGGCTTGCCATGCTTGCTGGATTCGTTGGAAATCGACCGAGTCGTTGTCTCTCGATCTGATCTCCGAGCCAAGACGCTTGTTCAAGTTTATCAACCACCTGGGTCGCATACTTGGGGCTGTATTGATCAGGGATACTGTCTGTCGACACGGGAATCATTTGGACTCCAGTGCGAGCGCAGAGGTCATGGGGAAACACGAGGTAAGTCGAGGTAAGAACCATGACGGCTTCGCCCGGCTCACAAAAGTTGAACGATATCATGTCGACGAGCGCGGGGACGCCGTTGGTCGTTAGAGTATCCCCTGCCTGGACGGCCGTGGCCGGTGCAAAGCGGCGGTTGATGAACTGGGCGACAGCCTGCGAGAGTTCTGTAAGCCAGCCATCAGCGACTCTTCTTCAGCTCTGTTAGTTGCTTGGGCACATGTATAAAACCATCCCTGTGTGCCGGGAACCCCTTACCCTTGGGGCCGTTCACCGGCCCGTATAGAAGAGCTAGCGAGAGTTGGTTAACATCTACACATGTGGAGTTGTGTCCGAGTTGCAGGATTGGCAAACCATTTTCGACAGTATAGCCTTGCACAAACTTGCCCATATGCTTCCCCATCAAGTCTCCGACGAGCATGTTTGTGGCACCAGACAGGTCTATGAGACCGTCAGGGCATGTCTTCGGATCGTAAGAGGGAAGATGGGACATCTTGTCTTCCAAGTCGGCGGGTGACTCCGACTCGAGGTTGGCCAGCGCCCTCTTAGACGGCTTGATGGCGTTTTCCATTGCAGAATTTGATTAATACTCTGGTAGAGAATTTCTGATAGCTATGCAACCTCACCATGCTGGGAATGAGCGTCTTATCCGAATATCAACAGTCGTTGGTTGAGTGTGCATAGATAAAGTCCCGCCTGTTCCCCACGATGTTCGTCGTTCTCGACAACCTTGTTCGTCTTCGTTTTCCGCTAACGAGCGTTTTGGACTCCAGATGGTCAGGTCAACCAATTACATGTAAGTAAGTCAGACTCCAACCCCGTGGGGAATGACCCTGGTTCGTCTATGGAAAGCCGTATCGAGTTTGCGATAAGTGAAAGCTCAACGACTACCCAAATCCCTGAGGCAAGGGATAAAGAGATCAACTGACTGCAGATGCACGTTGATATTCTTCTTTTCTATATTCCCGGCGATCTTGTACTGCATTATATATCCTTGGTACAATCCGGCATGAACCACAACAAGAGTCTCCAGACCTTCATCACAGTGTACTCTTAGAACGGCCAATCAGTATCATACTTTGAACCTCTGTCGTTTCGCCCGGGGGTTTTTGTCCCTGCAAAAGCATGCGAATGATGTTTTTGTAGGTACCTGAAGTGAAGACATCAAATATCAAGCAGAAATGGCCAACATGTTACCAGGATGTCATTTCCACTGTACATGTTTGCAAAGCGGTGTTATGATATGGATGCTAAGCCCATGATTTCCCAAAGCCAACGAAGTAAAACACGGACGGATCTCAAACGCTTCTTTTTTTAATGCTCGTCGTTGACAGCTTCCAGAACCGGACAGGTTTAACCCACTATCAGTCTCGCTCCGCATCATCTATCTTTGATATAGCAGTCGCGTTTGGCGCTGACATTAATGTATCCGTATAACAACAAATTGTTCCCAATCTTTCTCGGGTTCGATGTCACGCAGCCCAATCCTGTAAAGAATCTCGTTGTCCACCCCGACTTGGCTGGTAAGATATGCGATTGTGTCCGACCTGGCCTGCCTCCAGCTCTCCATATGTCTTTTATCGCTAAAGTACAGCTTCTTGGGGCATCTGCTCTGGCCAAGACACTCAATTGCCCGTTCCCTGCCAGTAACACCAATCATCATCTTTAGGAAATCTTTGAATCCATAAAATGCAGCGGTAGCAAGTGCACTCCCATGTTCTCCTCGGTTATTTATGGCCGCGGGATCCGCGCCAGCTTCCAGCAAGAGCGCCAACGACTGTATGTTCTCAGCCAGGTTATCTTCAAAATACCATTCGAAAGCACTGGCAACGACCGCTTCCAGTGCGCTGACGTACTTGCCGCCTTTCATGGGATGGTTGGGATCTGCGCCATGGCCGAGAAGCAACTGGATCTTTTCCAAGTATTCGAAGCATCTCGATGTAGTTGCCGCTGCAACAAGGGCACTGCCGTAATCGCCACACTCCACGGCGGCATTCACGTCAGCTCCAGCTTTGAGCAGAATCTCGATCGACTTGACGTGGTCACTGGTTGCCGCCGCGATGAGGACATTGCCATAACGTTTGCCGCCCTCCCTGTTTATGTCGATCCAGCCTTGGTCCATGAGCCACTGCAGCATGTCGGTGCGCCAAAGCCTGGCCGCGAACTGTGCAGCTGTTTCATCGCAGTAGCAGACATTGACATCGGCGTTTGCCTCCTCTATCAAGAAGGAGACAACGTCCTGATTACTCCCCTCTATCGCCTGCTCCATAGCCCGGCAATGTCCTTGAGCAAGAGGATTGTTCAGACCAATGACTCCCACCAAGTATCTGCAAATTGGCAGGCATCTGCCTCGAGCTGCCAGTGCAAGAGAATCATAGCCAGGGTACGATGCGCATTTCCTGAGCGCCATTTCCTCATCGATTCTGCCGTCCTCCCACCAGTCACGCAAAACGTGGTAAAATCCGAAGCGACACATGACGAACAAGGTCATGCTTTCAGGCGTCAGTTCCAGATAATACGGGGCATGGATTTCCTTCAACCAAGTCCGATAGTGATCGCCACTCTCTTCTACAGACCCGAGAAAGTGCTTCAGAGTGGTGACGAGCTTTTGGTCTGGCTCTGCGCCCTCCGTTGATCCCAGCCATGCATCATATCGCTGAACGTGTCGGGGCCATGTATGTGAGATGTATCCCTCGAAAGTGTCAAAATGATTGCCATTCCGTTCAATATGAGAAGAATGAAATTCAGATCCCATCAGAAAGCTGAGCGATGTGATGGAAGCAAACACATCGCATTTTCCTGGCGTCAAATTCCTAGACTCGAAATATTCTGCCACTGAGGCATGTGGTAGCGTCCATATCCCTCTCTCTGCATCAATCGTCAGAAGGTCTTGGCAAAGCAACAGGATTTCTTCTTCAGATTGCTTTTCTTTTCGTACCAGTGCGTCTCCTTCTAGGGAATATCGGACGGCTTCTAGGAGAATATCGGATTTGAGTGGCTCAAATGCACACAACACCCACTGAACAGCACGCTCAGCCAATGCTACGTCGTCTTCAGTATGCTGCTCTCGTATATTCTCCCACAACTGATCGTATGCAGCCATCAAATCGTGAGGTATTGTTCTGGCCCATGCCTTGACTGCGTCATCTGAGATGCATTTCAGCAGGCTTTTGACCTGTAAATAGACCCATCGGAACCTAAGTCAATAGATCATCTTGATTAGAAGTGTGACAATAGGGTAGATAAGTAGCTGTTCGGCTTACATTCCGTCATTGCGAGATCTAAACGTCTCTTTAATTATTTCCTGGATTTCCGCTTTGCACCTGTTGAAAATTGATTGAGAGCATAGTGTTTCGTCAAGATATTTCTCAATGTCGCCTTTCTGATTGTCACTACTGACTGTGATTATGCACTTGTCTTCAAAAACCTTTAAATACTGTCGATCTGGACGACTTGAGATGAAGACTTTGACCGGTTTTGTAGCTTGTTCCATCAACTCAATAAAAATCTCTGCCAAGTTATACATTGAGATTTCGGATTCATCTAGAGCATCAAGAATGAACGTTGTTTTTGAATAGAGGTTTAGAGAGGCCGTGATTAGCTTTTTGCATTCTTTATAGCCCAGGTCTCGCCCTTCTCGTTTTGCTAATTCGCATTTCTGGATGACGCTGGTTTGGATGCGGTCGTAGTGGGACGCTTTGTAAGATAATTGGCGGACAAAACTCCTAAGAACGACGAGAGGGTCCAACATCAAGGGACCAGATCGGCTGCAATAAAAGAAAGCAAAACCTTCATCATGAGCCGATGTTTCCAAGGTTTGCTTTATATGATCAATTACCCTGGAGGTAAGGTATGTTTTACCAGTACCGACTAAACCGTGTTAGAAATAGAAACGTATAGAATGATTGGATATTCAGGAGGGGTTTTACCGGTTCCTTTGAGACACAAGAGTGTCGAAGACGAGCGTACCGCTTGCCAATCGCGAAATCTCTCGTGGTTTATCAACCAATCTCCGGTCCCTTCTATTCTTGTTTCTTTGATAGTAATGTGGTCCTTGCCAAACTTTTCTGAGCTAATAAAGTCCATAAGTCTCTCCAGTCGGTCCTGTTCAACCACTTCTAGAACATTATCGACCCCCTTATCAATCCGAGTAAGGGGTGTCGATAGTTCACCGAGGCTCGTGAATAAGGCTTCTATTCTTCCATCCATGGTTTCACCAGCTTGAGCGCTACGAGAGGCCTCACAAACTTGAGCTTCTAGTAGAACCTTTTGCTCTTTCATCCACAACTCAGAAATAAGGCCTGAAGCCTTGTTGGGTCGAAGAATGGCGTTTAACGTTTGCGTGGTTAATCCACCTTTAACCAAGACAGCAGATCGGGATAGTAGCTCTATTGCTGTAGTATATAAATCTCGTAGGGCGTCGCGCAAGTTTGATAAAGCGTCTTTATGTGTCGTTGTTGCGGTATATAAATGCTCGTATACCTGACCCCGGTGGACAATACGAGTAAACAACTCAACTATTCCAGCAAGTGTTGCGATTTGCTCAATGTGTGTAACCGGAATCTATTATAATGAAGTTAGTAAGTTAGATAATAATAGATTCGTAGACAATTAGCTTACGCTCAACACTGCCTTTGCTGCAGCCCATGGTGCCCTGGCTTGAGTTGGCGAAAAACTGATGACAAAGTCACCGGCCACTGAGAGAAATGTGATAATATCGGCGATGTACTCGCGGAATACGATTTTCTGGTTCCCAATTTCGATTTTGAAAGGCATATTTTTCTCTTCAAGTAATGATTTACTTTTCTGCTTAATCATGTTTATAAGATCATCTGACTTTGCCTGCTCTGGTGAATCGAGTCCTTGGCTTCGAATCCATCCTTGGGTTTCGTTGTTAACCTTGCGGAAAGCCTCGTCCCAAAGAGTCAAGGCAACTGGTTGTTCCCCTGTAACTGGAGACCCTGATATTTCGATAGCTGGTGGAGGGGTAATCTGTGATGTTATAGCCGTGTCTGAAAGCGTTGGGTTAATCACCTGATGAGGCGCCGTTGAATTGGAAAGGCTAGCCGATGCAGTGGGTAGACAAGTTGGCTGCTGAAGTTTTGGCTTGTTAAGGATGCTTTGTAACGACACTCGAGGTTGATTTAGACTCGACAGAGGGCTTTTTTTAAAAGAGTGCCAACGAGACATCAGGGAAGTCTTCCACTCCCTTAACCTCTGTCTGAAGCCTTTATTTGCCATGTTTTATTAAGTCCCGTGGAAATTGACAACGAAAGGCTGGTGTCCGATAGGAAACATTGAAAGTAATGGGAGACTACGTGTTTTGGTTATACCAAAACGTATCCCCAACAGACCCCCAACATGTGTCACCATGCGTCGCATCCGTATTCGTGTTCCGGCAACTGGCTAGAAACACATTGTCACTCTACTGGACATGAAGGGGTAGAAGACGCGGAGGTCACTCTCCAATGGCAAACGGAGTTCAGCCATCCTCATTAAATAATAATATATGCAGGCTAAGCGCAAGAGAGCCAATAGATGCCTGTGTAGACAGATAAGCAAATCCTGCTTCCTACCCCCCCAAAGATTCCTGCTTTTGAATACTACTACACACCACACCAACTATTATTATTATATCTGACTAATTCTTAGATAAAGCACCTTTGTTATTCTCCTTTTCTGCTACTGTTACGGACTACAAGAAGATAGCAGTTGCTACTACAGCTACGTGATATTGCTCTGCAGTTCAAAGTCGTCCTGGGAACATAAACGGTTTGTGATTACTTTGTTTAAAACTGCCAACCCTCGTCTTCATAGTCGTAGCATTCTACTTTCTTCCATCACACATAAGCTTACAGCTGGGATCCAGGGGGTTAAATAGCCGCAGATGCGCTCTTTATGCAAGTCATTACTCATGGCACACACACACCCGAAGCTGTAGCATGGAATCACTTATGGAAAATGTGGCATCGACGTGTGTTTACTATTCAAAGTTGTATCATTCATGTAGCAATCTATCATGTTAAATCGCATCATCACACCCCAAACCATTAGAAACAAAACTCCTTCCAAAAACAGGCCTATGCAAAACTTGACAACTGGACAAGAACCATCTATTTGCACTCATCCTTCCAGTTGTCACCAATCCAATTGGCCAACTTGTCCGTCAACGTCCCTTCCATATACAGTTCCACATCGGCAGCGCTGTAATCGCCGCCGCTAAACTTGAGGGCGGGAATCATCCATGGCTGTAGAAAGTCGAGGAAGACGAGGTCTACCGTCTTGGGCTTTCCTCCGGCCGGGAAACCAATCTCGGCCTGGATACAGTTGGGCACCGAGTAGAAATCAATGGGCTTGTGGACGGTGTCATCTCCGTCCTTGCTGATGTCGTCCTTGGTCGTATAGCCGCCAAAGATTTCATCATTGTCCTCTGAGGCATCCACTCCACGCAGCTCGAGGCGAGCCTCTGTTTCATCCCTGACTTGTTCAAAAGTCTCTGTTTCATCCTCGACTTGTTCAAAAGTCTCAGCTTCTGGCTCATCGAGATATTTCGGGCGTGGATACATGAGCTGCGGAATGGTCAACTGTCGGGTGTCTGGGAGCCCAGCAACAAAGATTCTCGACTGGCTGTTGAGGAGCCCAATAACCTTGGCAGCAATTTCATACGGCACATCGGGCACGTAGCGGAAGCCACTGGTAAAAGGGCTTATGGTAAACGTATCATCTCGTGTAAACGGACCCTTGAAAATGTCGAAGCGGATGCCACCCGTGTTGGCTATGGCCAGTCGGGGCTTGTCCTTCCGGTCCTCGTTGACAACCACGTCGGGGAGCACCTCCTCTTCAAGCCAAGTGTAGATGCTGTCTTTGCCGGGATACGGGGCCCTGGTCATCCACAAGTCCCGGGGCGCGCAGCCGTAGCGATGGCCAAGATTCAGAGTTTTACGGGCATTCTCGATCAATTTGCTCGTTTTCTGACCCTCCTTGGTGGGAAAGGTTGTCTCGTTTAAGCCAGTGTGGTAGTACATTCCGTACAAATTGTTGTCAATATACTTGCGTGTGAAGGTGGGGCCCCTTTTAATCTCGACCTCTTCGTTCTCGTCGTCCTTTGGCTGCTTCTTGACAATGCCGTCAATGGACATCCAGCCGATGGTTTCAAGGTAGCGGCCGGAGGCGATGGCCAATGACTTGGAGTCATAGCTCACGGCGTCTCTAATGTGAAGGTGGCCGCCGAAGAAGGCGATGGGCGTGTCCCAGTCCTCTTTGCGGATAGCCTTGAAGACGGTTCTGAATTCTTCCATGCGCACACCGACATGGCCAATGACCACGAAAAGGTCGGGCTTCTCTTTGATGGCCTCTTGAAACCAATCTTCCTTGATGGTATCGGCCACTGGCTGAACGATGCTGTTGTTGGCATTGCCTGTGAAGTCGAAGAGGAAACCAAAGGACACGATGTTGATGCCTAGGTTCTTGGTCTTGAACTTGCGGTAGCGCTGGGCCTGGGGCACGCGCTTGCCAGTCTTGGGATCAATGTAGTCCAGATTGGATGTGATGTAGTTCTCCTTGAAGTTGGGAATGGTAGTATTGTGTTCCATGTCGATGGAATAGGCCTTGTATAGCTCATGATTGCCGGTGGTGATGAGATCAATCTTCTGCTGAGCGTATATATCGTACTGGTACAGGCCCTTTGGGATGGAGCTGTCGTAGATGCCACTGCCTTCAATGCGGTCGCCGGTATCGATGAGGAGGAGATCGGCGCCCTTGTCGTCGGCCAGCTTGCGCATGTGCTGGGAGAAGGAGATGTAGTCGCCCCAATCGGCGGAGAAGGAGGGCCTAGATGGAAGAAGGGAGGTGAGCACGAATTCCGCGACTGTTGCGACTGCTGCTTAACCTTCCACAGCCTCTCGGTCCATGGAGATCAGAGCAAAGTGAACCTACTCGAGGAAATGCCCGCTCAGCCAGGCGTGCGTGTCTGTCGTGTGCAGAAAGTTGAGCTGGCCCCATGTCAGGTCTCGCATGGGTGCCGCCACCGGCTTGACGGCGTCGGGCTGGGCGGCTTCAACCGCGGCGGCAGCGAAGAGCCCGCCGAGGAAGAGAGATTCAAGCATGACGGAGGAGAACAGATGATTATGATTCCATGAGTAACGACAGTGATGGCGATGGCGATGGTGATGGCAATTTGGTGATGAAGTTGAAGATGGCGATGGTGATGGTGTTGTTAGGATTGAAGATGGTATGGAGGATTAGATGCTGGAGTCACAGGGGAGCTCAGGAGCCTGATCAAGCCCGGCCATCAAGGTGGCCCAGGTGACATCAGCGGGGGGCTAGTCGCTATTGAGCCACTGCCGTCCACTAAAGCCGTTCCTCGGACACGGGGGGTATCCATTACCCGAATAGCCAATGCATGCATCATCAGCCGAATATCCATCATCCATCATCCATCCAATATCAAATGGGCAACGATACATGCAATCACTGCGTACCTCTTCTCCGTTAATCATCATCAGCACTCTGGAATCGCCGACTAGGCCTAGCAAGAGTCGGGTTGAGTCAGCCGACATGGAAAGTCTCACGTTTCTCTTCGTATAAAGAGCCAGCAGAGGCATTCATTCCCGAGCACGAGTTGCCACCACATCAGTCTTTTCACAATCGAGCCCGATTTGACACCATTTGCCTTTCCTGCCTTTGCTATCCAGGATCTCAAGCTGCCATGCCACTCAATATTGTCATCGTTGGCGCTGGGTTTGCCGGCGTCTGGAGCGCTCTTTCAGCCAGGCGGCTCATCTCCTTGCACCTCAACAAAGATCCAGCCGCGGCCGATATCCAAGTGCTTCTCATTGCGCCTGAGCCACAGCTGGTCCTGCGGCCTCGGCTCTACGAATCGAACCCGGAAAGCCTCGTTTTCCCACTCACCGACCTCTTCAGCGCGACGGGGATTCGCTTCATCCAAGGCACAGTCGACGCTGTCCGTGTCGAGGAGAAGCACGTCTTGATTGCCAGCCCCTCTGGTTCTACGTCAATACAGCCCTATGATCGTTTGATATTCGCGGCCGGGAGCAGCTTGATCCGGGCTCCTATCCCCGGCCTGGACAACCACGCCTTCAATGTTAACCAATTGGGTTCCGCCATCAAGTTGGAAAACCACCTGCAAAGCCTCAAGTCAAAACCTCCCAGCAAGGCTCGAAACACCGTCATTGTATGCGGGGCAGGCTTTACGGGCATCGAGCTTGCAACGGAGATGACACGGCGGCTTCAGTCCATCTTGGGCAAGGATACCGATGCCAAAGTCGTGCTTGTCTCGCGGGGGGATGAGGTTGGCGATACCCTCGGACAGGGACCCCGCCACGTCATTTCCCGAGCTCTTGGCCAGTTGGGAGTAGAGACGAAACTCGGGACAACCATCACCGCCATCGACGCTCTTGGCATCACGACCCAAGCAGGGGAGCGTCTTGAAGCCATGACCGTTGTCTGGACGGCCGGCGTAGCAGCCACGGAGCTCTCAAAGCAGATTCCGGGGGACAAGGACGCACTGGGCCGCCTACGCGTCGACCAAGATCTTCGCATGCCGTCGAACAAGGACATCTTCGTAGCAGGTGACTCGGCTTGTGCCCCGACAGGTGACTATAGCCACGACGCCCTCATGTCATGTCAACACGCCATACCGATGGGCCGAGCAGCGGGCTACAACGCCGCAGCAGATCTTCTCAACCTGCCAACCGCGCCATACTACCAACCAACATATGTCACATGTCTTGATCTCGGCCCGTATGGAGCCGTTCTCACTCAAGGCTGGGAGCGCAAGGTGGTGTTTTCTGGGACAATAGCCAAGAAGATCAAGACGTACGTCAACGGAACTCTGATATACCCTCCAGGGCCAGCTGATCCGGCCAAGGCGCTTGCTGCCGGAAATCCAGCGATTGAATCGGCTACCGCGCAGCAGCTCCAGGGCAAAGCTCTATCACTCGTCAGTTTCTTTACCTCTAGGTTCCTGTAGCAGGCTATGATTGGTGATTATAGTGTTTTGCCTTGAAAGAGTTGCACTTGATATTATCTACGTCATCTACTCCTTTCACTCCTACATGTTAGTATAGGCGCGGATTTTCAAAAGACAAGCTGTTATATGAGATTGTTTTTCAATATACCTCTCTTCACTCTTCCACTATCCCGGCTTCTGATACGGGTCGAGTTCAGGGACCGTCGTTTCAACGTCAATTTTGTGATAATAGACACAAGGTATCTATCATCGATATTCATATACACATAGGAAACACAGATCTAAATCATTACGGTCTACAACTAAATTAACATACAAGTAATAGAATCTCCACACATCACCCCTCACCGGCCATTAACTCATCATCTAAGCAGCATTTGATTTAGATGTCATCACCAAATCGTCCATCTCATAGACGCCGATAAACTTGAAAAAAGCCAACACCTGCGGCGCCGTCCCGCATCCATCTCCCATCGGCGCCGTCGCATTGAAATCCACCAGCGGAATCATCCTGTCTCCAAGCGTCGCCGAAACAGTGTAAGTCGTGTTGAACGCCAAGTTCCTTCCAATCACCTGGAACATGTCCAGTCCAATCTCCGGCCTCACCGTGACGAGACACGAAGGCGACACCTTTCCAGATGCCTGAGGCTGAGATTCCGTCAGGATCTTGTTCAATGCCGGCTTGTTGAAAAGGCCTTGATTGCCCAGGTTGTGCGTGCCGTTGCTGGCGGAAGACACGGCGCCTGACACGTAGATGATGGCCTGGCCCTCCTGGCCGACATTTATCGTCTTGACGACCTTTGGGGGGAAGACGGTCAAGTCGATAAAGTCGACCGTGTCCGAGTGCTCGTTGACGACGTACAGGTGCGTGTTGTCCGCGCTGGGCCACAGGCCGTGAGGCTCGACTCCGCTGGCCGGGATGGCGCCCAAGTAGACGGGCATCCGGTCGGATCGCGGCTGCGAATACATTCTCGTCTCGTTGAGCGACGCCACGGTGACGAAAGCGTGCGTGGTGCCGTTGAGGACGGCAAAGTTGGGGTGGTTGGTCTCGTCCCCCGTGTCCAGGACGCCAACGACTTTACGGCTGACGAGATCAATCACGGACACCTTGCCCACCATCTTGTGAGCCGTCCAGAGCCGCTTCCCATCTGGTGAGATCATCATGTCCGATGAAAAGACATCGCCTAGGCCCGTGATGTTGGCAATGACCCTGCGCTTGGCCACGTCGATGACGGACAGCGATGGCGACCGCACATGGTTCGCATACGCCCTCTTGCCATCCGGGCTGAAGACGACTTTACTCGGACCTCCATAGGATTCCACATGGCCGACGACGCCGCCCTTGAGTCCGTCCACAATGTCGACACGGTCAACGCCCCGCGTGCCCACCCAGACGTGTCGGTTATCGCTCTCGAAGAAGGCCTCATGCGCGTTGCGGTCCACAGATGTTTGCGAGACGATGGAATTGTCCTCGGTCCGGATCACCGTCACGGTGTTGCTCGTGACGGCCAGAGACACGATGAGCTTGCCATTGGGAGAGAAGCCGAGCCCGTGGGAGTTGACGGACTTGACGTACTGGGGGTTCAGCTCGTTTCCTAGCCGGCCGTCGCCCAGGCTGATGGTGCCCAGTACCTCGCCCGTGGCCGGCTTGATGACGGTGATGGTGTTGGATGACTGGTCGCCGGTGTAGAGGCGGTCCGATTCGGAAATGGGTGCGCCTTTGCCGGCGAGGGCGGGAGCTTGGTCCCATGCTGAAGTGAATCTGGCTCCAAAGCCCAAGGCTAAGAGTGTGAGTAGTCTGGGGGATAGAATTTTAGTTTTCATCTCTTTGTCTTCACTTGTGAGCTTGCTGTTGTGCTGGTGTTGCCAGCAAGTTGATTTGCTGACTGTCAATCAACAAACGAAGGGACCAGCCACAGACGCAAGAGTTACAATATATATATTGTTACACACGGAACATTCTTCTGTTACATCCTGTCTGTCGACATACACATGGGGACGCCGATCTCAGGGCTGCAGCATCACTGCATGTTCCATCACAAACATGCTCAACTCCATAACCTGTATATCTGCAAGGATACGAAACAACACAAGATGATTTGTGTAAGAGCCTTGTCCAATCAGCAAACTGCGTAATACATTGTTATTCACTCCGACATACTCGCTCTATCAACCTTTGCGTAACCTTCATGTCTTTGGCTCGGCTCGTCGGTCTCTTGGCATATCCTTGACTCGGCTCGACGAAAAAAGGGCAATACTTCTACAACTTCCGACATCTCACTAAGCTCCAGGCACCACTCTTTATTACTCGACAAGAATTATCCGCGAATCAGCTCTCACAAAATCCTTTCTCTCTTCCTCTACTCTCTCTCCTATTTCCGCAAACTCTTGCCCCGTCGGACCATCGGCATGACAGCCCCAAACGTCAACAAAGACAATCCACTTCCCATCACATCACCCTAAAATCTCACTCCGTCGCTCAAAAAAAAAAAATAAGCGTTCCCAGGGAAAATTGCCTACCGTGGCCTAGAGCCCCGTTCGAGTTGATGCCTTGTTGCTGGATCTGCGAGCAAGTCTTGCGGAGGTATGGCCATCCCGGACCTCACGCGCCTTGGCTGCCGATGTCCCGGGCAGGGCGGCGAATCACGTCTCGGTGTTTGGATTTTTACGGTCGTTGGGCGTCCCCTGGGTCCGGCAGTTGATTGGCACGGAGGAGATTCTGGCCTCCGTCTCGGGGAGTGCATGTTGTTTAACAGGTTTAGACGACTTGGAGTTGTGACAATTGTGAAGGGGCTGCCGGTTGTCGGGTTCGGCTCGGAACCCCTGCTGGTTGAAGGAGTATAAGTTGAGCCTGTCCGACATCCGATCCGGTGTCATGAATGGCTTATACAAGCTTATGCTTCAAAAGACTCTTTAAATCGCAAGACGAATTGGTTTAACAACAACCGTGTCTACGACAAGTAGAAAATACCTGCACTACACTCCAGGAATTTAGTGCATATTGGGTTACCATTTCTCTCTTCTCAAGTGAAATTCAATATTTCACAGCACTATATTTATTACAAGGATTTATCCCGTCTCCCTGGTATCTATTAATTACAGCTTTCCAATAGTATGTATCCAAATCAGCTCTTATTCCCGTTGTTGTTCAATGTCAGCATGCTCATCATCCTCGCCCCTTTCGTCCTCCTCGTCCTCCCCGTTATACCAGTCGTCGCTCTCAAGCCCATCACCTCGAACAAAGATTGACCCAATGCAGCCCAAAAGAGCCAGGCCGCCAAATAAACTCCACGCAAAAACCTCGCCTTTGGGCTGAATTCCCATGGACAACGTAAACAAACTACCCGAAGCAAAAGGGCCAATGCTGCGGCCTAGAGCCGATAATGTCTGTGCTACTCCGTTCAGGGTTCCCAGGCTATTATGGGAAGGCGCCGAGTTGGTGATCTGCATGACACGTGTTAGAATCAAGGCTGGGGATATCGCGTCTTGTACCTTGGTTCGATTGGACTTACCAGTAGCATCACACACGAAAGTCCGCCCACAGCACATATAGTTTTCAAAATCAGTACAACGCCAAGCTCAATGTACAGCCACATGGTTCCAGTTCCCAGACCGAACAGGGGCTCGTCATCAACATAGCCAACCCACGGCATGGCAATCATGCTGACGGCTAGACCAAACAGGGCGAAGCGATACGTGCCCAAGTTTCCGAATCGGGTCTTGAGCGGCTGGAAAAGAAATGCTTGAAAGAGAATGGTAATTAGACCTGCGAAGCTCAAGCTGACGCCAATTTTGCCGGGATCGAGTTCTCGGCCAGCCGGAGAAGGAGAGGCCGCGAAAATAGGATACAAGCTGTTGAAGCTAATGTTGGCCAACTGGAATACTAGATACGTAACCAGGAGGGTCATTGTAGTGCGATTGAGAAGCTCGCGCCACGGCTTGTGATCTTTGTGATTGCCGCCCGCGGGCTTTGATATCTCGAGTGCCTCGTCATCGTCTGGACTGCCATCGTTGTCATCAGAAGCTGCCTCTTCAGAGCTTGGGGACAACAAGGGCTGTGTTTGAGAGGCGGCTTGAGGACGAGGCCACCTCGTGCTCCATGATTCTCGTCGAGGAGTAGTTCGACTAAAGATGTTTGAAATGCGATTGGAGAGCCGGGTAGCCCATGTTGGTTTCCACGGGTCATCGTCGACATCTTCCAGCGTTTCCTCAAACCAGATGCCCACCACAATGACGGCTGCCGCAAGAACTGCGGCGCTCAGGACGCTGGGCCCCAGGTAAGGGAATTCTTTGCCCATGCGCCCGACCAGGATTCCTCCCAGCGCAGGGCCCGTAAGTCCTCCCAGAGAATAGATAATGGGAAGATATGTAAATGCCTTGCTCTGGTTGGATCGATCCGTCACTTCGCCCAGAACAGTCGGCACGCAGGCCGCATTGCCATTGAGCAGACCCATGGCGGCGTGAACCAAAATCATTTGCCAGTACTGCCTGCAGAAGCCAAAGGCGCAAAAGCAGCACATGAGCGAAAAGGTCCCGGCCAGCAGCACCGGCTTCCGGCCCACGACATCCGACATGTAGCCCCAGACGAAGTTGGTGGAGAGCTGGGCCAGGGCAAAGACGCTGGCCAGCAGACCGACATACAGGCCGCTCTCTTCCCTGGGGATGCCCGGCATGGACCCCACCATCTGTGGCAGATATGGCCCTATGGAGTTGAGCGCCGTCTGCTCTGCCAGCGAGAGAAAGGCCAGGAGGAGGAGCTGGCGCACGGGCAGAGGCGTCTCGTCGTGATCGCGCGAGGACGAGGTAGACGAGGAGTCGGACTCGATGGCCGAGGCGAAGCGGTCGCTGGAAGCATCGGAGGAAGACGCCGGCGGTTTAGGGGGGGGCGTCGGGAACGTCTGGTATCGCGGGATCGAGGGCCGTCTCAGGGATGCCATGTTGGGGATGGGAGCGCCGGCGTGGAACGAGCCGGAGGACCTGGACGATCGTGACCGAGTCGTGACGACGCCCGGGCCGGGCCGAGGGTTTGCAGGGCGCGTCATGATGCCGCCGGCGGACAATCTCGGAGCGCCGTCTCTATCGCGTGTTTCTTTGTTCGTGGTTCGGTTCCGAGATGTGAGCCCGTCTTGTGCGCGTGATGGTCCGACAGTTGGTTTGCTCGGGGGGCGGTTCAGACGGCGGGCGTGTGAGCCAGAACCTGCGCGCCAATCTGCCGCCACAAGATCATGCTGTAGCGAAAGTCTTCAGCACGATGCGAGTGGGTTGAGGCAGATTGTGGCGCCGTGGAGGAAGAATCCGGAGGATGCAGAACAGAATGGAAGACGTCAGGGCTGAAAGCTTTTTGAGGAGGTGGGGACCTTGGAAAGGTGGTGAGATAAAGGGACGATAACGGTGCTCCGGGGATGTGCAGGTACGAGGCGTTGTATATGGCCGTGGATCAGCCTCGGTTGCTCTCCTTTAGTGAATACATCGTGTATTTTAATCAACTGTGAAGCGAGATTGGCCCAAGTTACGTATCGTTGAATTCTTCCACTCGCGCGTGAAGCTGGAGAGCTTCGCCTTTTGGTGAGCGGCACGGACCGAATAGCGGGTCGGTCTGCAGCTGTTTTAAACGGTGTAAGTTGGAGTCTCGAGCTGGCACTGTGAGTGGCTGAAAGCCAAAAGAGCCGGCAGAGCTGGGACGAGTTGAATTGTTTGATAGTGCTGGATTTGTTGAGAGTGTGTGTTCAAGGGAGTTTGAGACGTTGCCTAAGAATGGCGTGATGCTGGAGATGCCATGGTGGAATCCCAAGATTTCGATGGTCCTTGGAGGCTGTGCAAGACAATTCGTCACAAACATGCGGCCAATGACTGTAACTCAGTAATAGTCTATTTCTCTTTTAAACATCCGATGTACCACACTGATTCTATTAGAATATTGAGTGGCGTTGATGTAGAAGACTCAACGTTCGTGCATCTGTCCACTTCTCAATGGGAGTTGGTCTATCCCCCACCTACATTAAGACTCTATCATTATATATTTTACCTGGCTCAATACCGGAGTATTGTCATCTCAAGATCCTGATATACAATAATGAGGATATATGAGCGTGATTTAATCAACACACCCCCAATGTCAAAAGAGAGGGCCTCGTGTAAACCCGCCATGAGCAATTGAACAATGCCCTCGACATGTACCTTTCTTTGATGGGCTCGTCAAATAGAGTCATCAAACTTTCGATTCGCATATAATTGGAATTTTGTAGAGAATATCTCACAAGGTCGGTCGACATGAAGGAGGGAAATATTACATCATACCTCCTCTACAGTGTGGTTATCTGGAGCCTCTCAGATTGACAGGATTGTATCAGGTTAAAGACTTGGTACAACGCATAAAAGCTTCCAATTCTTATTCATTGCCTATACTGATACCGTATATACCATTATTATCGTCCTAAGAAATACAGAGAACAACAGTATAGCACCTGTCACTCCCAGTCTTGCTGCATATACCCATACCCCATATCCTCACATCCACCAATAACATCCTCCTCCTCCATCACCATCATCAACAACACAAACCCAAAATCATCATCATCCCATCTTCAAACATCCCCGATCCCGCCCTCCCATCATCCCATCATCCCCCCCAAAAAACCCAAGCCGCCACTATCCGCCCACGCCCTCTCGACAACCTCCCGCGCCCTCCAAACACATCACATCCACTATCCCCAGAATATGCCCGAAAAGTCAGCACAAGTCTCGCCCAAAAAAAAGATAGGCCAGACCCGCCCTCAAGGAGATTTACAAGCTTTTCTAGAAGATCTAGGCGTGTTGATCATAGCGCGGAGGGGGCGATTAGCATGAGGTTGCATTCTTGGTGGCTGGCTGTTTTACTCCGCATCTTCTGTCGATGATTTAGCGCGAGATGGATACAAGATATATCATGGATGCTGATAAACCTCATAATCCGAGATCGGTGGTTTGAGAGAGAGATAACCGAGGATATGGAATTGTCAGTTGCCAAGTCTCCATGGTATATATCGAGCCATCAATCATATCTTGCATCGAATACAGCATCATCCTCAACGCGCCTACTGACTTACACCAAAACAACTTTACATAAATCCATCTTCCAACCAGTATCATCACAATGGCAACCCTCACTCTCCCAGAACCATTCGCCAGCATCCCCCGCGAATCCTTCCTCTTCGGTCCCTCCCCCATCCAGCACCTCCCTCGCATATCCGCTGCTCTCGGCGGCAAAGTAAACGTCTACGCCAAACGCGAAGACTGCAACTCGGGCCTCGCCTACGGAGGCAACAAAGTCCGCAAGCTAGAGTAAAGAAACACCCATTCCTCCCTCAATCATGTATTCCAACAACATCATATATAATCTAACAAACACGCAAGGTACCTCGCCGCCGAGGCTCTCTCCCAAGGAAGCGACACCCTCGTCTCCATCGGCGGCGTCCAATCCAACCACACCCGCGCCGTCACCGCCGTCGCCGCGAAACTCGGCCTCGCCGCCGCCACCGTCCAGGAGCACTGGGTCGACTGGCACGACGCGGGCTACGAGAAGGTCGGCAACATCCAGCTGTCACGGCTCATGGGCGGCGACGTGAGGCTGGACCCGTCGCTCTTTGGCATCGAGCACAAGCCCACGCTGGCGAACCTCAAGGCCGAGCTGGAGGGCGCGGGGAAGAAGCCGTACTACATCCCGGCGGGAGCGTCGGACCATCCGCTGGGGGGGCTTGGGTTCGCGCGGTGGGCGCTCGAGGTGGAGGCGCAGGAAGAGCAGCTGGGCGTGTTTTTCGATACGATTGTTGTTTGTGCCGTGACGGGGTCGACCATGGCGGGCATTGTCGCTGGGTTTAAGCTTGCGCAGGTGAAGTTGGGTTCGCCCAAGCGTAGGGTCATTGGGATTGATGCTTCGGGGAAGCCCAAGGAGACGTTTGATCAGGTGTTGCGGATTGCCAAGCTTACTGCTGCCAAGATTGGCCTCTCGGAAGACGACGTGACTGAAGCGGATGTTGTATTGGATGACAGGTTCAATGCAAAGATCTATGGCATTCCGGATGAGACGACGATTGAGGCCATCAAGTTTGGGGCGAGCACTGAGGCCTTCATCACGGATCCGGTCTATGAGGGGAAGAGTTTGGCGGGCATGATGGCGCTCATCAAGAATGGCGAGATTGCCAGTGGGAATGTTTTGTACGCTCATCTTGGAGGACAGATGGCTTTGAACGCATATTCGTCGATTTAACAAAGCCTTGGTACGTCTTCTATCTCTTGTTTCTTAGGTTTCCTTGTTTGTGTAAAGAATGAAATATCCAAATAGTCTGATAGCCATCTATTGTGCTTCATCCAGTGAGCACTCCAATATCATCGCCGCAGTTTTATATGCCGTCTCATGAAACATCACCACGCTCCCGTAACTTTCAAATCTCTCGAGCTCTCCCCCACAGCAAACGTAAACTCTCCGTCTGGAATAACCCAATTCTGCCTTTCTACATCCCAGTAGCTCAAGTCTCTCCTCGTCACGGTAAACTCAACCGCCTTCGTCTCCCCCTTTTCGATAAACACCTTGTCAAACCCGCGAAGAACTCTGACAGGGAATTCAACTGTATCCGAAGCCGGGTATGAGAGGTACAGTTGGGGCACAGCTTTCCCGCCAAGCTTGCCCGTGTTGGTCAATTCGACCGATACAGTTACGTGGGATTCCCATAGTGATGGGTTGCCGCCTTCGCCGCCGCCGGCACCAGACAGGGGCTGCTGTACGTCGTAGCCTTCGGGATAAGGATACTTGCCTTTCTTGAAGTCACTCACGGAGTCAATGTACGGATATATGTAATTCTTGAGCTTGCGAATACCCGATGGAAACAATGCCTCTTCAGCTTTCGGGATGGTGGTATCAAATTTCGGGGGCTCAACCTCTGGAGCTGCCGGTCGCTCGTCGGGTAGAGGCGATCTTGGCTTGGTCTCTGTGATCTTGAGGTTTTTGTATTCGAAAGTTGTATATGAGAGCCCGAATCCAAACTCGTATCGGGGCTCGATGTTATACTTGTCAAAGTGCCTGTAGTCAATAAAGAGGCCCTCGTTGAAATCTTGTTGCGGGACGACTCCATTTGGCAGATACATGACTTGGCCGCCTTGTCCATAATCACCAAGAGACTTGCCAATGGTGTACGGCAGCTTGCCGCTTGGATTTTCCTCTCCAAATAGGATGCTCGCGATGGCATTCCCACTCTCTTGTCCTGGCAAATTGGCAGCAACGAGTGCTTTGATAGTGGGAAGATCGATCCATGGGTCCACCGTCACAGGTCCGACAGCATGAATGACGACAATTGTCGTACCTGAACCGCCGCCGCAGTTTTTTGCAACCTCAGTGACGAGTACTTCACCACCCTTTTGCACCTTGAGGTCAGGGCGGTCAGCATGGACGCTGTCCCACGTGCGATATCCTTCTCCGGAGTCAGAGTTGATGAAGACCAGACATATGTCCTGGTTCTGGATAACGTCCTTTGCCGGCTTGTCATTCGTCAGATGCTCGGTAAGTTTGACCTTGTCCTTGTTAAACTTTTTTCGAAGAGCTTCGATTGGAGAGACCAAGTACGGAAATACGACAGCGCCGCTTCCCCAGCCAGAGCCCAGGGTACCCTCGTTGCACGCCTGATCCTCGCAATAATTGGGCCCCTTGCCCGGTCCGGCATCTTCTCCAAAGATGCCTATCCTTACTTGGTCGTCTCTCTTGGTTTGGGTCAAATCATCACCACTCAGGCGACCATCAAGACTGAGAGGTAGGACCCCTTGGTTCATGAGCAAAACGGTTCCCTCCGCGGCTACCTGTCGAGCCAGTAATGAGTGATTAGCTTGCACGTTGACAAATTTGTTGACCTCGACCTTGTCCTGAGGCGACGAACTAGCAGGTGCCGTAACACCCATCTTGTCATTAGTCCATGAAGAAAAGTTGGGTCCTTTCCTGTCAAACAGCTTCTTGTCGTCCTGACCCAGCTGATACCACGAGGCCACGATGCGAATCACCATGTCGTTGAGTCTCTCAAGAGGCAGTGAGCCGTTCAAGACGGCGCGAGAGAGGTTGGGCCCCCAGAGCGAGTTTCCATCCTGCCAACGCAGGCCATCTCCTGGCATGCTCATATCGAGGCCAGCCAGGGCACTCCCCACGCCAGATCGCTGTGCCAGCCAGTCGGACATGACGAAGCCCTGGAATCCCAGTTCGTCTTTGAGAATGCCATTGAGTAGCTTGGAGTTTCCGCAGGCGTATGAATTATTGACCATGTTGTAGGAACACATGACGCTGGCAACTCCGGCCTTGACGGCATCGCCAAAGGGCCAGGCATACACCTCGTGCATGGTGCGGTCGTCAATGTTGGACGAGAGAGCGTTGGGCAGCACCCATTCCCAAGCCTGGCGGAAATGCTCCTGCTCGTTGGCGACGAAGTGCTTGATGGTAGCCATGACGCCCTGGTCCTGAATGCCCTTGATGGTCTCGTAGCCCGCCACACCCGAGAGATATGGATCGGCCCCGAAGCCCTCCCAGTTGCGCCCACCAGCGGGCATCCTACCCAATGGACCAACAACAGGTCCGAGGAGGACACTGATGCCCTTGCCACGGGCCTCAAGGGCATGGGCTTTCCCTCGCTCATACATGAGCTCCCTATTCCACGTCGCCCCAACAGTCACTCCAGCCGGGAAAGCCGTGATATTGTCCGAAAAGCGAATGCCCAGCGGCCCATCCTGGAGAGCCAACGCAGGGAATCCCACATGGACCGCCGGTGCCGTATTTCCAACCGCAAGCCCCATGCTCCATCCGGTTCCTGTGGTTATGTTGACTTTCTCTGCCAGCGTCATGTTGGCCACCATCTCGGCGGCCTTTTTATAGCTGTCTGCCCATTGGTGCACGGAACCGCCCCTTGGAGTGGGATACCACGGCGGAGATTTCCCATCGAGCGGTACAATCTTGAGCTTCTTGTATCCGAAGGCGCCGCCAGCAGCGAGCAGCATGATGATGATGGCCACAACAGCAAGGAAAGCGATGCAGCACCGGCTCTTGCGCATCCGTCGAGGCAGCATCCATAACAGGCGGCCGGGAATGCGCTGCTTGGCGTCTGTCAATCGCGATGAATCTCTTGCGGACGAAGTGACTACATGGCCATCCTTGGTCAGCTCGTCCAGGTCCAGGTCATCGTCGGATTCGGTTGAGGTGCGTTGCGAGGATTCATGCTCTCGCAGGAGACCCTCCTTGGCGGGATCTCGGGCCGGCGCCATTAGAGAAGAAGAAGCAGATGGACTGGCGCAGCAGCGGGAATGGCCATGGATCTATCCGTGCGGTACTCCGTAGAGGCGATCTATCTGCTGCAGTTGGAGGGAATTGGAAGAGGGGAGAATGGGCATCAGATGAAAGACGAATGAATGCCTGATGGTAAGGCAATCAAATCGGTGCACGTTGCGTCACAGTGCCCACTGATCTGCCACAGCTGATACGATAAGACGCCTGTGCTAAGCATGTACTTCGATCAAGCATTGATTATGATTCATCACCGTCGTCTCGCCATGAATATAGATGCGATTCAATAAAACAAAGTAAAGTCTCGTGTCTTGAAGAATACAAATTGTCGTATCAATTACAGTAGTAGTACAATTTTTTCAACATGAATTCCAAACGAAAAAAAAAAAAACAAATAAACCATTAAACCAAGCTTCGCTCTCATATCGTACACCCAACACAGTGCTCCGTGCCAACACCAAAGGCTTCGGGTATTTGCTCATAGTATAAACCACATGCAGTAATCGTCACTCCTTACAAGCCGTGACCTATAACACACCACGTAGTCAGCATATTGTAACACAAATCAAATCAGACACCAGATAATGATGATTCAAAAACTCACGTCCAAGTCCCTGTCCTCGCTTCGACACCTCACGAGCCTGCTCCTGCTTAATCTTGGCCCTCCTCGCCTCCTCCTTAGCCTCCTCCTCCAGCCTCCAAACATGATCCTTCGCAGCCCTCACTCGCATCCTCGCCTCGCCCAGCGCTCGGTCAGCCTCGATCTCGGCCGCCTCGGCGTGCATCACATGCTCCCTGGCCTGCAAGATGCTCGGGTCCAGCGCCTGCATGCCGCCGCCGTCACGGTGGAACAGGCCTCGGCGCCGGCTGCCCGCCGAGCTGTCGGTGCTGTGCCGGAAGAGGCCGCCGCCCGAGTTGCTGCCGGCGGCGCCGTAGCCCGGACCGCCGTTGGAGCTGGCCACGGAGGCGGTGCGGTGGGAGGAAGTGGGAGAGACGTCGCGGTTGCGATGGAACAGGCTGTGCTTGCGGCTGGGGGGCTCGGCCACGGGCTCCGGCTGGTAGACGGGCTCGGGCTCTGGCTCACTGCGGCTGAAGAAGGGCATTTTGGTTGTGGTAATGTATGTATGTAATGTGCTACTGAAGCGTTGTAGATCCTTGGAGTGAGTAGTGTCCAAGGGGTGGCAAATAGTGCGATATATAAAGCGTTGTGTAAGTGCAAGTGTTTGTGTAATGAATAACTCAGAATGAAAAGAAATGGAAATGGAAAAAGGGTCGCATCTTCAGGGTCTTTTTATTATATTTTTCTTCTTCTCCGGGCTACCCTCCTTCATCTTTTCCCTGTCCACGCCGATGATGATGTTGTCGTGCTGGTGCGGCCATCTTGGGGGCAAACCTGTTTGGATCCCTAGGAGCGATGATCGCACGATCGCCGCTGTGACGTCAAATCTTGGTGTAGCTAGCCGCAACAAACAAATGCTTGCCTTGGACGAGGGCCAATCACGCCCTGAGCATGACGATACAGGTGCAGAGGTGATGAAAGAAGCAATTTATGCACAACAGCAGCTGCGTGCCTTGCGTGCTTTGGGCGCATCGGGCGTGGACGAGAGAGATGTCATCATGCGTTATGCGATAGAGGGCTGATGAGCAGACGACCAAGCTTGCTGGCTGCAGTCGGTGCGTGTAGCTGAAAAAGGTCATCGAGATGCTACTAAGAATAGCGACCATCATTGTTCCGATGCTCATCGTACTACGCCCAGCCTGTCACTCCAGTGCATTGTACTTGATTCACGTTATCAGCCGAAACATGTCGACGCTGAGCCACGACGTCACACACCAAGAGAAGGTAGTTAGACAAACGAAACGTTAACATTCAGTCGATCCTGGTCTAAGACACAAGCAAAAGGCCCCTCTTTAGTGTATAGAGCTGTAAAGAGAACAATGGAAAATTTAGAAGACGGAGAAGAGGGAAATAGAAAAAAAAGAAAAGAAAAGAGAAAAATTGTGACGACAAATCTAGACTGCGTCGGAAATACGCTCCATGAGCGCGCTGTGTATCGAACATTTTTCCCGCCAATCTCGGCTCCTTCACTCCATTCCAGGAAAAAAAATTACAACAAAAATAGAAACCGCAAATCGGTTATTCCGCAGTCGAATATGTACGTTGAAAGGTCCATGATAGATTGATGTAGCCTGGGGGGGAAACCAACAAGCAAACAAAAAAAAAAAAAAGGACAAAAGCAAATTCAAATTACAAAAAAAAAAAAAAAAAAGAATGCGTCGTTGCATGGAAAGTTGCCTCTTGCTTCACGCGGCTTCAATGCAGCCGGTCTGCAAGGCACATCGGGGAGGGTATCAAGAAGAGAAACCCCGACATGAACGGGGGTACGAAGCTGCATCATCTTTACATGATTGTGCATTTGTTGTCTTCCCTCTCCTTCTTGACGCTCAGCGCCACACGGGCGGCCTCTGTGAAGGCCTCGTTGACTCCGCGGTTCTTCATGGCCGAGCACTCGAGGTATCGGGATGCGCCTATTCGCTTGGCGACTTCGAGGCCCTCGTCGTAGGAAATGGTGGGGGGCTTCTCGCGCGGAGGGTTGCCGTCGGCTGCTGCGCCCTCTTCGGGCTCCTCCTCCTCCTGCTGGCGCAGATCGCATTTCAGGGCGACCAGGACCAGCTTGACGCCGGGGCAGTTGTCGGCAATCTCACCGACCCATTTGGATTCGACGTTTTCCAGCGAGTCTTTGCTATCGACCGAGTAGCAGAGCACGATCAAATCGGTGTCATCTGGATGTATGCAACGTCAGCATGCGCAGGGGAAGGAATGCGGGGGTGTCTGTCTGGAATACCGTAAGAGAGAGATCGTAGTCGGTCGAATTCCTCCTGCCCAGCCGTATCCCAGAGTGAGAGTTCGATGTGGACGTTGTCGACGAAGATGTCTGCGCCACATGGTGATTAGTGCTTGTCTAGGGCGAAATGAAGATGAGGAGTCCCAGCGTACCGTGAACGTAGTTTTCGAAGACGGTGGGTTCGTAGACGGTCGGAAAGTAACTATCGAGAGAGAAGAAGAAGAAATGTTAGAGCTTGAACGGCATTGTAGATTCGATTGATGGCAGGGTAGAGGCGAATGCGGGCGTGGTTGGAGAGGTAATGGGCGGAGGCGGAGGCGAGGGCAAAAAGCAAAGTTGGGCGACAAACCCTCTTGTGAAGACGTTGAGCAGCGACGTCTTTCCGCTAGCACCATCGCCCCTATAAATTCGCGAACAAGACGGTTAGCATTCATTGATTCCAGCCGATGGATGGGCGACGAGACTGCCCGAGTTGTCGACGCACAGAAGAACCAGCTTGCGCTGCACCGTCTTGGATCCGCCGCAGAGAGGCATTGTGAGGGATGCTGAAGATGGGTCGAGGATGGACGCTGAGTCGGTCGATTGCGCGGGTAGAAATACAGTCGCTTTTCGTGCTGACGGCGAGGATCGCGAGGAGCCGAGAGTGAGAGTGACGCGTCGAGGGAGTGGCGCTGCCTTTTGGGTATCGAGGGCTGACGCTGGAGGAGGCAATGAAGATGCAGATGCAGATGCAGAGGCGGAGGCAGAGGCGGAGGCAGAGGCAGAGGCAGAGCAAGATGCAAAGGCGGAAATCAGGAGCAGCGGCGGCAGCAGAACGAGAGACGAGGCACAGAGTTACAAGTCATGCAGGCAAAAGCAGCTCCGGATTATTGGGTGCAAATGAGAGCGGCGTGGGACCTGAGTGGGTAAAAAATCAAATCCACATCACCTGGGTTGATCTGTTTATAGCAGCCCGGCTGTATTTTCTATTGGATTGGATTTTTCTTTACAGTGGAAGGGCAGCCCGAGTCTAGTAAAATCACGGGCGGCTATGCCTCGAGCGGGCTTAGCTCTCTCTCCAGGGCTGCCTTTTTCCCGCTCCAGCGGCTGTTTAATTTCTCGTTACAGTGCCAGATTTGCAAGGGTCGATTCTGCTGAGGTAACCTCCGACGTTCATCGGGCTGTTTATACGTATTTGCAACTGGAGATATGAGCAGTACAACCAACAGAAAAAGGTGGCTTACAACTGACAACTCAACATCTCGACATGGACCATTTTTACACCTTTCACTCCGCCCGCCATGCACTCCATATTATGTGTCCCAACAGGCTGCCAGGCTGACAGAGCAGAGTTCAGGAACAACGGCCGGATTCCCATGCCTAACTTGATGTTGTTAGTCGGCGGCTACACTCTGTCCGCGTAATGAGGGGCAGCCAGTCACCATCAGCCTCGATCCCGCACTGCCTCGAATAAGGTTCAATAGACCGCTGGGCCGGGCATAAGCGCCGAGCAGCAGCGGCGCAACTGCACGCCGTCTTTTTGATGCTGCCGTGCAAATGCAGTGGAATGAGTACCCGGAGTGCATGTACCGTGTGAAGCTGGCGGGTTTGATACGGCGTCGGGTACAGTAACTTGACTTGAGATGAGCCCAGACAGCCCTTAATCAAATGAGCGGCATGGATGGCTGCTGAGTCATGATTCAAGGTTGCCTTACAGCCGAAGACATGTACCTATACCTAGTACTGTACGAGTATGTGTAGCCCGCCTTTATGCTTCCTAGGTGCATCTTTTGCGATTAGTTGAGTTGCCCGGATAGACACAGTAATTCATCATGGTATAAACACTACATGTGCAAGACTCTCATATTTACCGTCATCTTCGACATCTACCCAACAAGGCATCAAAATGGTCAGTCAGCGCCTTGCCAACGCACGTACCCTTGACACAACCTTAGTCAGCGCGGTCATGCGCGCTAGCCTTAATCCAACAACCTTTAATTCCCTTATTTCAGGGCCACTTTCTCACGCTCTCTTGCTTCATGTTGCTCCGCAAGGAGCATTATAGGGGTCCAGTACCTGGCAAGAGTCTGAGCCTGAGTATATACCAACTCCGCATCCCTTCCCGCCTTGTACACTCCGTAACTGCCTGTAAATTCCCAATATCAAATGGAGATTTATCATCCACGGCGGAGATGCATTGATACATACTATAAGCATTGACGTCTTGACGCTCCCTGTATCCATCTTCTCAAACACACCCGGGCTGGACACAGACCATGGAAACACACTAGAAGCATCATTACCGAGCAAATTCATACAACTTGATGCAAACTCACTCCCTATCTTACAGAGTATAAAACTCGAATGTAACCGCGGCCGTCGTTTAAGCACCAAACACAGGTATAAAAGCACAAAACCAGGTGCCCCCTTGTTTGAAGCTTAGTACGCACAAGCTTCATAGCGACGGCCGTATTTCGCTTACCCTTAGCGACATCAAAAGCTTCATCGCTAAATGCAGGGACATGATGATCCAAGTCGCACGTGCATTGAGTGAATGCCACAAACATGAGTGGCGGTGTCGCCTGGGAATTTGACCCCCAAGATTACATGTACACCAGCCCATCAACGCCACTGCGAATGCAGGGTAGGGCAACTGATCATCAGGAGGTTGCAGCTCTTCACAAAGACTGAGAATACTCTGCCGCCTAAAAAACACTACAAATTTAATCATATTAAATGAAATGAGTAGATAATTGAGTGGAAATAAAATTGAATGGCGTAGCGTGAACTCCTGGGAATGCATGCACATAACAGTTTGTTGAATGCGCCTCAACACACACTTGCAAGTACCCAGGCGGATGTAAAAGATTTAATCGTCTATGGTTGCGTTCAATTGACCCATCATTACTCTATTGTAAAATGCAGGCAATGTTCATGATCTTAATCTTTAATTAGTTTTCTGCTGGCTTCAAGTCATTTGTTGCTCCTTAGTCACATTCAACTTCTCCAGGTATCTCATATCTCATCTGAGGTCTCAACCAGCTCTGCTCCCATGATAGCATACGTGGGCAGTCCATGTCCGCCGGCTACTCCAAAGACCAATACAACATATATTGATTAAATAGCATCCGCACTCAGTGGCTACATCTTTTCTAGAGTTCCAAGAACCCGGGATAATGACAACTTAGACTTAGTCGGCAATGACACGTTTCCGTCCCTGTGGATGAGAAGTTCGGGTCGGAGGATCATCCCTTCAAACAGCTCGTTAAGGCATCGATTGACGATCTTGCACCTGATATTTATGCAATTCAAGTCTCTCCTGACGATGGCCTATTATCAGCATCTGCATACCTCAAGGGTGAAAAGACACACTGTGTTGGCTACCCCTATCAGTATTGATTCAACACCTAGAAAATGTTACGCCTGGAATTTCGGGATCGTATGGCATGAGGGGCATGAGAAATCTTAGAGGTATTTGCATAAGTACCCAAAACCGCCTCTTTTGGCAGTATAATCGCTAATGAACTCCAAGGACGTTTCGTTGGGTTTATAGTGCCCTATGTCGTAGGGGGGAGATTTTGAGAGAGAACAAAGTTTGTATATCCATACAGGAATGGACCCATCAACACATCAACGTAGTTAACGAGGCGGTTCCAATCCTGGAATTGCTCATTAAGATATTGCCACTGCACCCTCCCTCACACGAGGCGACTAGTTTCTCAGTGCGTATAGGATGGCTGGAATACTAGAAGTCGAAAGGTGCAAACTGTATTCATAGTTTACGGGATCATCACTTGCAGCAATGATCTCCGTCTTATAAAGGCACCTCGAATATGAAGTGCGAGAACTGGGTAAAGCATCTAGATGTGCTGCTGGACTACCTAATATTAGAACTCCGCTGGGTTCTCAAGAAATATGATGAAAAGAGGCGAGCTTAAAAGCAACTTATCGTAGAAAGGACGCCCGAAATTTCTCAGACTGGCCATCGGTCCTCGATTCACCACGCCCTGAAGTCGAAACTCACACTCCGTAAGAAGACTGTGAAAGAGGCGAAAATGTTATAAGATTGACAAAGAACTGAATCGAAGGGAAAGGGCAAGGTGATGCTGAATTGGTAACATCAATCTTAGGACCTTGATGGAATAGGATCAGGAAATTCACTGATTGTGTGGGAAAGGCGTGAAGTGAATGGGAACTGTTCACTCCATCTTCCCCGCGCGTATTCCGGCTGGGCTCCTCCTCGCCCTCGGGCTTGAAGATGTGATTACCTAAAAAGGCAATGCTGGAACAACTTAAAGGATCGTCTGTTAGTGGCCATCATTGGGTCTGGGGAAATGCAAATTTACTACTTCTTCTGCACGGCACATCTGCCGTAGTCGGTACGCAAAGCGTTCATGGAGATGTCTTCAAGAAATCCCACCAATGATCAATTTAACCGTCACGGCAAATGGATCAAGTCAAGTCGATCTGACAGGAGGTCCGGCTCAAGCAAAATGCGGGGGAAAAAAAGCTTGACATGACCTGAAGTGCATGCAGAATTTGTCAGTCGGCTTTCCGCACTGAGCTAGGGTGTTTGGCGCTGCTTGTGGAAGGGATTGACGATAGTCTTGGCACAGAGAGACAATGAGAAGGTGTGTTCCATGATGATTCCTTCATGAAGCAGGTCGTGTTTCGGGTAGACAGATGCGGAATATTCCATGGGAATCACCAGGAATAAAAGTAATTGGTGGAAAAAAAGCATAGACGTTGAAGGATAGGATTGTGAACCGATAGTCAGCAGATAGTAAGAGAAAGAGTATCTTGGCAGCAAGATGTAAAACACGGAGTCTCTCGTAGTTAAATATAAGAGAGAGACGACGGAATCTGAATAAAAGGAGGTAATCAGCCTCAACAAAGCAAGCTTAGCACAGTGTTCCCTACATATAACCCCCTACCAAAGAACCTCACCGGAATATTCTCTAAAATGGCACCCAAGTCCATCATCAGCCTCCTTTCTCTCCTCCCTGTCACGGCTGTCCTAGCCTTGAACCCCAGCTGTGCCCCCGGAGGCAACTTCGACCTCAGCGTCTGGAGCCTTCAGCTCCCAACTGGCAGTGACGGCAGTGTCGACACCATCAAGAGCAAAGATCTTCAGAGTTGCAGTGGCTATACCGGCTCCACGTTCTTCACGGACAAGTCCAATGGCGAGCTCATTCTGACGGCACCTGGTAATCCAGACATCACCGGCTGTGCCAAGACCTCTGGTAGCGACCACTGTCGGACGGAGCTGCGCGAGGTCGACCCCAAGAGTGGCAAGAACACGGATTGGGCTCCTACTGGAACCAACACGCTTACCGTGAGCATGAAGGTCGTCAAGGCGGATGACGGCTCTCACGGCACTGCCATTGGCCAAGTCTTTGCAGCCGCCGCCAGCAAGCCGCTTGCAGAGATGTACTACAGCACCAAAGGTGACATTGTCGTTGGTGTCAAGGAGAGTCCAGATGACAACCAGATTGTCACTAAGCTGGGTAACGTGCCTGTGGGAACATATTTCACTTATGTCATGTCGTATTCCAAGAATGTTCTGAGCATCTCGATCAACGGAAAGAAGACTACTCTCAGCACTTTTGACTGGGGCTCTCCCAACTGTTACTTCAAGACTGGCAACTACAACCAGGGCAAGACAGCCGTTACTTCTGAGGTGCACATTCAGTCCATTGCCGTCGTGCATTCCTAAAAGGACTTGGCGATAGTCACGGCAAGGAAAGATTCGGAACGGATGCAGGATAGCCGTATGGGGCGGGACTCGGGAGATTAGTGATAGTAAGATGGCGAAGGATTCAATGTAATATTGGCCAAGGTAGCTATCGTGTATATATACGGTCATTCATTTTACGATTATGCCGAGAGTACTCGTACTAGTCCTCGGATCGAGCCGTATAAGCCGGGTTACTTCCTTGCAATAACCATGACCCCCTAGTGTAAGCTTGCTGCAAAGCACCATACCAGTATGACTGCCTAATGCAGGTTACTCGTGGTTCATAGTATCTCATCAGCCCAGCCGTATCATCGATCGCGCTCCATCTTGGAGGGCGTGTGCCGCCCGAGGGAAAATAGGGTGGCATTGGCCCTTTGTAAAGGATTGCCTATACTATTTTGGGCCGTGCAAAACAGGGAGCTGTGAAGCCGTCTCTTAAAAAGGATTCATTCCAGATAACGGCAGTTGTTTTAGGAAATAAAGAAGATCAGCCAAGAGGCTACTGGTGGATTTGGATTGACGGCTTTCGCCGCCGCCTCGGCTCTCGAGACCTTCCTCATCACTTGACCTCGACATGTGTAATTGGTGGATATTAAATTTCCATAGGAATAGCATCAATGCATCCTCTAATGGAAGCTGTTGTGTAGTTCAGCTAGGTATTCTATTCCTGTAAATGCAATGGAATCGATGATTACTATACTTTCTATCCTCCTCCGCAATGTAGACTTGGAATGCCTCAGCATTTGCCAACTACTACCATGCACCAAGAACGCGGTTCGAGTTGGGGGTCCAAGGAAAGCGGTCGCTAAATGGACTAGTAGAATCTGGAGAAGTGCACTATGTATCTGCTCTTATGCAGTTAACGTTGCTCTATATGGGGGAGAGCTAAAAAGAAGCTTGAGTCTTTATTTTTGCTGACGGAATCAGCCTCGGCGTTGGATGATACGTTTGCCATGTGTGAGCCCGGGAGCCACTCTATTTGCGTATACTCGTATGTCCACATTGAGAACACACGAGCTCATCGGTCCCTAATCTGGGAATTTGGTTGTGATATCATCAAGTGGGGAGACAGGCAATATTCTGTGCGAGATGGAGCTCCCAATATTGAGCCTAAGCTCGTATCCTGTAGTCTCTTTCCATCTCTGGATAGTCCACCTGCAGCGCTGTCCGTTTCGGCGCGCCTTTGCAATCCTTCCGGTTCAAATGATGCCTCAAAAAGGATGATAGATAGAGCCACGGCTTGGTGGCATGATAGTCATAAGCGGCGAAGAGACAATTGTCTGTATGAAAGAGATGCTAAGTAGAGTGAATATAACTACCTCATGTCTATGAATATGAAATGAGCCTTAACACGACTGACAATGATACATAGTGCATGTTTACAATACCGGCTACTGTGCCGAGTTCAGGCCAGGGCCACATGTCAAAATCCCTGCGCCATCGCAAAACCAGCTCAACAGAGTCATTGATAAGTCTAAATTCTTGTTTTGGTTCTGTGTTTATGCATAGTGCCATTGGTGGAATCGCCGAGGCGGAATGCGAGATTCTGCGTCTACTTGACGTAAATCGGTGTAGGCCGTGTCCTGTCCAGGGCTCCCCTGGCCATTTTGCTAGACTGCATCTAGCCAAGACAAATTCCTGCAGCTCAGCTTCTCCACACAATCTGATACGGCCTTGAAATGACAAGGGTTGGTTTTGGACCGCCAGCTGGCTTTGATTGGGCCTCTCAGGGGGGGAGTATGTACATGTATGTAGATCTGCACCACCCTGCGAACAAATCGTTGCCGCACATCAATCAGATGGACCGGGCACAGTCGGGACGGAAAACGTGCCCCAAACTTGGCGATTTGGGCATTGGTTCGCAGCCCTCCTACTGAACGTAACGTTGGAAAAAAGGGCGGGCATTTTCTTTGGCTAAGCTTCTTGGAAATGCTAGTGTCTCGAGGGTCAGACGGTCGGAACAGCCAGACAACTGCCGTCAACTGTTGAGTTTAGTTAGTCTCTTGTGGATTAGACGAGAGCAGGAGGCGAATCCTGCTTGCTTGCTTGCTTTGACCTTCCTTTGATAGACGCCGAGCTTGAGCTGCATGTACAGCTGCCTTGTGCAGGCTAGAAAGAGATGCTTATTCATCGCAGTTTAATATTATCTGCCCACCAGTTGCGATCCATGACTACTCCATAGGCTGATTTTCTCACACGATTGGCAAGCCTCTTGAGAGAGTTCTAACGCGAAACTTCTCGAGCATGTCATTCTTTGTACCCCAGGGTTTGGCCTTGGTTGACGAAAGAGGCAGCTAGATGGATGTAAGCCTTTCATTAACGTTACAACTAGCATGGGGTCAGACACACAGAAACTCATCAACAAGAGACTCAAGCTGGCAACCCGCCGCGGAAGCCGGCGTTCTGGATGGTTTAGCGCAGGGGCGAGGAGGAGCTCACTAGCATGCAAAATGCCTGGACCTGCAATGGAAACTGGGCTCGGAGTATTCCCTTGAACGGGGGTTGGGTACCTCGTATACGGAACATCGCATGGTCAATTGGCTCTAAAACAACATCCCACGGAGTTCCGAAGTACTTTCCATACAGACAAGACAACTAATGCTTCTACAGAGGGCTGTGTTTATATAAAGCGTCTGTGGCTCCCTCGTTGAAGCCAAGAGAAATTCTTCATCCCCTCCAGTTTCCAGTCTCAACCGCATACGATAACCTCTCGATCAAAATGCGCAGCTTCGACGCTCTCTTGCTCGCTGCCCTTGCGGCCTCGCCCGCTGTGGCTCGCCAGATTCCCGACAATGTCAAGAGTCTGTACAACTCGATCCGTGCTCAGGGCCAGTGCAAGAACATCCTCAAGGGTGGCTTCTACAGCCAGGAGGGCGACTCCAAGAGTAAGTAGTGGATGAGAGAAAAAAGGCGAAAGATTGTTTTTTCAAGAGGGAACTAACTTGAGACTCAGACTTCTCCTACTGCGGTGACCACTTGAACGACTACCGCATCATGTACCTCCAGGGCACCGGCGGCAACTTGGTCAACATGGACATCGACTGCGATGGTGCTCTCGGCACTGGTGACGGCAGCTGCGACAGCTCCGAGGATACTCAGGGCCAGACCACATTCCAGAGCACCGTCGCTGGCTACAAGAAGGGTATCAAGGACCTCAACGCCTATATTCACTCCTTCGTCGTTCTCGGTAACGAGGGCAGCAAGAGCGGCTACGTCACATTCGACCCCCGGTCTGTTCAAGTCCAGCCTCTGTCCATTGTTGCTGTTGTTTGCGGCAACCAGATGGTGAGCATCTCAAGAGTTCGAGTACAATTCGTAAACGGCATGTCAAGACTAACACCGCTATCAGTTCTACGGCGTCTGGGGCGACACCAACGGTGATGACGGCCCTCCCCTGATTGGTGAGGTCTCCGACTCCCTCGGCCGCGCCTGTTACGGCAACGCTGTCAACGGCAACGCTGCCCACGACCCGAACGACGTTCTGTACATTGCCTTCACCGGCAATGATGCCGTCCCCGGTGCCAACGGCGCCAACTGGGCTGCCAGCTCCTTCAGTGCCTTTGAGTCCTCTCTGGGCGCTCTCGGTGACCAGCTCGTTGCCCGTATTGGCAGCACTGGTGGCTCTACTCCCCCTCCTCCCGCCTCCTCCACCAAGCCCTCCGGCTCTCAGCCTACCTGCTCCTGGTCCGGCCACTGTGCCGGAGCCTCTTGCGGTAGTGACGACGATTGCTCTGATGACTTGACTTGCAACAGTGGCAAATGTGGCACCAGTGGGTCTTCTTCTCCTCCTCCTCCTCCTCCTCCCCCTCCCACTTCCTGTTCGTGGGCCGGCCACTGCGCTGGTGCCTCTTGCAGTAGCGATGATGATTGTTCTGATGAGTTGGCTTGCATTTCAAAGGTGTGCGCCGTTGACCCGAACAATTAATTCCGCGGCACTGGCATGGAGATTAAGAGGTGGTGGGTGTCTGTGGAGCTGGTGTTTGAGCGTCTGATGGGCTGAGACTGGCTCTTCATCGACAATGACGCAGCCTGTTACGAGTACGATGCATTTGTTCGAGGCACGAATGATGTTTATTTTATATATTTTGTATATAGGCGGTTCTATTGGCCGTCAACTGTACATACGTAGCTTTATTACAGCGTTGCGGAATAGCGTGGGTTTTTAATGGTTATACATATGTTGCTGAACACTCTCATTGTCTTCCCACTGTGATCTTCGTTGTGTTAGCTGTTAAAGAGTCCTTTATTGGTTGCATATAGTGACATGCTCCCCGTCTTACCAGAGTACATAGTGCGCCCGGTACGTAAATCGGACTCGATGAGAATCTACAGAGTCAGTGTAAAAGCTTTTGCAAACCTGTGCAGTAACACAGCGATAATGCCGTAGTAGTTTCAGCTTGGCTTAGAATAACAACTTCATTGGCTATTATGAGGCATTAACCCCTTTACAAAACGAAACAATGCCCGCATTACTTGGGGCGCCACTTGGGCTGACCAAATGTCGGATCACGTTCCGAATATGTATTCTCGGACCGACCCTACTGTCCCGTCTTCATCAGCGGGCATTTCCAGGACATGTTTGCTACGATATGGGAACTAAATTAACATTTGTTTCATTCAACAGTTGAACACAGTTGAACACAGTGCATCAAGTCACAGAGACTCAGCATGAAATATAAGCATTCTGGCAGAGTATCATCGTGCATTTCATATATACATAGCGAGTCATATATACATCCACATCTAGCGCATCGACATCATCGCCCACAACAATATGTACAACTGGTGGCGATAAAGTATTTCAACAGCCCGATACGCAGGCGTAAGAATGTGGTTGCGTCTACAAGTGTCATGTTAGTCCAAGCACAACGACAACAACGTAGTTGGAAAAAGCTTGCCACAAACCATCAAAAAAGTTTATATACAAGAAGGAAGCTCCTCACATCGCAAGAGGTCGAAGCTCGCTTATGCGGAAGAGGGCTTCTTCGCAACGGGGACGTCGTTGGAGTACTTGAGGGTGCGGAGGTCCTTGACGGGGACGGCGGCAGCGACATCGGCGGCGCGCTTGGAGGAGGTCTTGACGGCGGTACGGTCGCCCTTTGCAATGGAGACGGGGACCGAGTTGGCGTACTTGAGGTCGGTGAGGTCCTTCCACTCAGTACCGGCGCGCTTGAAGCTGGGGGCAGCGAGGGCAAGGCCGGAGAGGGCGACGGCGATGAAAGCGGCGGTCTTCATGATGATGGCTTTTGGAGGTGCAAAGTTGAGGTTGAAAATGGGTTTGGTGTAGGTGACCTTTGGTGTATGCAAGTTCAGTTCGAGTGCAAGTGCAATGCGAAATCCGGGGCAGATCCAGGGCGTGTCTGGGGAGTGACGCCCTCGCCTCCTATATATCCACGAGGCGTCTCCGAGCCAAGCATTCCGCCAGAGCACCTCATTCGACTGCTCATACCCCAGGTTTATCTCCTGCTCCAAGCAGGTTCGCGCAGGATGCGTATAATATGCATTTTGACCGAAAGATGTGCCGATACGCCTCCCAATCAGGCAGGTGGATATTGTATTGTGTGGTCAGGCGCTAAAGCCTAATTTGCCCTGTTCTGGAAGCTTGCCGATGCTAAGCTGCTGTTTGGAGGATGAGGATGAGCAATAAGAAAGTGAGAAGTGAGGTGGATGGAGAGGTTGAGACTCAGGTGAGCTCTGATGAGGCGTTGCAGCGAGTTGATCGGCGGCATCAGAAGGGGTGGCGGCTGGTCACGGAGCGTCTGGGTTGGTGTTTTTTTTTTTTGGCGATGGTACAAGTAGAGCCGCGAACTATCGAACGACTCATGTACCCATGCGCATGAAGCTCTAAGAACTGACTAGTTGCATCACTTAATGTAAGGCACCTAACGCTTTGAGCGGCAAAATACATATGCTACTCATACAGTGATATACTTGGCAATATGGAGCATTTCGTCGGCCTGATCGGTACCTTGATTGCTCATGTGCCTGAGCCGTGCTTCTTAGTGGTGGGCGGTCCCGTCCATGGATGATCGATCCGCGTCCGACCGGTTCGAGCAACTACCGCATATGGAAGTGATTATATAGACACGAAGCAGACAAGGCCGAGAGAAGAGGTCCCGCTTTCGTTGCTAAGCCTATCCAGAGAGCGAATACAACGATAGAAGCGTATGTCTTACATGGACTATGTGGGGATTGTGAGAGACTTATCAGGTATGGCCGAGGTAGGTCTATTAGAGAGGCAGGTCGGATGGCGCAATAGACACATGGCGACCTTGGCTATCCGCTCTTGAGCTACTCCCTACTTGGCATCCTGTATCAATATTTGCTACTGTACTCCGTATATGTTGATTTGTCTTCACATCCTATAACATTCCTAGACCTGGCAGCTCCCTTTCCCAATGCGCCCGCAGAAAAGGCTGCATGCCTGGGCGAGTGAGACGACAACGGTACCCGGAACGGGGGGGATCAGCAACATGACACGCCACAACACAGTACTCGTACTAGGTAATAGTATTCTACGTAGGATCATAATTGCTAATAAGGTTAAACTACTGAGGATATCGTCTTGGCACTTCTAGCTTATCGCAGACCGACGCCGAAAGGGACCGCTTATTCGTCATGGATTTTGTACACCATCTTCTCTCCGCTGATAGGCCGCATATAGTCCTCATTACGGCTTGCGCTTGATCTCTGTGAAACCAACCCGCTGCCCAAGAGCACAAAGCCGTCTGGAACAATTCTCCCTAGTCCTCCCGGCATCAGTCGCACAGGGTTGGGCTCTAGCTTCACTTTGCCATCTGCCGCTGCCGTGCTCAAGTAGTTGAAGAACTTTGTAGCAAATACGCGAGCCTCGGGGTTGGCGGCAATGGTCGCCCCTTTGATGTATGGGTTAGCGACATGAAGTGGTGATATAATGGGAGCGGGGATGCTGGATTCCTTCTCGACGTACCGTTATACCCAATCTCATAGCCCAGTCCTTCCCACACAGCGCCGTAGATGGGCTTCACGCGCAACTCTGATGGGTCATACTGCCCGCCCTTGGGGCCGCGAAACACAGCCATCTTTCCATTGTCGTTCAAAGTGCTGTGGACGCTGTACACGGATTCTCCCTCCGAGATGCTGTCCACAGCACGGTCGACGCCCTTGCCCTCAGTGGCCTCTTTCACCTTTTCAACCCAATTGGGGTCACGGTAGTCAACCAGGACATCGTAATTGTACGGCGCCTGGCGAAGGAAGTCGTGCTTAGAAGCGCTTGCTGTGCCGATAAGACGGATTTTGCGGCCGGAAGTGCGAGCTGCAAGCTGAACCAGCTGGGCGGCGTATAAACCGAGAGAGGTGGATGCGCTATAGATGAGGACATTGGTAATATCACTTGCACTTCCCGTTGAAGCATTGACTTGACCATCGAATGGACATGGGAGACCGAGACGGGGAAAGACTCCTTGAGCAGCTGTCAATCCACACATGCTGATACCAGAAGCAGCCTCAAGCGACATGCTGTCCGGCACCGACCATAGCAGGTCATACGGGGCGGTGATGTATTCGGCAAACGCTCCTGGGCGATCATTTGTTGAGCAAGCTTTAAGCAGAAGATCGTTAGCCTACACATAGACATCTCAAAGCGTCACTCGAAACAGCATGCATAATTTAATGTGAGCAGTGACTTACCGCCCTGGTGGAATCCTGCCACACGCGTACCGATTTTGGCACGGAGATCGGATGAGGATCCAAGATCAGGCCCAACGCCAGCTATGACACCCGCAAAATCTGTTCCAATGATACGTTGTTCTTGTTCTGCGATGGGATGCACGGCATAGATGGCGTCTACTGGGTTGAGAGCCACAGCATGGATGCGAATGAGGACTTCGCCATTACGAGGTTCGGGAATGGGAAGCTCCTGAACAGAGACATCCTTGGTTGCGGGAGTAAGAATGAGGGCCTTCATCTTGTTGGCTAATTTTGGCAGTTAGTTAAACCCAGAGAACAAACAAACACACAAAACAGCATCTGATAGTGAATATTACTTGGAGTAAGTCGACAAAGCTGCCGCGGGGTGGTGGACAAATAAAGGAGATGCCTGAATATTGCTGATTAGGATGTTGAATGACCACACGGGGTGTTTTGCCGTAAAAGGAAATGTGTTGCTCTCCTCTCCTCTGTACGCGGAGTGAAACTACTAATTCGAGATCTTCTCTATTTAATAGGATTCACTCGAAAGCCTCATTTGTAAGCCTCAGTGTTGGCGCAATTTCTAAACTGTGACCGCGACAACCCCAAATACGACTCAATGTGTATAATCTTTTGCTGGCGAATCATGAAAACACGACAAAAACAACTGCATGCAAAATGCCTCACGAGTAAGCGCTATACGAATTGCTTGATAATTCAAAATCGATTGCATTTCTAATGAAGCGTGCTATTTGAGAAAATTCTGACCATTATGACATAGCCCTGTCGTTTTAGACTCTGAATAGTGAGGACGGCGCAGGACGGCGCAAGGTGAGTGTGGCCGAGGCTATCTGTACGGTATCCGGATTCGGATTCGATCGAAAAGTCGTTTGCGCATCAAACACCTGCTACGACTTCTAGTTATGGCTATTCTTTCGAGCTTATCTTGAAGCTTCTAAGCTTCTCGATTCGAGGCTAACATATTGATGGTTTGATGCGGTGAGCGATTGAAAGGCTGAGGTAGGGCTGACAGCTTAAAGAGTGGAATCAACGCGATTCCGGAGGATTACCTATACTTTTAACGCTGCGTAGGATTGAGTCTTTTCTCTTTGCTAGAATAGATATATCATTTCTGTTAGTTCTAAAAGACGCGATGCTCGCAGCCTCAGCCCCTTCTTATCATCAACTTTTTCTAGTCATGGTGAGTTGAGAGTTGATAACTTCGGAATCAACTCTTGGTATTCAAGCCGGCGCTCGTTCTCACTGGTCGTATTCCGCTAGCTCTTTACCGTCCCACCTCCACATTACGCCGAAAACTTTATATTATCTCCGATACGTGACTTCTCATCGGCTGGAATAAATGATGAGAAAAAAGTCTGCCAAACTCCCTCCAGTTTGTGCGGCGTGCGGCGTTGGAGATCAACGGCGCGGTTCTATGTAAAGGCTTAATAAGGGAATGTAATAGTAACGTATAATAAATGCAGAGAGAAAAGCGCAGCCCATTGCCATCAGCATTATAAAGTAGGTAATTTATGCAAAATCAGCTGTTATTGATACTAAAGGCTCTATAATAGATATATTTAATTGCCGCTTTACAGCCTAATAAGCAGCAAGAAGCCTTAAACGATGATACTCGGAGGCGCATATATCTTGGTATCGAGGTGTTTCTCCTGTCTGAAAGAAGGGAATTGTACCAACTGGAGCTTGTCGGTCAGCTTTACAAAGAAATGCAATGCTGTATCGCCGTGGAACTTCAACATTCTTATCGTGTTTTATGTCCTCCTCCATAGACTTCGGGACTGAGACACGGTGTAATCCAGCAGGTAACTGGTCGTCAGTCCAACGTTGAAGAGTTTCGCTTATATTCACAATGAGCTCTGCCTCTCCCTCTGGTTCGACGGGAATGAATTTCTGAGGCCCATGACTCATTCTATCTTCCACTTCCAGGCCGCCGACAGACGAGGTAAACAGCAGTGTGATGACTCCTAGATCAAAGTGGGGCCATATACGAGAGACCTGGCCACTTTGAAGCAGAGATGCTGCAACTGGAGGATAGTGATTCAACCGAAGCTCACTCGCATTGTTTTCGTGAGTGATCAGTCTATTGAAAGTACCCGGGGGGGAGCCTAAGCCCTCTTCCAAACAACTCAAGATATCAGCAGTTACTCGTTCCATCTCAAAATAAAACGATTCCATCTCCGTTTGGAACCGATCAAAATACTTTGGCCATTGATTTTTAAACTGCTGATCCAGAGGAGAGCCACAATCAAAATGCTCCTATTAAGAAATCAGTCATATAATCAGATGGTAACGAATGCGTACTTGGCTGATTGTAGCTATATAAAATAAACTTACTCTGGCATCTGTTAATTTCTCGTCCACTCTACGTCCCACTAGCTGACTGTGAAGAGAAGCTGTCTTTTCTACTCCAATAGCACTGTATCCCCGCTGAGGGCTACCATCCACTACATTAACGAATTCAAGCTTGCTTTCAAGATCAAGATTGAACAATTCACCGGCCTGCAGTGTAGTTAGTACTCTGCCAGAGGTTCGGCACCTTGATATCTTATGCTCCAATGACATACCAAGCTGAACATTTCTGTTACCCTCACTGCTGGGATTCCATGATTTATGAGGCGCACAAATCCATAATCTCTAAAACTTTGAACTATATCTTGGATATAGGTACTTCGAGAGTTAGGGCCAGCATGTAACTGGGAAGCATCCAATAATGGAATGCTCATTGTGCCTTTCTCAAATGTGTGCAATTCCGCGCAGTTTGTGTAATGAGAGATGTATTGGAGAGCTAATGTATGTTAAATACTTCAGTGACCCATCAATATTTATCACATGCCATAGCAACCATGACACTATACTACGGTGGACCATCTTGGTTTGCTCAAAGAGTGTAGACCAGATGGTCGCTTAGCTCAAATTGGGTCAACATGGTAGATGGGAAAGAGGGTGTGCAGACGCTTTGCAAGGGTCGGATGTATTGCTACGTACTAGGTACTCGTAGATGCGAATTCAATTAGGGTATGTCTCAGTAACTATAAAACAAGTCAACGTGCCTCTAGACTCCATTAGGGAGTATGTCTACAAATCCAGTTGATAGTCTTGTGACTCAGTTTTTCTGTAACAATCTTCTCTTCAAATTTCATGTCAAGTAATTAAAAGCGTTACCAATGTTACGATTTTGATACCTATATGTCAAATACGTCCATTTCGTAACTAGCTGAATATCTTAAACTGCGTACGACCACCTCTCGTTGCTAGTTACAAGACTAGAATCCCGGAGACTTCTTAATTACTCCCAGTACTTGTATTCAGTATCCAACTTAGTAATAAGCCATTTGCCTCCTTGCTTGCCGTAGTGATAAGTCGTAGTCACTACGTTGTCGGCATCATCGTGATCAACAGCCTTGATCTGCACGGCGTCCTGACCAGGCAGCTCCTCCACACTAAGAACCTTGATCTTGACATCGCGCGACCATTCCTTGGCGAAAAAATTCTGTAGGCTGGGAAGACCAACGTCCTTCTGACCGCCCTTGTAATGGAGTTCAACATCAGAAGAGACGTATTCTGGGAGGCTGCTTGGACTGCGAGTAGCTAGCTCTGCGGCATACTCTTCAAAGAGAGCCTTAAACGATGGCTTGGACATTGCGAAGAGTGAAAAGATTTAAATATGATTTATGGAGGAGTATTGTGTAAATGCTGAATTGACTAGAATGGAGAGATTGAAATGCCGAGTAGGTGGGAATGGGCTCTATTTATATTCTGCTATTCCGCATGTTTGATACACACGGTACGCCACTGAGGAAATTCTTGAATCGGATTTGCGTTATGAGAAATAATAGCTTCCCGAGTACGTCGTGGCTTAATGCGGAAAGGATGGTGACTCAACTACCATTATTGAGAATGTATTGGCTCAATGTTGCTTGGGTTTCTATCTTAATGTTGATTATTTTGTTGAAGACTTATGAAAGCAGTCGCACATTCATGTACTGATTAACCGAAGAACAAGTCGAAAGTATTATTATTTCTTTTTGTTTGAGTTTCTTTTTGTATAAACAGTTGCAAATATAATAATATCTATAGGTAAAGAAGTAGATATACATTTTAGAACACTGTATCTGTACATGAATACTTTTGTATATCTGACCATCATCATATACGCCATGTTATAATCAAGGTGTGGTATATACCTGGGTACATCCTAGGTAGGTATTAATGCGCAAACTTTACTACTTGCAAGAAGCGCCTTATACATAGTGTATATGTATTTAGCTCGCTTATACCATTCACTTTTGTAGCCATTAACTTTTCTTCATACATGATTCTCTTTCTCCTGTCACGTCCATGATCTTCATCGATGTGCGCTTCTGTCACGAATCCTCAAACCCCGCCCCTGTTATCGCGTATGGTGTCTGCCTGGTGTATACTGGCCTGTATGCTAACTTGTTGAAATAAGATGTGGTGTAGCGCATTCAACCCCACAAGTACGGATACGGTTGAGAGCCAATGAAATATTCACACGTCGTGGTTTCAGCTGACAATGGCTGAAATGTTACCTCGCAGGTGTTACTTTTTTAGGGGCGCTAATTCCAGCGTGCATATTGTAGGTGCAGCAAGTCTGTCTCGGCTGGCAGTATTGTCGCCTAAGAGAACTAGACAGAGTCTCACAATAACACGTCAGTAATGGCGTAATCCGGTTCACCAGTGGTTACAAGGCAGCTTGGCCTGCCTTTCTATTCTTTCTATTATACTGTTGTTACATAGTAGTGGTAGAGATGGTTCTAATGAACATGTTTCGCAGCAAGGGAAGAACTGCATTACGCGACGCATTTTCTTAACAACTTGATCACGCAGCTATATAATAGTTGAAGAACGCACCCTGTCAGCCTATTTCTGCATGTGCTTCCTTTGGACTTCTAGTATTACGTCGCACTCATTTACGCCACCGAAAAAGACAGGCAAGCTTCAAATCATAGTCCAAGCCTCTTTGGTATTACCCCTTTTGTGTTACGCTGATAGCGGCCAATGAAATATTGAAATGTGGTTACACAACGATTAAACATATATTAAATGCTGCGTCGATACTAGAAACCCCTCCAGCCCTACTGTTGTGGTATGTAAAGGGGCTAGTTGAATGTAAAGGGTGGTTGTACGGAGCTGAAACCTATTTCTCAATACAACCTCAAAACGCAAACCCCTCTCGAACCGGCCAATCGTGCGGCAAGCATACATCACCAGATCATCACACGGTTGGATTTCAGCTTGGACAGCATTTATACGTCTCTAGGATGATACCTCTTTCTCTTTACCCCGCCTCTGGGGGCCAAATCGTAAAACTCAAGGTTGGCTACCCAATGTTCGTGATCAATCCTTCACTGCCCATTGGGAAGTAGAGTCCGATCAACTATCATTTACATAATTTAATTAGGCAGACGAGGTAATTGACATCTCAATTATGAGATATTACAACATTGGATAATCAATATGACCAAATCGCCTTATCTATGGTGTGCTAAGATCATATGACGGTTTCCGTGGGTGGGTTGGAATAATTCGTGGCGAGAATGAGGGCACGCCATCTTGTGATAACACTGTTCCACTGTGCGATTCCTGTAAATTAGTAACCATCATTAAAATATGCCACGGGCATATTCAATTGCACAATCCCGCCTACGTCCAATCTTATACTATTAGTCGAAGATATTCTTGGTGAAATATTGATGGCTACTAGCTTGAAACATTACTTCACAGGAAGAAAGTAGATATATATAACCGAAAGGATAAAGATTAACAAAATGAATACCAATGAGAGAATAAATAAATATGATAAAAAACAAAAAGTATTGGTATTCTTGAAGTATTCTCCCATCATGCCGTACGGATTTTCACATCCACCATAAGGGATGGCTTCTCCCACAATTGGTAGGAGCGTTGGCCAATAGCCCAGTCCTCGAAGCCAGGTTTTAGAGTGAGGTCAAAATTCCATAGCACCTTGGACAAGATGAGCCTAATTTCATGATAGGCGAGGTTACGACCGATACAATTACGTGGACCGTAGCTGAATGGTTTTAAGCAGCTGCGATTGTCATTGTAGAAGAGTGAAGTCGGCTCTGAGTGTATCTCTGGCAGCCAACGTTCCGGTAAGAAACTTTTTGCGTCATAAAAGTTTGACTCGGAATGATAGGTAGCTAGATGGTGTACAGCCACGACAGTCTGCAAGTCGTATTGTTAGAATTTGGAGTAAACATGTCGAAGTTGAAAGAGCAGGCCACTGATCAAGACAACGTACTTTCTCTGGGATCAAGTGTCCATCAATAAGCGTGGGTCTACCCGGTAGAGTTTCGCGCAGCAGTCCAGTTGGGACAGGAGGAAATAGGCGCAACCCTTCTTCAATACAAGCTGTCAAATATGGTAACTTGGTTGTCGTTTCCTTAAAATTGATCGATTCCTCTGTTTCGAAAGTACTGCGTATCTCATCAACGCACCTGGCCATCTTTTCTGGATTGCGAAGCATATAGTAAGTTATTCCGGTCATGGCTGTTCCAGTAGTCTCAGAGCCTGCACTGATGATAATATCGGCGTTGCAGGCCATTTCATAGTCGGTTAGGCCGTGGTCTTCACCATGTTCGCGTAGAACAAAGGTCATGATATCACCGCGCTCTTGAATCTCTTTGTTCTTGATGCGTTTGTATGTGAGTTCCATTGAACGTTGCTGGTGTTCTGCCAGTGAGCCGCGTTGCTCGGCTGTAGTCAAGAGCAGGATCAAAATCCACGAGATACTAGGGAAAACAAGCAGGGGAACCAAATACTTCATGTTACTAAGAGCTCTGATCCAAGGGTGAACTTTGCCCGTCGCTAATCCGTTAAATGATTCGCCGTATGCAAGCTCTCCAAAGATATCAAACGTTGTCATTGTGTACCATTTAGAAATATCAGCAGCAGAGTTGTCAGATTTGGCAATTCTGCGCAGTTGATTTATGAGCTGCTCGACATAACTGTTAAGTAAAGGCTCTTGTCGTGCCAACGCGTCATTTGAAAAAGCAGGTAGTAGAGCTCGGCGGAAGCGATGATGGTCTCGAGCATTTGCAGTAATAATGTTAGGGCGCTCCTCCATCCCACTGCCCTTGAAAATATGTTTTGGTAACTCAGCATGGCCAGTCCCATATATATCTCTCCACGCAGTCAAGGACGTGAAACTTAGAATGTTAGGGGCAGTTCGAACAACAGGTCCAAACTGCTCGTGGAATGCGACAACAGCATGGTCCGCTTTCCCTCGGATCAGGGATAGGCTCTTCAGCCATGGGAAAGCAATCCAGAGGAAAGGACCGGGATACTTCCGTAGAGGATGGAAATATAAGTTATAAACTGCAAAGACAAATATTTGTAGGATTGGAATGAACATCAATATCACAAATGCTGTGATCAGAATATTCCAGAAAGAGGGGATAATCTCGTTGAGGGTTCCAGATAGAACACTCTGAAGATGTTCTTTGCCCATGCTGAAAATGTATATGTGACTGACGTTTTGAATAGAATGCACCATCGAATGTATGGCTGAGAACTCGTATGCTCTGGCAAGATCATGCCGTGCCTTGAGGCAAAATGCACTACTACTTCGAGATACAGGTACTCTGTTGCAGCATCGAAGAGTAAAGGATCTCCTTATAAGTGTGAGAGACTGGCCATAGCAGCCAATAGTTGTCTCGTCTTGCGTGGAGACGCCGAGTTAGGTCATCAACACACCCCCATATTTACTAAAGCTCACTAAAGCTCACCTCCCAAGTGGACAACTAGTGTCACCGCAGCCGTCAGTGTGTCTTCCGTCTAATAAGTCGTTTAGTCTCTAGGGTATAATGCTTATATTACTGCGATAAATAGAGGTACAGCGCCGCATTCGGGGTGATAGACGTAGGTTGGTAATTGTAGTCGAATTAAGTTGAAACTTTCTAACATTAATGCGCACATGTAATCTGACGGAGCAACATTTCTCTTATTCGTGGCAATTCGCTTACATGCTTGATTAGACAGCTATTCCCTAACTGTGCAGTATTCACGAGTCACAGTAACCCTCTACTTAAAGTTCTATCTTTCGAATCCGGCAGCCACAGAGCGTTACGAATACAGACACGGTGATGATACAGTGCTATTTTAGCTAAGATGTTTACAGGGTTTGGTATGGAATCATGGATAATACGAGAATCTCTTCGATGGTAGTACGCTGGAATGAAGCAAAATGAAAGATGTCTGTGCTGCAGATGAGGGTGGTATTCGGGTATGGCGCACGCAAGGGTTACTAGGTACCTGATTAAATATGATCTGGTTGTAGTGCAACGCAACGATTGGATAATGTGAGTGCATCATGCACTCGCATCCTTCCTGTCCGCAAAATGCCAGCTGAAAGACAGATCACCTGCACTATTCACTAGCCAAACCCTGCACCATCCCCCCCGTTAAAAATACAATTGGATTTCGAAAGCTCAAACAAGCGGCCAACGGGATGAAAGGGGTATAGATTGGACAAAGGTGCGTTTTAGTATTTTGGGTAATATATTTATGCGTGCCATGAGAGGCGCCCTTTTTGCTATGGCCGATGCCCACAGCGGTATCGCCCTTCTCAGTCCAATATATCCGCACCCACTATCTGGAACAGGTCGAGTTGGTAATATCGGTGGTGGAAATTCGAACTCTCGGTCACTCATATCCATCAAACAGTTCCCTCTTCAACTAAATGGTCAATGAGACAGGCGATGCGCTTTAGAGTATTCAATCTGCAAAGCGGTTAGCCAGATATCTCCTTCGTTATATCTAAAATTAATACAAAGTAATAAAATTACCCAAATGAATCCTCAGCTGTGAGCCAGTTGTGAATTCATGGCAAATACATATATTACACGTTACATTGTAAACCTTTGTCTTCTTGTTTTCTGATCTATATATGGCCTTGTACATCCTGAGGCTCGTAGAGCTCCTCCAGATATTTTTCTTCCGCCTCTGTTAACTCCTTCCCATTTGCTGCCAGCGTCTCATCAATATGATCAACCGATCCAAAGCCAACAATCGGAGCTGTCACTCTCCTGTTCAGCCATGCGAGCGCCACATGGCTCATTGGCCATTTACGCTCTATGGCAATCTCATCTATTCTAGCAATGATACCACTGGTACTATTTCCTTCGCCAGTATATATAGTTCCGTTGGAGCTATACGATGTTCTAGGAGACGTAGACGTATCTGTTGGGCGGCGTGCTAACCTGCCAGATGCAAGAGGAGCCCACTGTTACGGAGTTGGTCAGCTTGCCTCGCAGTTGTGCTTCCGAGAAGAATATCTCACAGGTATTAATCCCACACCCGTCTTATTACAATATTTGTTCATCTCCCTCTCTTCTTCACGATATATCAGATTATAATGATTTTGCATCGAGGTAAATTTCGTCCAACCTCTCATTTCTGCAATATGCTGTAACATGCCAAATTGATATGCCCACATAGAGCTGGCGCCGATGTACCTTACCAAACCAGCTTTAATCAAGTCATGTAGCGCACACATTGTTTCCTCAGGTGGGACTGTATAATCGAAACGATGAATTTGGAAAACATCAATGTAATGAGTGTTGAGACGTTCAAGCGAAGCTTCGACGGCATTATATATCGCTTGTCGTGACAACCCTAAATAAGTTAACTCCAACAGAACTCGAAACATATATAGTCAGACTAGTTATTGAGGCCGGCTCACCCCACTGGTTAACGTAGTCTTTACTTTTGTCCGCCATCTCATGATGCATTGTGACACCAGAGCCTGGATCATAATTTTCGGCATCACATACAACTCGATAACATTTCGTCATCAGCACTACTTTATTTCGTGGGATATTGTATTTTCGAAGTGCCTCCCCCATTATTCTCTCTGACTGGCCATTTGAATAGACATTGGCGGTATCCCACTTCGTAGAATGTCAGCATCATGCCAATTGACAAACAACTATGTTATCATACTGTATTCACACCGCGATCATAGGCAGCTTTCAAAAGCGGCAAGGCCTACGTTGATTTAATTCCGTTCAACCCCTGTTATTGAATGCAATAACTGACCTGTTCTTCATTAAGCACCCAAGGAAACCAGTCGGAACTACCTATATGGAGGCCGCCAAGGATAGGGTTTGAAATACGGAGGCCTGAGTTCCCCAGATTTCGATAGGTAACTTTTGTGCGTGAAATGGAATATGTTAAAGATTCGGGTACTCGAACAAGTTTACCAATGGAAGATTTAGCCATTCTCAGTTGACTGAGAGCGATCAAAGATATAGAAAGGTGAAAATACCTATAAAAAACAGAAGAATAAAGACACCAGTGTAACAGGAACTTGCAATCAAAAGGCTTCTGGATAATAAAAGCTAGCCGGCAAGAATATAATAGGCTCCTATATTTTGCTGTGCACTTGAATTAGTTACTACAAGAGAAAATTACTTATTTATAATCTATTAGTATTCACATGGATTAGGGATGTCCCTCTGAAATATTTCTTACGCGATGACATCTGTCAAACTGAGAATCTTATGTATCTGTACACAATTCACATCTGATTTATGATAAATCGACAAAGAATGCTAAAATTTGGTCTAGAGATTATTATCTGCTATTTATTCAATTTAACAAGTACATGTGAGTAATGCCTAATATGTTCTAGGTTACGTAGATGGCATTAGAACCACCCAGTGGCTCCTTCTTTTAGTGTCAGTGCAACATCGTTTTATAATCACGTTGCCCGCAGAGAAAGAATATATAATTCCACTTCGAGCTACTTCATATGTGGTTTAATGTGCAAATTGGGGTAAATACCGAAAGAATGTAAAGAACTTTTTGTGTACCTTTCTAACAGAAGCTAAGATATGTAACCTATCGGCAAGTTACAGACCAGCCAATGCAGTATGACGAGAGCGGCACGTCGGGATAGCTTCTGGAAATGGTTAATGCTGGATATATAAAATACAGCTTATATTTTATGACTAGCGGCATATATAATCCTGCATCGAGACTCGTCTAGCATGCATGATGGTGCCCAGAGACACGGCACACAGCTGAAACCTGCATTTGTGTTGTAACCTCAACACAACCGAGAATGAGCTTGTGATTCAGATACGAGGCATTTTTCATTTAGCGAACCAACCATATTAATAGATAGTAAACGTGTTATTGCTAGATTGCTATATTATAGGGAACCTATCATTGTACATTTACATGGATTCGTAGATCAAGCTAACGTAGCACACATCCCGCGCAGGCCGTCATACGGAAACATATCCACTAAATACATTAATACAAAGATAAAATGAAAAGCGCAAGATATATTTACCTTAGCTTAGTCAAAAAGAACCTACTGCACAGATAGTCACATGCTACAGCCTCTGCAGCCACTAACAGCTTTGAGCCGCTCATGGTGTGTAACCTCAACTATTGCGAACAATTTCTTCCGCATACTAGGCGCCTACTAATCACTGAGCATTTCCTAATCTGCGCCCCCTCTTACCGCTTGACTCTGTGGTGGGGCCCCTCAACAGAGAGCACGACCTTTTGTTTTGGTGGCTTGGATAAGAGGTGCTCATTAATTGCGATGGTTTCATCAGATAGGTAAGAAAGGATGATTAGGAATAGTGTTATGTGACAAAAACATCAATTTAGGCTGTTGAAGATCCAAAGCTCAGCTTCCGAGTGACTAGTCAAATCCCATATATCCTAAGCTGGTTACAGCTAGTTTCGTTCATCAGGATGTAGGCAGCCGTTTAGAGGTAAACTCGTATCAAATATCTAGGGGGTGGTCCACTGTGTAATATACGATGAGGCGCTAGATGCTGTCAATGTCGTTGCTGAAAGCCCAATTTGGCAAGGAACCGACAGGCGCGTATGGCTCTCGTGGTGGTGGGGGGGTTGAGGGGGTTGATGGCTCAAGAGAAATAATCGCCTAGCGACCGAGTCAAAGCACAGTGTGTATAGATTTATAATGTAATTTTATGTATCGCGTCTATCCTGTTCTATTACCGAGATACGGGTCGTTATATTTGTATGTCTGCATCGTTCTTTACGCCTGCGCTTTTGGTTGTATGCTTTCCATATCGCATCGTTTGATTTACATTTCATCTGATAACGCAAGAATACTTATTTTGAGCAAATACTGCAGAACAAATCAGCTTCATGCATCAATTGAAGAAAATAATACGACGACTCTCTCACAAGAGCCATGAAGAGTCTCACTCATCAGGATCTGTGGATGATGAACTTAAAGAAACTTCAACACTTTCAACTGGTGGTATACACGATGAGAGCTTAATAACAACCGAAACTATTGAAGGTTTCGAGAATCTTCAAACTACGAATGAGGTTGCCGATTATTGGCGTCGCAAATTCTTGAATTACGATGGCCCGACCTTCCCAGCTATTCCATTCCCAATAGTGTCTCTGTTTCTCGACAATGAAATGGAATACGAAATCATCCATGGGCAGGATGAGCCTTCAAATGTTTCATCAATAACCAAAATTTATGCTGCCTGGGCCTTGATCATTGGACAATTGACCGGCTCGACCGATGTTGTGTTCGGCTCCGCTGCCACCGATTCTCAACATCAGTTAGCATCGATGACACCAATTGCCCCAGTCCGTGTATTGCTAGATACCAATCAAACGGTAGTTGATTATCTCAAGACCGTACAGCAAAATATTTTGGAAATGGAGCCCTATAAACACACTGGATTACTCGAGATTTCCAAATCATGTTGGCAGGCTGAGCGTGCCTCTGGGCTCCAAACAGTGTTTATTGTTTCATCTCAAAGTGGGAACCATTTCGGAACTGAAAAGCTACATAAGAAACATTGGAATTCAAGTCACGCTCTATTCATTGGCATCCACATCGGCGCTAACAAAACGAAAATCCGCACGTACTCTGATTCTAGAACCATTAGCCCTTGGATGTTGAATCGGCTTTTGCAGCGACTAGAATGTGTCGTGAAACAACTTGATAATGTGGAGATCGGTGCAAAAGTCGCCGACTTGAACATGATTTCAGACGGCGATATGAAGGAAATATGGCAGTGGAATAACTCGGTTCCTCAGGCAATCAGCCTGTCAGTGACAGAAATGGTAGAAGAGCGAGCAATGCTACAAGGGGACGCTCCTGCAGTATCCGCGTGGGACGGAGAACTTACTTATGGCGAACTTGGCCGCCTCTCTTCCGAATTGGCAATTAAGCTTGTGAATCACGCGTCAGATATTCGACCCAACAAGATGATCCTTCTTTTCTTTGAGAAATCAATGTGGACAGCCGTCGCTATGCTGGGCGTGTTGAAAGCTGGGGCAGCGTTTGTGCTGCTTGATCCCCTTCTTCCAGAGAAAAGGCTGCAAGCAATTGTACAACAGACAGAGGCCGATCTTATTTTGTGTTCCATCTCCAACATGGCTGTTGGCTCTGGTCTAGGTCGGGAGATATTGGCAGTTGGCCCAGAGTTGTTCATGTCGTCGAATGATCTGAGTCCTCAAATACTACCACATCCTAGTCCATTGTCTCTTATGTATGTCATATTCACGTCAGGAACTACTGGCACGCCTAAAGGAGTCGCCATAACTCACCAAAATTATGCATCCGCGCTTCACTATCAAGCAAAACTTATGGGACTCACTTCTCAATCGAGGATATACGACTTTTCTGCCTATAGCTTCGATCTATCCATATTTAATGCGTTTTCTGCGTTTACCGTTGGTGGTTGCCTATGCGTACCCAGCGAAGAGCAGCGGCGAGAAAATCTAGCAGGGAGCATAACCTTGCTCCGCGCCAATTGGATCTATCTTACCCCAACAGTTGCTCGACAACTGTTGCCTGGGCAATTACCTTTTCTTAAATCAATGATATTGATCGGAGAGGCTGTGCATGCCAAAGATTTGATGCCTTGGGCGGGCAAGGTACGTATTATGAATACGTATGGACCATCCGAATGCACTACCGCCAGCACGATCAATACAGTCGTATCTCCCTTGGTGGAGGCTACGCGTATGGGAACAGGGGTTGGGATCAACACATGGGTTGTTGATCCTCAGGACCATAACAAGTTGATGCCTATTGGGTGTATCGGTGAGCTGCTCCTCGAGGGGCCACTTGTCGGTAACGGATATTTGGGAGAACCAATGAAGACAAATTCGGCATTCGTCAAGAACCCAACATGGCTGGTTAAGGGCTTACTGGGTAAGCCGGGTCGACAAGGTCGTCTTTATAAAACTGGAGACTTGGTTCGGTATCATAGCGATGGGAGTCTGTCCTTCGCTGGTCGGAAGGACAATCAGGTCAAAATTCATGGCCATCGAGTTGAACTTGACGAAATTGAGGTTCGACTGCATGAATGCATCAAAGGAGCAGTCCATGCAACTGCGGAAATTATTGTCCCGAAGAATTCAAGCCCGGTACTTGTGGCATTTCTCCAGCTGAAGCGGGACGAAGCAGGTGCTGCGATCGTGTCGCCACAAATTCCTAGGATATACTCCATCTCAACGGAGGCGAAGCAAAACGTCGCCAAGCATTTGCCTGGATACATGGTGCCGAATATTTATTTGGTGATGGATGAGCTGCCCCTTACCGCGACTGGAAAAATTGACCGTAAACGGTTGCGCGAAATAGGTGGTGAATTTTCCTTCCAGCAGCTAGTTGAGCCACAGACCGTTGCTATCAAGCGCCAGATGACAACAGCCGTTGAACATCGGCTACAGAAACTTTGGTCTCAAATTCTCGGTATTAGCCCCGATATTATAAGCCTGGATGACAGCTTTCTGAAAATGGGAGGCGATTCGGTCAGCGCCATTCAGCTAGTGGCAGAAGCTCGTAAGGCTGGTCTTCATCTGACCGTGGCAGATATCCTCAAGCAGCCTATCTTCCAGGACATTGCGAACCATGCTATTCAAGTTTCGGAAAGTTCGAAGGCTGAGCAAAATATCGCACCTTTTAGTCTCTTGGGTAAAGCGACTAATATCGCTTCTATTATCCATGATCTATCCATACAGTACGGTATAGACCATTCAAATATCGAGGACATATATCCTTGCACGCCTCTCCAAGAAGGGCTTTTATCACTGTCTTCCAGAGCTGGCGATTATATTATGCAAGCCGTCCTGAAAATATCACCTGAGACTGATCTAATCTCATTGAAAAGGGCTTGGAGTGAAGTCTTCCAGACAACGGCAATTCTTCGAACTCGAATTGTACAACACAAGAGCTTTGGTATTCTACAAATGGTTTTGAACGAGCAACTGAGTTGGATTGATATCTCTGGCATCAGTGTGGATCAATATCTTGAGAATGACAAGGGGATGAATATGGAAATGGGCCAACCGCTTACACGGTTTGCACTTTTACGTGACCCCGTGGGCGCCACCAACTGGTTAGTTTGGACGATGCATCACAGCCTATACGATGAGTGGTCTTTGTCTCTTCTTCTAGACAGAGCAAAGAGAGTATACGAAGGCCAACAAATCGAGCCAGCTCCTCCCTTCCAATTGTTCATTAAATACCTGCAAGTCCAAGACAGGGAAGCAGTAGCAAACTACTGGCGTGAAACTCTTCACCAATGCGAAGCGACCCTATTTCCGATTCTCCCCTCTTCGGTTATTTATCCCGCGACGGATAGCGTGATTGGGTACCCCTTTGTATATTCCCATTTGGATCAAAGAGTTTCGGACATTACCATCTCAACACTTGTCCGTGCTTCATGGGCCATTATTGCTTCTCAGATGACCAACTCGGATGACGTAGTATTTGGTACTACTGTGACCGGGAGAAGCGCTCCTGTTGTCGGGATTCATACTGTCCCCGCTCCCACAATCGCAACTATTCCTATACGGATTCAAATACCATCTAGAGAGCAAAAGGTTTCTGAATACTTGGAAACAGTACAAAGACAGTCCACCGACATGATCCCTTTCGAACAACTAGGGCTACATCATATTGCTAAAATATCATCCGATGGGAAGCATGCATCCGGCTTTCAGACTCTACTTGTTATTCATGCCAAAAACAACGGAGAAACACGAGATAACTTTGGCAAATGGAAGTTCGGCAACAGTCAGCAATCTTTTAACACATATGCTTTAATCCTGGAGATACAACTTAAACCGAAGTCCATCTTGGCAACAGCGAGTTTCGATTCAAGGGTTATTAAACCGTGGGTTGTACAAAAAATGCTACAGCGCCTTGACTTTGTCATGGCTCAACTTGATGATGTTGATCAACCGCTGAGCGCAGTGCGGATGCTCACATCCCACGACTTGGAACAAATCTTGAAGTGGAATGCTGCTGTTCCGCCGACGGTTGAACTGTCTATTCCTGAGTTGGTCCAGAAACACACCCAAACTCAGCCCGACGCAGTAGCTATATGTGCATGGGATGGGCAAATCACATACCTCGAATTGGAAAGGCTTAGCACAAGTCTTGCCGGTCATTTGATTGCCCTTGGAGTTTGTCCTGGGGTACTGGTGCCAGTGCACTTTGAAAAGTCTATGTGGACGACCGTTGCGATCCTCGCTATCCTCAAGACCGGGGGTGGTTTTGTCCTGCTAGACCCTTTTCTTCCACAAAAGCGTCTCAAAGAAATCATACGACAAATCGATGCCAAGTTGATCCTATCTTCTGTCTTGTACCGCGACGTCAGCCAGGGCTTGGCTGACCACGTCATTACTGTCAACACCGAACTTTTCGTCAATCATCAAACACACTTTCAGCAACTGGGAAAGCTTGATCCCTCATCTACTGCCTATGTGCTATTTACATCTGGTAGTATGGGCGTTCCAAAAGGCGTCATGATAACCCACAAAAATGTTGCATCTGCAGTACCACAACATATCAAAAAGTTAGGCTACACGAGTCATTCTAGGATATATGACTTTGCATCTTACAGCTTTGGAGCCGCCATCAACAACGTTCTAGCGGCTCTCATCTCCGGAGCGTGTCTTTGCGTGCCGAGCGACAATGATCGACGAAGCAATTTGGCAGCTAGCTTGGTATCGCTCCGCGCTTCCGTCGTACTTCTCACCCCCTCAGTTGCTGAGTCTTTATCGCCCCAAAATGTCCCCAACCTCCGTTGTATTATCTTTGGAGGTGAGGCAGTCCGAATGAAGGATGTCGCTCCATGGTGGGGCCACGTCCAAGTTATCACCGCATACGGCTCGAGCGAAGTCACTACAATCAGCACCATCAATTCAGATGCTACTAGCCCTGAAGAGGCTACTCACATTGGCAAAGCCGTAGGTGGTGTCAGTTGGATAGTAGACCCAGATGACCATGATTGCCTTCTGCCACCCGGATGTGTTGGTGAACTCCTGCTGCAGGGACCATTAGTTGGTGGCGGCTATCTCGGTGATGTTGAAAAGACCGAAAAGGCTTTTGTGGAGGGGCCTCGCTGGCTAATCGACGCTGCAAACAACAGTGAAGATAATACCACTAGGGTCTATAAGACCGGTGACTTGGTGAGATACAACGAAGATGGGAGCCTGTCATACGTTGGCCGTAAAGATGCGCAGGTGAAGATACGCGGCCAACGGGTTGAGCTCGGGGAAGTTGAAACGATGGTCCAAAAGTATCTACCGGATAACAAGAAAATTGTTGCTGAGGTCATTATTCCACAAGCAGAAAGAACTACTCCAGTCCTTGTGGTATTTACTGAGCCGAAAATCTCTGCAGAGGCTACGGATGAAGTGAAGCTCCTTCGGTTACCACCAGATATCGAACTGAGACTCGCCGAATACCTGCCGACATACATGATACCATCAGTATTCGTCCTAGTCAAAGAACTGCCAATGACTCCTACGGGGAAGATGAATCGGAGACGACTGCGCGAGATCGGAGCTACATTCTCACTAGATCAGCTTGTGGAAATACAGACAGGTGAAGGAACGAAGCGGTCGCCAACCACACGACTTGAGCACCAAATCCGGGCTGTTTGGTCCGAAGTTCTGAACATTGATGTCTCCAGGATTGGAATAGATGATAGTTTCTTTCAACTTGGTGGTGACTCTATCTCCGCTATGCGGGCATCATCTTTGGCCATGAGATTGCCCATCCAACTGCGAGTGGTTGACATTCTGAGGGAGAAAACCATCGCCAACATTGCCAAAGCCGTCAACTCAGCTACTCCATCTGCATTGAATACAGGGAAAACAAATCTTGTTACCAAAGCGGACGTGATATCATCTCATCTCAGCCCAATCCAGAGACTATATTTTCATCTTCAGAGAGATCCAACCGTTTGCTTCGATCAATTCTTTTACCTTAAATCAAGACGAAGCATTGCAGCAGATTCTTTGTACAAAGCACTTGAGACTATTGTTCGTCGACATGACATATTGCGTGTCCGATTCAAGAGGGCTGAGGGCGGGGCTGCATGGAAGCAACACATAGCTGATTCTGTCTCTGAATCATTTCATCTTGACGTCAAGGAATTTCCTGGTTCTCAATCAGCCGCTGAGACTATTTCCCAGTGCCGCGGGCGCCTGAATATACAGGATGGTCCAATACTAACAGCGGTGTTACTTAACAAAGCTACCAATGACCAGACATTGTTCATTGACATTCATCACCTTGTTGTTGATCTAGTCTCGTGGCGGATTATCCTGTCCGAGTTGGAAGACTTTTTGGAAAATGGGACGATCATGACACCAGCACCTTCTGTAGACTTCCGCTCTTGGATTACTATGCAAGCACAATATGCTACCAGAATGCTACCAGCCGCCACTGGTACCTATACCCAGCCAAATCACCAGAGAAGTCTTGACTACTGGGGAATGAGCAGCTCAGCTGCAAATACACGAAATGGTATTATAGCCAAGAAATTTGTCATTGATGAATCGGCAAGTTCAGTCATTCTAGGTCGAGGAAATGATATTTTCAATACTCGCCCTCTTGAGCTCATAATCTCTGCGCTCATATTCTCGTTTAGTCGCACATTCCAGGATCGCCCCCCTCCTATTATTTTTAGCGAGGGCCATGGTCGCGAGACATGGGATGACAATATTGATATTTCAACAACAATCGGCTGGTTTTCAACTATTTCTCCTGTACAGGTCACAGGTACTACAATACATAACCTTACAGACGTCATTCGCCGCACAAAAGATTCCAGGCGAAGCCTATCAAAAAATGGTTGGGAATACTTTACATCTCGTTTTGCCGATGAAGCAGATTCTGTGATATTCTCTCAAGAATACCCGGTTGAGATAATGTTTAACTACGCTGGCGCTTATCAGCAGCTGGAGCGCAGCAATGGGCTCTTTGAACATGCAACCCTCCCGGCGGGATGTGACCCTCCCTCTAGCCTCCATGTGCAAAGATTTGCGCTCTTTGATATAGATGTTTGGGTTGATAAAGGCCAGATTGCCGCATCTATCGAATTTCACAAAAGCATGAATCGGCAAGACAGAATTGCTTCGTGGATTCGTAACTTTGAAGCTACTCTAAGCGACATGGCCCTTGAACTTTGCAGTGGTTCAGTAAACTGGACTTTAAGTGACTTCCCGCTTGCGTTTAAGTCTTACGATTCAATTAATGAATTCCGCAATACTTGGACTCAGCTTTCTTTTCAACCCGCCGATATCGAAGATATTTTCCCCTGCTCACCTCTACAAGAAGGAATACTAGTATCACAAGCTAGGGAAGCAACCAATTACCAGCGGTGGGTTGAATTTGAAATCCGAGTCAATGGCGACAATTGCCTCGATATCGACAGACTCAAACAATCTTGGAAGGCTGTTGTAAAGCGCCATGCCCTCTTGAGAACCATCATCTTCGACACCTTCCCCGGGACAAACAAGATGATGCATGTTGTTCTCAAAGATCCGACTCCGAGCATATCTTGCGCAACTACTAAACTGGATGCTCCCAAAGGGCTAAGCAAAGACAACCTTCAACATCATCTTTCAATTTTTAATATCGAAAAAAGCAAAGCTCACATACGCCTTGAGATGAACCACGCCATCACCGATGGCCTCTCACAAGAACTCTTATGCCGGGATCTTCAGTCCGCATACGGTGGGGCCATCCTTGATACTGCGGGATCATATAAAGATTTTATCGAGTATTTAGAGAAACAACCGCATGAAGATTATGAGGCGTTTTGGATTCATAATTTGTCTGGAATCGAGCCATGTCTTCTTCCCCTCCCACCCTTTAACGGCGATGATTCTTTTACCAAAACACCCAATTCAGTACACGTCCAAGGTATTGAAACCCGCAAGATCCGCGACTTCTGTGCGAGCTTTGACGTGACGCCCGCCATACTAGCTCAACTTGCGTGGGCCCTTGTCTTAAAAGCATACACAGGAGCCACCTCACCTTGTTTTGGGAGCCTTTTCTCTGGTCGCGATGTGTTGGTTCGTGGGGCTCAGGACACCTTTGGACCTTTTATTGGGCTAGTTCCATTCCGCATTCACCTCACACAGGAGGACACTATTCTTGACATCTTGAAGCAAACCCAAGATAATTATCTGAGCATCTTACCCTACCAGCACTTCCCCCTCGCAAAAATTCATAGAGCCCTTGGGTTAGGTTCACAGCCACTCTTCAACAGCTTGGTATCATTCCAGAAGGTTGATGACTACGATGGCACGGATGGGACAGAACTACTCATTAAAGAAATCGCCAACTTTGATCCAACTGAGGTAAGAGGACAGCAGCGGGCATTCGTACAAACAGGATCTAACATGAGATAGTACGATGTAACGATTGACGTCACGGATAGCACCACAGAAATCGATATCCAGGTGAGCTCTAGGCCGGGAAGCCTAACATCAAACGCAACCATCCGCCTTGCAAACTGCATAAGCGTAGCACTTTCCAAGCTCGTACAAGATCCTTATCAAAGTGTCCAAGAGATGGCTGTAATCAGCGTGCCCGATCTACAACAATTACAGAAGTGGAACTCTGCACTCCCTGAAACTCTGGATAGATGCATTCATGATATCATTGATGAACGCGTTAAAGCTCAACCGAATGCACCAGCAATTTGCTCTTGGGATGGTGATCTCACCTACCTAGAACTAGATCGTCTCGCCAATGGTTTGGCCAATCGACTTTCTCAACTTGGAATCGGACAAGGCATGGTAATACCACTCTGCTTCGAGAAATCACTCTGGACGTCAGTTGCCATACTTGCCGTGCTAAAAGTCGGCGGTGCTTTCGCGCTCCTCGACACCTCACTACCAGAGCAGAGATTGCAGGCAATTGTTGATCAAATTGAGGCAAAGATCATCCTCACGTCCACCTTAAATCTCGGCCTTAGTTCAAGACTATGTAAGAACGTCGAACAGATTGGCGCGGATTCTGTGACTGCTACCGATCATCTCGTTCATCGGAAGCCTCAGTCCTCTGCAACTGCCATCTTTGCCATATTTACATCGGGAAGTACTGGTACTCCAAAAGCTGCCATACTCACTCACTCAAATATCGCCACCTGCTTGAAACACCAAGTTGAGCTGCTCGGTTTCACCAAGGAATCCAGAGTATATGATTTCGCTTCCTATGCTTTCGACGTCTCCGTGCATAACCAAGTCGCCACGTTCGTCACAGGAGGCTGTCTATGTGTCCCTTCTGATGACGACCGAAAGAATAATTTGACCCATTCAATAAATGCCATGCAAGCTACCATAATCACTATTACACCTTCGGTGGCCCGTCTTATCGACCCCCATATGGTTCCGCGTCTCGAAACCCTCATAATAGGCGGAGAGATCATCACCGTGAATGATGCTGCTCGGTGGTGGGGAAAGGCTCATGTCGTAAATATTTACGGGCCAGCCGAATGCCACATCAGCACAATCAATGCCGCCGCGACCAAACCCGAGGAGATTGTTCATATCGGTAAAGGTGTCGGCTTACTGGCCTGGATTGTCGACCCAAACAATCATAATTGTCTATTGCCCATTGGCTGTATCGGAGAGCTCGTCCTCGAGGGCCCGCTTGTGGGTAACGGCTACATCAATGACCCGGAGAAAACAGCCGCTGCATTTATTCAAGACCCTCCATGGCTGATACAATTTGGCCGTAGTGGCCGAATGTACAAAACCGGTGATTTGGTATGCTACAATGAGGATGGAACACTCGTGTTTCTTGGCCGAAAAGACACCCAGGTTAAGATTCGTGGCCAGCGAGTCGAACTTGGAGAAATCGAGCATCGAGTCGAAGAGTGCTTTCCGGAGTCTAGTCAAGTGGCTGCGGAAGTTATTGGCCCACATAGTAATAGGATTCTGGCTGCATTTATCCAGTACGAGACCAGCCCTGCCACGGCCACATTGCTATCTGTCCGATCCCATATCATGGATCACCTGTCAAAGCACCTTCCCCACCACATGATACCTACTCTATTCTTTTCTATGCACCAACTTCCAATGACCACCACAGGAAAGGTTAACCGAAGGAGTTTGCAAGAGATTGGTGCCTCACTCTCTGCTCAGGATGTGGCAGAGATGCTGACCACCATGCGAGGACTCAAGCGCCGGCCAATAACTGAAATAGAGCAACTAATGCAAGCAATTTGGGCTCGTATTCTTGATATCAAAACAGAGACTATCGGTCTTGACGATGGCTTTTTCCAACTTGGCGGCGATTCGATTGGTGCGATGAAAGTTGTGGCCGAATCTCGCAAACTTGGACTTCACCTGACGGTTGCGGACATCTTCACTTACACTACCCTGCAAAACATTTCTCAGCAAAGCCTCGGTACTCAGGTGCCACCTTTTCAGGAAATACCTCCATTTGGGCTCATAAGCAAAGAAGCCAATATTGACTCACTCATTCAAGATATCGTAACGCAACATCAGCTTGAAGCTACTGTCGTGGACATTTACCCATGCACACCTCTTCAAGAAGGCCTCTTCTCCTTGTCGCTTAAGCGCGTGGGCGATTACATCATGCAGGCGACCTTGGAACTGCCGCCTGACATTTGTCTTGACACATTTAAGAAAGCATGGGAGCACGTATTCTGCACCATGCCGATCCTACGCACGCGTATTGTCCAGACAGACTTCGGCTTGCAGCAAATCGTCCTTGATGAAAAACTGCAATGGGTCGAGACGACTGACCTTGAAAATTATCTCCATGCTGATAGATATCATGCAATGGGTATCGCTAAGCCACTTAGTCGTTACGCGCTCATTCAAGACCATGACGGTGTTTCGAAGTGGTTTGTTTGGACTATGCACCACGCTCTGTACGATGGCTGGTCTGAGCCGATTCTGAATCAGGCGGTGTATGAGGCTTATCTGGGATATAAACCCGAGCCGGGGCCCCCATTTCAACACTTTATAAAGTATATTGAGGATCGGAACAATAAGCAGATGGAAGACTATTGGAAGAACGCTTTCAGCGGTTGTGCCACGGTGCTGTTTCCGACCCTTCCACCATCCATTAAGGAGCCACTGGCAGATAAGTCAATCGAGCACTGCTTCTCTTATCCCAGAAAGCGGACCCATAACATCACGATATCCACGTTGATTCGTGCAGCTTGGGCTCTAGTTGCTGGCAACATGACTGACTCGAGAGATGTTGTCTTTGGCGTCACAGTCTCTGGAAGGACTGCCCCAGTTCCTGGAATCGACGCCTTGATAGCTCCCACAATCGCCACAGTCCCAGTCCGTATAGCTTTCTCCAAAGAGCAAACGATTGGAAGTCTTTTAGCCTTGGTACAACAGCAATCCATTGACCTGATACCCAATGAACAAGCCGGATTGCAGAACATTGCAAAGCTTTCTGTTGAGGCTCAGCATGCGTGTAATTTCCAGACATTACTCGTAATTCAGCCCCGAGAGAGTACCATCGATAATCCTCTGGCCAAATGGAGAATTGAAGGCCAGCAGCGCTGGTTCAACACATACGGCCTGACTCTCCTTATCCAGATCTCGTCAGGAAATATCACGGTCAATGCCAGCTTTGACTCTAGGGTGATAGACCCATGGAACGTGAGCCAACTGATGCAGAGACTCGAATATGTCTTTTCACAACTAGCTAGTGCACCACCAGATGATACACTGAACAGCATTGAGATGGTCACACGCCAAGATCTTGAGACAATCTGGCAGTGGAACGCGGCTGTGCCCACAGCTGCTGATCAGTTTGTTCAAGAAATGATTGCAGACTTTGCCCAGACCCAGCCGAATGCGACAGCTATTTGTGCCTGGGACGGCAACTTTACTTACAAAGAGCTTGACGAACTCTCAACGAAACTTGGAGCGTATTTATTCAAGCTGGGCGCCAATCCCACAACGTTTGTGTCAATCTTCTTCGAGAAGTCCAAGTGGAATACGGTTGCAATGCTCGCCGTGATGAAATCAAGCGCATCTTTTGTTCTACTCGATCCCTCGCTTCCGATGCGGCGCCTGGAAGCGATGGTAAAAGAAGTGCAAGCGATCATGATTGTGACATCCCCTCTCAATAGGTCTACAAGCGAGAGTCTCTGCAAAAATGTTATTACTCTGAATTCCGCATTTCTCAACGAACTAAATGACGAGGTGGCTCTGCCTCAGCCTCCTGACTTCAATGGAATTAACTATGTGGTATTCACCTCAGGAACAACGGGAAACCCCAAAGGTGCCGCAATAACCCACAAAAACTCTGCTTCTGCTGTGAAGTACCAAGTCCCAGGGTTCGGGTATACCACTGAATCGCGAGTTTACGATTTCTCTACCTACAGTTTCGATGGGGCGCATTTCAACGCTTTCACAGTTCTCGCAGCAGGTGGCTGCCTTTGTGTCCCAACCGACCACGACCGAAAAAACAACTTGGCGGAAAGCATGGAGGCTTTAAAAGCTAACACTGTTTTTTTCACGCCGACGGTTGCGGCACTTTTATCACCAATACAGCTCCCTCACTTGAAGACAATGATTCTGGGCGGAGAGGCCATCCGTGTGAATGACATCAAACCATGGTGGGATGCTGAAGGAGTGCGCGTATTCACGCTGTATGGTACAAGCGAATGCACGCCAGTTAGTATGATCAATCCATTCCCAGAAACACCGGAAGCAGCCGTCGATATTGGAAATGGATACGGGGTGGTAACTTGGGTAGTGGATCCGGATAACCATGATTCTCTTATGCCATTAGGGTGCGTCGGCGAACTCCTTGTCGAGGGCCCTCTGATTGGCACGGGTTATATAAATGATCCAGCCAGGACTGACGCAGTGTTTATCGAAAGTCCAACTTGGATGGCGCAACGTGGCCGTACTGGCCGTCTCTACAAAACTGGCGATCTTGTTCGCTATAAGCAAGAAGGCGGTCTTCAATTTCTGGGCAGGAAGGATGCGCAAGTTAAAATTCGAGGTCAACGGGTTGAGCTTGAAGATGTGGAGTGCTTGATTCAGGAATCCATGCCCAGCGTGATACGAGCCGCTGTGGAAGTGATCACGCCACAAGGAACTAATTCGAGTCCCATCTTGGTTGCATTTCTCCAAATGAATCATGAAACGTCGGTCCCTGACCAGCCGCAGATGGTAACTACATCCACAGCTAAGATTATTACAATACCTGTGGAGGTTGAGCAAACACTATCCCAGAATCTTCCTAGTTATATGCTCCCGTCTGTGTTTTTTGACATGAGAGCGCTTCCGCTGGGAACCACGGGCAAATTGAACCGGAAACAATTACAAGAGATGGCTTCATCATTATCCTCTCAACAGTTAGCCGAAGCGCGAGTTATTCACGCGGGTCCGAAAAGACAGCCAACAACGGATATTGAACGCAGATTGCAGCACCTTTGGGCAAAAGTTCTAGATATTAAACCCGCCTCCATGGTTGGGTTAGATGATAGCTTCTTTAAGCTAGGGGGCAACTCAATCACTGCTATGAAAGCTGTTGGCGAGGCTCGCAAGCTTGGCCTTCAGCTTTCAGTGGCTAATATCTTTCTTTACCCCAGCTTACACCAGACGGCGGAGCATGTTATGTCTTTAGAGAACAACGCTCCGACACAAATGATAACAAAATCTGAAGCAAACGAACCTACAGAGCAATCGTTTGCACAGGGTCGTTTATGGTTTCTTGAACAGCTTTATCCAGGTCTCAATTGGTATCTCATGCCTTGCATAATGAGACTAAAAGGTCCTCTTAACATTGAGGCACTCGACATTGCTCTGACGTCTCTTGAACGCCGGCATGAAACACTTAGAACTGTTTTCTTTACTGTAGATGGCGTTGGGATGCAAAGGGTTCTTCCCATAAGAGACCACTCTCGTTTGAGCATCATTCAAACGACATCAGATCAGAACTCAAGCCTCGTGGATGCCCTTCGAAGGGACGAAACTACTCCATTTGAGCTAAAGAAAGAGCCCGGATGGAGGACCGTGCTCTACAAAGTCGAAGAAAACCACTATGTTCTATCAATTGTCATGCATCACATCATTTCCGACGGTTGGTCTGTTGATATTCTTCGCAAGGAACTGGCGTCGTTCTATTCTGCAGCTATTCGTGGTGTCCAGGATCCTCTTTCCCAAATCGACCCACTGCCAGTTCAGTATCGCGACTTTTCAAACTGGGAAAAGACGCGCAATAGTGAATATGAGCGACAGCTTGAGTACTGGGCTGCCCAACTAAAAACCAGCCGACCGGCCGAGATGTTCTGCGATAGACCGCGTCCTGCGTCACTATCAGGATATGCCGATGTCCAAAAATTCACCATCACCGGAAGGCTATATGAGATGCTGGAGCAATTTTGTCAAAGAAACAATGTTACACCTTTCATTACGCTACTTGCGGCTTTCCGTGCGACTCATTATCGCCTCACCAATCAGCATGATGCCACTATAGGAAGTCCTAATGCTAATCGCGACCGATGGGAGATCAAGGACGCAATTGGTTTCTTCGTCAACATGCAATGTCTCCGTATAGTCGTCGACGAAGAGCCAATGAGTTTTGACAAATTAGTCGAGCAAGTTCGGTCCGTCACTATTGACTCATTTGCCAATCAAGACGTTCCATTTGAAAGAGTTGTCTCCAAGTTGCGACACAGTAGGGATCTGTCGCGGCATCCTCTCGTACAAATGATATTTGCAGTTCACTCCCAGTTAGACCTGGGACAGTTCGCTTTCGAAGGCATTGAAGCCCAATATATTGACCAGTCAATCACCTCACGATTCGATCTTGAGTGCCACCTATTCCAAGAACGAGCTGGCTTTCGTTGTGAGCTTCTCTATTCAACAGATATCTTGTTTCACGAAACAATTAGCAATTTCATATCTACGTTCAATGAACTTCTAAGACAAGCTCTCGACGACCCACGGTTATCAATTCAATCCATGAATCTATTGGCAAATGATAGCCTCGCCATGCTAAACGCAAAATTAGCCATGGGAAATGTTACTACAGATTACCCTCGAGGCGTAAGCGTGGTTGATCTCTTCCGGCAGCAGGTGATCATGTGTCCAAATAAAATAGCTGTGAAAGATACTGTTTCGCAGCTAACATATACTGATTTGGACCAACGGTCCGATGTTATTGCCTCCTGGCTAATTGGACGCAAACTCGTTCCCGAAACTTTGGTTGGTGTTTACGCCGCCCGCTCGTGTGAAACAATTATAGCATTTTTGGGGGTATTGAAAGCAAATTTGGCTTATTTGCCATTTGATTCAAAGATACCTGTTGGTCGAATGGATCGCGTTCTCACATCTATCAACGGCTCTAATATTGTCCTTGTCGGCAGTGGTGTCCAGCCTCCTCTTCTCAAAAATGATGTTGAGTTTGTTCATATAGAGGAAATTGTCAGCAATCTATCAACCATTAGAATCTTGAAAGGGTCGCAGACCCCTTCACCAAGGAGCTTAGCCTACGTTATGTTTACGTCCGGGTCAACGGGTGCGCCAAAGGGCGTCATGATTGAACACGGTAATATTGTGCGGCTCGTCAAGAATACAAATATGCTACAGCATTCATCCACTGCCGTAATGGCGCACATGTCAAATATTGCTTTTGACGCATCGACATGGGAGATATATACCGCTCTGTTAAACGGTGGGACTTTAATCTGTATCGACACAACAGCGACTTTGGATTGCGAGACAATGACTAGTACTTTTTCGACGGAGCATATCGAAGTCATGTTCATCACACCAGCTCTTCTAAAGCAATATCTCTTGGATTGTCCCTCCATCGTTAGTGGGTTAGAGACTTTATACATTGGTGGTGATCGTTTAGATCTTCAGGATGTATTGAAAGCTCGTACCCTCATGAAAAACGATAGTAAGATTGTCAACGGATACGGTCCAACTGAAAATACCAGTTTCAGTACCATGTATACCTTGTCCGCAAATGAACTCTGTACGAATGGTGTACCAATTGGGCGGGCTATTAGCAACTCTGGTGCATATGTTATGGACTCACGGCAGCATCTCGTCCCTCTCGGCGTAGTGGGAGAACTAGTTGTTACCGGCGATGGATTGGCTAGAGGATATATCGACAGTGAACAAAATATCGATCGATTCATTACTATTTCTGTGGATGGAAAGGGTTCTGTCAGGGCCTATCGTACCGGCGACTACGTCCGTAATCGACCTTCAGATGGGCTTCTCGAATACATTGGACGAGCTGATGGACAAGTCAAGGTTAATGGCCAGCGTGTTGAGCTTGAAGAAATCGATCATATCTTGCGCAGCCATGAAAGCATTTCAGATGCCATTTCCGTATTCCAAGAAATAGAAGGGCGAGATATGCAGCTGGTTAGTTTTGTTACTTTGCAAACGACTAGCACTGAAGAGCAAGTTCAAGATTTTGAAGAGATAAGCGCCGATGAAGCCAAACAGGTTGAAACATGGGAGGAGCTTTTCAATAAGGATACATATAATGCATTTGACAACCTTCCGTCCAGCCTAGCAGGACGAGACTTCGTCGGCTGGTGCTCAATGTATCATGGGTACGATATCGATACTGAGGAGATGAACGAGTGGCTCGATGATAGTATTAACAGCATCACCAATGGATCTAAATCACTCAACGTTTTAGAGTTGGGATTTGGAAGTGGCATGATTTTGTTCAATCTCTCTTCAATTTTGGAGAGCTATATTGGTCTTGATCCAGCGGAAAAGGCTATCAACTGGGTTGCGAAATCATCAAAAGTCATCCCCGAACTCTCTGACAAGATCCGTTTACAGAAGGGCACGGCAGCAGACATACGACAGCTGGGGTCAATATCACCCAACATTGTCATCGTCAACTCTGTTGTCCAATATTTTCCCAATCACGAGTACTTACTAAAGGTTATTGGAGATATTCTTCAACTGGAGAGTGTCACAACGGCCTTCTTTGGCGATGTCCGCTCGTACGCAACGTACAAAGAATTTCAGGTTGCCAAAGCTCTCTTCCAGTATGGGAACGATGCTGGCAAGGACGATATCCGGAATTTCATGGCAGAGATGGAGCAGAGGGAATTGGAATTATTGATTGATCCAGGCTTCTTCACTGGATTGCAAACTCAATTTCCTGGCCAGATCCATCATGTTGAGATATTGCCAAAACGAATGAAGGCAGTAAATGAACTAAGCTGCTTCCGATTTGCCGCTGTAATACATTTGAAGCATGGCGGCTTCGAGCAAAAAGTCCACGAGGTTAACGAAAATGAGTGGCTGGACTTCTCAAAACAAAAGCTAGATCAGGAAAGCCTTCTGGAGCTATTGCGAAGCTCAACGCTTCCCCTAGCCATCAGCAACATTCCGTACAGAAAAACCATCCTTGAGAGATTTATCGTTGACTCGATGGAAAATATTTCCAACGATGACAAAAGCTGGCACTCAAACGCCAGTGAAATGGCTGCAAGGCTCCCTTCTCTAGATGCAGTTGACTTGGAAGAGCTTGCTAAACAAACGGGTTGCCGAGTTGAGATTAGTTGTGCCCGCCAGTATACTCAGCGTGGTGGTCTTGATGCAATTTTCCACCTCAATGACTCTGGCGGAGATAGGCGGACGCTGTTTCGATTCCCCACAGATCATGAGGGACGATCGCACTCTAAATTGAGCAGCCGGCCTTTAGAGCAGCACACTAAACATAGAATTCGTCAACAGCTCCAAACGAAATTTGAAGCTCAACTGCCATCGTACATGATTCCAAAGATCATCACTTTCCTCGACAAAATTCCAATAACGGAAAACGGCAAAGTGGACCGCCATATGCTTGTGAAGAACTTACAGAGACGTACCGTGAGAAGGGGAACTTTGCAGCAGCCATCTACCGAAAGGGAAAGACAAATGCGGAACATTTGGGCCCAAGTTCTGAATCTCGAACCATCTACAATCAGTGTTTCAGATAACTTTTTTGAAATCGGTGGTGATTCTCTCGCAGCTATGAAGATCGTGGGGCTGGCTCGTAAGGCTGGGCTAAGACTCACAGTCGCCGATATTTTCCGTGGCTCCGACTTGGAAACGATTGCAAGCAACATCACAGTACTCGATAGTACTTCTTTCAACATATCAAAAAGCGAAACAGACGGGCCTGTAGAGCAATCATTTGCTCAGAGGCGGTTATGGTTTTTAGAGCAGCTTTATCCCGGCTTGACATGGTACTTGATGCCATGTGCCATTCGATTGAGAGGACATCTTAATATTGAGGCTTTACAGGTAGCACTACTGGCCATTGAGAGACGCCATGAAACATTACGAACCACTTTCGACACTGTTGACTCCATCGAAGTGCAAATAATTCGGCCATTCCTGCCTAATGATCTGAAAGTTATCGATGTCATGGATGAAGATACTCTGATGGCAGCGTTGCACCAAGACTATGCAACTCCGATGGATCTACGGAAGGAACCCGGCTGGAGAATTATGCTGTATAGACTTGGGCATAACAGCCACGTGTTATCAATTGTTATGCATCATATTATTTCTGACGGTTGGTCGATCGAGATTCTCCAAAAAGAATTGGCGACATTTTATAAGATGGCAATTCAGAAACAAGATCCTCTATCAATGATAGAGGCGCTCCCCATTCAATATCGTGACTTTTCTGTCTGGCAGAAGTCGAAGCCTCAAGCGCATGAACATGAAAAACAACTTGAATACTGGGTGAATCAGCTAGAGACAAGCAAAGCAGCTGAGTTTCTTTGTGATAAGCTGAGGCCCGCTACTCTCTCTGGCCATGCAGGCAGACAGAGTCTGAGACTTGAGGGCGAAATTTTTAATCGGCTCCAAATGTTCTGCAAGTCACGCAAAGTAACACCCTTTACCGTTTTGCTTGCAGTCTTTCGAGCTACCCATTTCCGAATGACAGGCGTTACCGATGCCAACATCGCCACGGTTAACGCTAATCGCCATCGATGGGAAGTCAAGGATATGATTGGATTCTTCGTCAACCTTCAAAGTATCCGAATCTGGACTGAAGAAGAATCCTTAGAAGATCTTGTCCAAAAGGTTCACAAGACTTTAGTTGATTCAATTGCCAACCAGGACGTGCCATTTGAAAACATTGTTTCAAAATTGCAAACGGATAGAGACCAATCTCGTCAGCCTCTGTCACAGATTTTATTTGCTCTTCATTCTCAAAAGAATCTTGGGTCATTTAAATTAGAAGGCTTAATCACAGAACAAATTCCTGTGCCTCCGACGACTCGATTTGATATGGAGTTTCACTTTTTCCAAGAGTCGGGTGCCCTTCAAGGAGAACTCTTGTTCTCAACTGACCTCTATATCGCTGAATCCATCGCCAGCATTCTTTCCACGTTTGATATGATGCTGAAAAATTCTCTTGAACATCCTAATATGCCTATAACCTCCCTGCCCTTGCTGTCGGATGAAGGTCTTGTGGCACTGAAACAGAGGGGCCTTATCAACGTTGTCCTGCCAGAGTATCCTCGGGACTCTAGCATTGTGGATCTCTTCCGTGAGCAAGTAGCACTCCATCCCCAGCGCTTAGCTGTCAAAGATGACTCTCCTATGGAGCTCACATATGCGCAGCTTGACAAATTGTCAGACGATCTGGCTCATTGGCTAAGCAAGCATTCATTTTCTGCCGGAACTCTTATCGGCGTTTTTTGTAGGCGATCTTGTCAATCAGCTCTTGCTTTCATGGGTATTCTGAAGGCTGGGTTGGCGTATCTACCATTCCACCTGAAGACACCTCAGTCTAGAATGAGAGCTATTCTGTCAACATTACCAGGTCGTAAGATGGTCATGGTTGGCAGCGACATTGCAAGCCCTAGCTTACAACTCGAAGACACCGAATTCGTTCGCATTACGGATGCATTGGAAGAGCAAATATCACGGAATTATAGACCTCAATCATACGTCACGGTTTCGGGTGAGAGTCTCGCATATGTCATGTTCACATCTGGTTCGACAGGTAATCCCAAGGGTGTCATGATCCAACACCGAGGCATCGTCCGCTTAGTGAAAGGGAGCAATGTGGTCAAGCATCTTCCCCCTGCAGCGATCATGGCCCACCTAACAAATATTGCATTTGATGTTTCAGCATGGGAAATTTATGCAACGCTTCTCAATGGTGGTACATTAATCTGTATCGATACTGCAGTACTCCTGGACCCCAGAGCATTAACCGATACATTCAACAAGGAGAATATCCAAGTTGCCTCTTTCACACCAGCGCTCCTCAAAATTTTACTAGAGCAGGCCCCTACTGCCCTTAGTTCCGTTGAGGCTCTATATGTCGCTGGAGAAAGGGCTGACGCCCGAGATCTGGTAGCTTTACGAACTCTCATGAAGACCAACGTGGTCATCAATGCCTATGGGCCGACCGAAAATTCAATCTTCAGCACATTTTACGTCATGTCTAGCGAGGAAAAATGTGTAAACGGTGTGCCTATCGGGCATTCAGTTAGCTGTTCGGGCTCATATGTTGTTGACAAGAACCAGCGTCTTGTGCCCCCTGGCGTTATTGGAGAGCTAGTGGTCACTGGCGATGGCCTCGCAATGGGTTATACTGATCCTGGGTTGAATGTCAACCGATTTATCACAATCGATATCGAAGACGAATTAGTGAAGGGGTATCGTACTGGTGACTATGTCCGTTGGAGGCCTACTGACGGAGAAATCGAGTTTTTTGGACGTGTAGACGGACAAGTCAAAATTCGTGGTCACCGGGTCGAATTGGGAGAAATCGAACACGCCCTACGAGATTATAACACGGTAAATGATGCGGTCGTTGTCTTGCATCATGATGGACTTCGGGAACCGCAAATATTTGGTTACGTCGTTCCAGACGAGAATATTGAAAGCAGCCAAGGATCTGACATTGGCGTGAGCGATCACGTAAAAGCATGGGAAGACATTTTTAATACTGAGACGTATCAAGCAGTTGGTCAAGTGGAAGCTGCAAAGATTGGAAGAGATTTCATTGGCTGGTCTTCCAATTACGACGGGAGCATCATTGGTACTACTGAGATGAACGAGTGGCTTGACGAGACAATCACCGCAATAAAAAATACCAGCCAGCCTCTGAGGGTTCTCGAGCTAGGGACAGGGACTGGCATGATCCTGTTTAATCTGACCAACGAACTCATCCAGTATACCGGGCTTGAGCCGTCTGAGCGTGCCGTTGAGTTTGTTTTCCGCTCGGTCCAGTCAATCCCCGCGCTTTCTAACAAGGTTCGATTATATAAAGGCACAGCAGCCGATATTGGGACACTTCCTAGCACAGTGACACCCAATGTTGTAATCATCAATTCAGTCGCACAATATTTCCCCAGTCAGGAATATCTTCTTCGTGTTATTGGAAGCATTCTCAAGCTTGGCACTGTTGAAACGATTTTCTTTGGCGATGTTCGATCGAACGCGCTCTACCGAGAATTCCAAGCAAGCAGAATCTTGTTCACTTTAGGCGATGCAGTGATTGGAAAGGACGAATTTCGCCAGAGAATCTCAGAGCTAAATCGCACCGAGCATGAGTTGCTCGTTGACCCCGCCTTCTTCACTGCTCTCACAATCACGATGCCACAGATAGAGCATGTCGAGATCCTACCGAAACATATGCATGCCACCAACGAACTGAGCGCTTACCGTTATGCGGCTGTACTACACGTCAAATCAAAAAAGCAGCGACGAATTCGCGAGCTTGACAACAATGAATGGATGGATTATGCGAAAGAGAAACTGGACAAAGAGTCGCTTCTGCAATACTTACAAAGTACAAAGTCCGATGTCATAGGATTTAGTAACATTCCTTACAGCAAAATCATCTTTGAGAAATTCCTACTTGAATCGCTTGACAATGGTTTGGATCATCACCATTGGATCTTCACATCTCGTCAATCGGCCCAGCGCTGTGCATCACTGGCGCCCACTGACTTAACTGCACTGGCTGCAGCTGGTGGGTTCCGTGTTGAGATTAGCTGGGCTAGACAATACACCCAACGCGGTGGCCTCGATGCCATATTTCATCGTGGCGGTCAAGAAGCAGAGCATCATGGCAGAGCGCTGTTCAAATTTCCTTTGGAACCTAGCGGTAGGCCGGCTCACTCTCTTACAAGCCGCCCATTGCGTCAACAGTGGCATCAAAAGATTCAACAAGACCTCTATGAGTTGCTGAGGGCTCAGCTCCCTTCTTATATGATCCCTCAAGCGATCATTATTCTTGACAAGATGCCGGTTAACGACAACGGGAAGGTAGATCGCAAAGCACTTCCTATTCCGCACAAAGCCCATGCCCTTGTGGCACCCGGGACAATTGCAACGCCCAAGAATGATACGGAACGAGCTATGCAGAAAATTTGGGCCAACGTCCTCAACATCGATCATTCTCTAATCAGCCTTCGCGATAATTTTTTCCGCCTTGGAGGTAACTCTATCACGGCAATGAGGGTTGTTTATGAAGCTCGCACAATTGGTCTTAAGCTAGTTGTTGCCGATGTCTTCAACTGCGATACGCTTGAGCAATTGGCTCGCCATTGCGCGAAAGTCGGCGAGAATGAGGATGATTACCAAGAAATCATCCTTGTTGAGCCCGCTGTCAAAACCGCTCTTTTAGATGAGATTGATGGTCTTAATCTAAACTTTCGTGGTTCTGCAGTTTCAGATATTCTTCCATTAACAAACTTCCAGCGCAAGACAATTATTCACGGGATTACAACTGGCCAGCATGCCAATTATTTTTACCTTGACCTTGGCAAAGATTTAAACATGGAACAACTAAAGGCAAGCTGCGCAATGACTTTGGAGAAATTTCCTATTCTACGCGCTTCATTCCTATTTCTGGGGGGAGAATTTTGGCAGGTCATTCTCCGCAACGGGCCGAATCTAGCCCCAGTACAAATTCGAGATGTCAGCGAAGATCTTGATAAAGCCTCAAACAACTACTGCTTTGAAGATTTGCAAAAATTAAAATCGTCAGAATTTCCACTAGCTTTCATTTTACTTCATAGCCTTCATGATGGTTCACGATTGATTATCCGCTTATCGCATGCTCAGTACGATGGAATATCTTTCCCTCTTTTATTCCAGTCGTTAATTAACAGCTACAATGGCATTGAGCTTCCCCCTGGACCCGATTTCTCAAAATTCTTGTCATACGGCCGCCAAAAACGGGAGAGCTCGATCGCGTATTGGAAGAACGTGCTACAGGGTTCATTGCCAACTGCAATTGAGCCAAAGATACGTCCACCGATTGAAGTCGGGGGTATGAGTACTCCTCGGCGTATATTTGAAAATGCGGAGGTTAGCCTTCCTCAGCTGCCCAGCAAGATTACTACTGCAACTCTTGTTAGCGCAGCGTGGGCTATCCTCCTATCAAGGATAACGCACCAACATGATATTGTCTACGGAAACGTGGTAACTGGGCGCAATTCAGATTTTCAAGGGGTTGAAAGTATAGTTGGAGCATGTCTAAATATTATACCGATCCGAGTTACATTTCCGTTGTTACAGACAACAACTCAACTCCTACACTCCATTCAGCAACAATTTGTACGCCTTGGCGAAGCAGACTCCCTCGGCTTTAAGGAGATTATTGATCACTGTACGGAGTGGCCAGCTGGATCCGACTTTGATGTGGTTATTCAGCATCAAAATATTGAAGAGCATCCAGAAATTATACTTTCCCAAGGCTCCTCTGCAGTCCAATTTTATACCAACCCGGACATTGTGCCACCATCTTTATTCATAATATCGTATCCTAAAGGCCACCAGTTGGAAGTTCAACTCTTTGGAAACACCAAGATTATAACGGAGAATACAGCCTGCACTTTGCTTTATAACCTCTGCTATATTATTACACAAATTGGTAACCAGCAGAGTGGATCATTACCATCTCTTTTGCATAGCCTTCAGTTAAGAGGCAATTAAAAGTTTACATTGTTACATAAAGAATTATTAGATTGGCTTTAAAATAAAAATTAGAATGAGACTTAGCGCCCTATTTTCCTAGTATAAATAAGTTACTTTCTTTTTTACGTTTAAACCGTAGATAGTTATGTATATAACGCATATTAATTAATCAAGGATGTTTCCACAGTTTACTATAAGCTAGGGAGTGAGCATTGCCAATTATCTTGTTTCCCTCTTAGTAAGCACGAAGCCGTAAATCGTGAACAGCATAGGCACCCCATCTCGTGCTTCCGTGCTCCGTACCCCGGTCTCTCCAATTTAAACAACGAAGTCTTGCCCACTCACCAAGTACACAAGCAGCACCTCGCAAAAATCGCCCATCTGGGATCACGACAACGCCAGCTACGGCCATTCATTCGATTCAACAGGCAGCTTATCAACTGATTCAGGATGGTCCGCTCAGTGAGCCGTAGCAAGGGCTGTGCTCGTTGCTTGCAACGAAAAGTCAAGGTGGAACCGTCCTGACACATGGATCTTTTGTTTGCAACTCATTGGCTAACTAAATGACGCTATCGAAAGTGCGATGAGAAACTGCCTCAGTGCTCCCAGTGCCAACGTATGCGACGGCCTTGTCCGGGGCCACAGACGGGCTCAATCTTTGTCCATGCGGTGCAAACAGAACGCGGCCCAAAGGCCGAAAAGAAGATGCAGATTCAGGTTACCCCTGCGTATCAACAAGTCCCGATAACCACTGCGGCAAGTAGACAACTTCAGTGTGCACGAGGAACTGTGGGCGAATCTCCAAACATATATCAGCCCTCAGTTGCTCCGGTATTTGACGAGTTGTTTCTGTCGACCTTTATCGATTCGTTTGCTAAACCTAGCGCTGGTTCTGGTCCTTACCAGTCATGGATGAATCACCTACAGGAATTTATGAATACCGGAGATGCTCCCATCAGACAATCAATACGAGCCGCGGCAACGGCGTATCATGGCAGAGTAGCTCAAGATGCAGCCGCTCTACGCGCAGCCGAGCATTGCTACGTTGCGGCTCTACGAAGTCAACGCTCTAGACTTACCCCTTATCTGAATTCTTCTAATTCTCCCTACATGCCTGATGATCAGGAGGTTTTTACGTCGATGATGCTGCTGTACTTTGAGCTCATCAGTCCATCCTCGACCGCGAGTTGGCTTAAACACTTACATGGAGTTACCAGCCTACTTCAGCTACGAGGCCCAGAAAGCTGTCAGGCTGGTGGATTACATCTGCTGTTTCGATCTTTACGATTGCTCGAGGTAATAGATCTTGCCTGGGGCTGTTTTCTTGGAGGATAAGCTGATTCTGTTCTATAGGCGTATTCGTCGTTTCGAAACCGAAGATTGTCAGCATTCGCATCCGAAGAATGGCGCACCATTCCCTTTGCAATATCTGGAAAAAATGACATGGATAAGCTCATCGATATCCTTTTGGTGCTTCCAAATCTTTTGAAGACCAGGGAACTCAACAACGATTCCTTCCTTCATACAAAACCTGCTGTTTCCGTGGAAGAGCTTTCTGCTGAGCTGAGTGTATACAAAGAGCGGTATATACAAAGCGTTCTTCTGGCCCATGAAGCCAATCGTAGGATGAATGAATGCCCCGATGATGATGATGAGGAGGAAGATGATTGCATTGGGTGTACAACATGGATCGATGGTGGCGGTGATTTTTGCACAGCTATGCCGGAAGCGTTGTTCTATTCCGCTAGAATACTTGTCGAACATATTGCATTTGGAGACAACATTGAATCTTGCGAAGAGAGACTCATAGGGGAACAACTGCTCTATGCTTCTCTTCTGTTTAGAATTGCGGAGGTGGCTAAAGCCGAGGGCGAAACGCAACTGAATGCTGGAGCTTGTGTACAGATTGCATTTTGTCTCGAAATTGTCGAATCTTTTGGTCTTTCATCCACATGTAGGGAGCAGGCAGGACAACACTTGCATCAACTGGGATGGAGGAATGCAAATTTATCTGGTTGAGGATTTTTGTGGGCTGGATGTTTTCACCTGTAACGAGTCATGAATAATTCCAAATAAGTGTACATTAATAATTGGTTCATACGTATGTACTTAGTAAGATGGATCGAGATTCGAGACATATTTCTGCTATGGTGAAGCCATCCATAGCCATTACAAATATGCAAAATGTCCATCGACACTTACTAAGTCTTGTTATTTGTCAGCCGTATCATACCCCCTTCAACACCTCGTTAACAGCTGAAAAATATTGCGCGATAGAGTATACAAAAGAGCCTCCCATAGCAGTTAGCACACACGGCAATCCATGCCGTCAGCTTAATGAGATTGCGGGTGGGCGGCTCGTTCCCGTTAGCTTGAGTGGTCTAGTTTCTAGGGGATGCGGTCATGGTCTACAGCTTTACATCTTTGTATTATGTTTCTCCGAGCATGATGAAATTTTGAGCTTCTGTGGCAAAACTGATGGGTTTGGCAGGAGTTTCATCTAGAACGGAGTAGAGACTCACTTGCAGTGATGGAAGAAATATTTCTTGACCAGGGATCGGCTAGGGATAGAGAAATAGCAATGGTTTAACAGCAGCGAATTTTCAAAAACAGTCATCTAGATTCAGCCCTGATCTGACCTAAAAGAGAGTATCATTTGACCTAGTGATAAATACAAGAATCTCTTCATTCTAAGACAGTTACGGAAGTCCAACGAAATTATTATTCCTATTCTACGGCACCAAAAGTTGTCCACCATTGATGTGGTCTTGTAGTATACGGTCCAGCTCAAATTCTACTTGTAGTGACCGCTGTCGCCAGTCGAGGCAGATTGGCCGGCTCTGAAGCCAATCAGGCGTGAATAATTCCATTTCTAACCCTTCCTGATGATAGATATGGGTATCCTGTTCGATCTGGCCATCCGCAGGTCGATATGATACATGAGTGTGGCCAACTAGATAGTACATTAAGCCATCATTGCTTATCAATAGCCCGTCTATTCCTGCTGGCTTAGAGTAGTATGTGATGAAGTGGCTTCCAACTGCGTCGGGAATGAGGACGGAGATGGTCCGTAAGGCAGGATTCGGGTACTGCTCTAGTGAATCTTGCCCCAGGAGGCTGTTGCTGACTTCAAAGGAATGCCATGTTTCGAGACTGGCGGCATAGACGAGGCCGTCATATAGACCTTGTGGTCCAATGTGTTTCATCAACTATGCGATCCAAAGGAGCCACGATGGCTGAGGACTGCATTGCCCAACTACGTAAAGCATAGGCAAAGTGCCGTTTTCGACATCTTCACATAGCAAAGAGGCCGGATTTTGCGAGCTGTTGCTACTCGGTAATGCGGCTTTAAATGCCCCTTCTGTTGCCGCAAACTGCATAGTTTCGTAGAAATGTAGATATGCTAGATGCTTGTACGGCTCTGTATTTTGCCCACCTTCTAGTATTGATAGCAACCAAAAAGTGCGACCAAAAAGAAAGCTGCATAGAATTGCAGATGCGTCGTATGGTGTTGTCGTCTTGTGGAGGAGAGGCGGGATCGTAAATGCCTGCATTTCGGGGGTTTCTTCGCCTGGGTCGACTGTATCTGATATTAAAGGCAGCAGAATCGACTTATTGGAGTTTCGCCACGCTCGTAGCTTTTGTTGCAACCAATGAAGCTTGGTTAGTGCCATGGACTTAGAATATCGTGGAACTAAATTCCAAATGAGATCCTCCAATCCCGACTCAGCCAAAAGATTGAAAAGGCTCTGTCTGAGAGACGATGGCGTTGCACAGGCTTCATCGCATGTCAATGCTTGTCGTGTTGAGGGGATTTTGTTTTGAAAAGGGAGTGCCGTAAATCGTGTCCAACTGAGCCCCTGAAGAGCTGTGTCGAGGCAGTCTAAAGCAGGGACGCCAATAGTTTGTGGATGTGATACACTGCCTTTATACGTCTCAAAGTAGTGGTTCGCTGAACGTATATGGCCGCACGCTGCACTTAGATTACCTGCGAAACACTTCTCGCCGATGTTATTACACACGACGTTATCTCATAGAAGTCTCGGATGGACTGGTTCTCATACCTCAAAATAGACCATCAGTATCAGCGTCGCAATGAGAATATCCTGCGTCTTCTTTGCCTCCTCAAAATTGCGGCTTAATTCCTAGATTGCAAAAGTGTACGCTTAAATGGCAATAACTTCCGTGTCAAGCCCACGATCTCGGTCATTCTCTCCAGGCATCGACATCATTAACACGGCGCGATGCATACTTCCTAGGGAAGAAAACATCATGTAGAGATACTCGATGCCCCATGCTTCCTCACAAAGACGATCTCTCCAGAACCACATGTGCTCGGTTGGGAACAAGACTGGCAATGTGCGGAATAGATACTGGTGATAGGCCAATACCTCTCGTGCGCCAGCGAGTGGCCGTTGAGAGGGACGTGGATTGCTGGGCAACCCAATAAGAGGGAGGCCATCGTTGCGGAAAAGTTGAGGATAATTCCATGCTTCTCCAATTGACGATGGAGAAGATGAAGAATCAGGGGAAAGAGATTGTGCGTTGTTCAGAGCTGAAGACGCCTGCTGACGATGACTGCGGCGCTGCGACTCGCGTACTTTAACTTGCTTTTTCGGAAGATAACCCGCACATTCAAGATTGCCAGCTTCACAACGCTCGCATTCGGGCTTCCTCTCGTCACACTTGACATGCCGTGCACGACAAGTAAGGCAGCCCGTACGTCTTCTTCGTTTCTCTGTCATGTTCACGATGCTTGCTCTTCAACCAAGTAAGGGTGCGACAGCGCTCGTTGTTGTTCTGTCGAGTTAGTCGATCGAAGCGAGATAGCCGGCGGCCTCTTTTGTTAATAAGCAAGCCTCGGTGTTCGCCGGGATTTGACCAGATCAGTATGTATTAAGACGTCAGATGGAGTCAAAAGCAGGATCTACTGCCGTAAGCCACGCTTGGTGGCGACGTGGAACAGGGGAAATGGGCTCTAGCAGTTTACGGTATGTACACAGGATGGTGCTTATAGACACTCCGCGGAGATGTCAGACTATGCACATGCCCCAAGTAGATATTCTTTCCGGTGGCATTCTTTCTTTCCGGCGATTCATTAATCAGCCAAGGACTATCCGATGGATGAATAATTGATGCTGAAAACTCCATGATGAACAGTATCGTTGATTATGTTGAAGGATGACCAGACCAAGGTGTTGGAGAAAGTTCTATAAAGGCTGAGATGGCGGTCTCGTCGGTTTGGGAATTGTCTCAGACAACAAACAACAGCATCAGCATCAGGATCAGCATAAACATTCAAACAATACTTTCATAACTTTCTCTTTTCTCAAAGTCAAATTGAAGACTTTGTCTTATCACACAACTTAGATTCACAATGGCTTCCCGATCTAACAACTGTGTGGTCATCATTGGCTCCGGCCCTGGAATTGGTTCCCACACTGCCGCCATCTTCGCTTCCAAACAATTCAACAAGGTGGCCCTTGTGGCTAGAAACCCTGCCAAACTGGAAAAGGACGCTGCTTTTGTAAACAGCGCTGCTCCAGGACAGGTGGAGATTAAGACTTACCCCACCGACATCACCAATAGCCAGGCACTTGCGGCTACTCTTGCACAGATCACCAACGATCTTGGAACTCCCGAGTTCGTCTTGTTCAACGCTGCCGTCATTGCCCTGACTCCTCTCTTGGAGTTTGATGACGAGAGCATCCTTGAGGACTTTAAAGTCTCCACCGTTGCTCTTCACAACACCGCCAAGTGGGCAATTCCTCAGCTGTCTGCTCTGGCTAAGCAAGACTCCACCGCCAAGCCAACTCTGATGGTCACCAACTCTCACCTTCCAGAGACTCCTCTTGAGGATCTCTTCTCTCTCTCTCTTACAAAGGCTTCCCAGAAGAACCTTACTTTGTCACTTCGCCAGAAGTTTGCTGATTTGGGTATCCACATCTGCTTGTTGTCTGTTAACGGCACTGTTGCCGATGAGGAACCCAACCTTAACAACAAGAACGTCTCTAACAAAGCGTGGGATCTGTATAATCAGGAGAAGAGTGCTTGGACCCAGGAGATCCGAATTAACCCATAAATGAGTGGAGCTAGTCAGAGATAGACTCGTTAAGCGAGCAGTTGTTATTTAGACATTGTTAGAGATGGATTGTTAGAGACATAAATAGACAAACACATCTATATCTACTTTTGATACTGAGTGCCATGTATTACCATCTACTAAGCTACCGTCATTAGATGCAACGGATAACTAATATTACGTTGTGGAACCCTTGTTGGATATGTCAATACGCGTACTGTATCCGACATGATAATAGAAAGCTTTATAGGCTAACGGAATGATTCTCACAAATTCCCCTCTCTAAGGTGGTGGGATTAAATCAAGGCCCTTGACCTCCAGATGAAACGAGTCATTGCGTGAATAAGACCCAGCAACATCCAAATCCAGCCGACCCTTCTCACACTCCTCAAAATCCAGCTCCTGGATGAGCAGCTCGCCATCCTTGTCCCAACTCGGCCCAGCCAGAACCTTGCCAAAAGGAGAAACGATGCACGATCCTCCACCGCTGATAAACTTGCCCTCCCGCTTCACCTCGCTGATCCATTCGGGAAGCTGATCGTCGCGGACAGCTTGATTGGAGCTCACAACAAAAGTCCGTCCCTCAAATCCGATTGTTTGCATAAGTGGAAGCCATGTCGCTCTTCCATCGGCAGTTGGCGCAAGATACAAGTTGACGTTCTGCTGATACAGAGTCTGGCGTAAGAGAGGCATGTAGTTCTCCCAGCAGATGGCGGCAGCAAGGCAAATCTTGACTCCCTTAATGGTCGTGCTCACGGCTTTGAGTGATCGAGGCTGGCCCTGGCCCCAGACAAGTCGTTCACTTCCCGTCGGAAGAACTTTGCGTCGCTTTCCAACAATTCCCTTGGCCGGATCGACATATACCACTGAGCAGTACAGAGTGCCTCCAGACCTCTCCAACACACCGGTGACTATGTAAACTCCAGTCTCGTGTGCAATTCTCTCCAGCTCTTCCCGTATGCCGTCTCCCCGCACTCCGTTGTCGTTGGTAGGCAGACGGCGAGTGACCCAATCATCATATGCACCTTCGAGAGTATCTCCCAAGTCAATGGCTCCCTGGAAATACGACAAGTACTGGTGATAGCCGTCTGGAGTCCGCTCACCAATTTTGGCGCCAAATGTTGCTGATCGGGGATATCCGCCCATGTAAACTTCTGGGAAAAGAATGAGGTCAACTCCCTCAGCGGCAGCCTCTTTAACCTTAGTCTCGAGCTGTTTGAGAATGTTGCCAGTTGTGTCGAGAGTTCGGCATTGTGCCGCAGCAATCTTAAGAATCTTTGGCATGTTTTGATGTAGGATGCTTGTTTGTGTAGAGTTGGTATTGATCGAAATAAGAAGCGCTTGAACGCGACCAAACCATATGAGTAGAGTATGAAAGACAGAGCGGTAGTTGTTTAGAGTTTTGAGTCAGGTATAACATGTGGCAGCCTTCTCTCTTCTTATTGAACGACTTATCAATGAACATTGGTCTTCCCCGCAACATTGTCAGATGCAACTTTTCCAACCATATGCGACGATCCTGAGGTAAAACTCCAGCTGTTTCCTCCACATCCGCCGTCTTCCGTGAGACTGCGAGAAAGCCGACGTAAGCGAGCCAGACGGTGTTTGTTCATTGGCTAGATCCCTCAAGCACCCCATATCTTGTATTGCCCCTCCATACATTAGGCAATTTTGAGCGTAATCACGGCCTCAGCTTGACGGTCGTGCATAATCTCACCGTATGGAGCATTATTATGTATAGTAATTGATATATATGGATCGTTTGTCATGTTTAGCGCGAGTTGATTGTTCTACGAACTTGGCCGCGATATTAAATGATCCCGCTAGGCTGCCAATCGCGCGAATACACCTAGCAGCCTTTCTGTCATTGAACGTGATGGCCTCGACAATCTAGAAACTGAAGATTGCCACCGCACAGGTGCATACCCTTGACAACTCCGAAAGAGCTCTTCAAGTACTTGAAACTAAAGTGCGAAACTCGAGCTCCGAACATGTCGACCTTGTGCTATTCCCCGAGGTCTTTATCGGTGGATTTCCGAGCCTGTCCACATTTGGTAACTCTGCAATTGGGAGATTTGGAGAGGAGACAGATTGCAGCCCATACATGAACCATTGGCGGGCATCGATTGATCTTGGAGATACACCAAGAGGAGCCGGCCAAAAATGGGTAAACAAAGAACTACCTCTACCTGTTAATCGACCTTACAGGGGAGACGGTACGAGAGAGCGTTTGGAAAAGATAGCAGCGGCTTCTGGCGTCTTCATAATTGTTGGTATTCTCGAAAGATATGGTGGAACCTTATACAGATCCATTGTGTATATCTGTCCCAGGTTAGGCATTATTGGGAAGAGGCGCAAGGTGACGCCAACAGGCTTGGAAAGAGTTGCGTGGGGTCAGGGGAGTCCGTCAACACTTGAAGCTGTGTCAACAGTTATCAGAGGAGTGAAGCTGAAGATGGCGGGTAAGTCATGAAATATTTCCCTGGGGAAGCGAATTGATGCTAAAAACCACAAAGCTGCTATTTGCTGGGAGAATTAGATGCCGCTTTTACGACAGAGTATCTACGAGCAGAATATTAATCTGGTCCTTAGGCCAACTGCTCATGCCACTGAGATTTGGGTTCCATTGATGCAAACGATTAGCGTTGAAAGCCGAGCTTTTGTGTTATCAGCCACGCTATGTATTAGAGCAAATGATCTTCTGAAATGGATAACTGAATTAGCTGAACGAGGAGATCAAATAGTGAGCCGCGGAGGGTCTGTTATTGTCTCTCCGAATGGCAATCTTTTAGGAGGCCCGGGCTGGGACCAAGATGATGAGATTTTTATTGCAGATGTCGATTTTGCCAATTATAAGCAGTCAGGAGACGACTGGGTGAGGCCGTCTCGCGCGAGGCGAGATGCATTTGAGTTTACGGCTGACGGGCTGGATATGGAGAAAAGATAGAAAGAAGAGATGGGGGCGGAAGGAGGATATATCCGTTTAAGGCAATAAATCCCTACATGAACGTTTTCCGATGTGGCGATTGGAGGAGTTGCCTTTGCATTTGTTGTTAGGATTTTGACAATCCTTCATTCTATGGCGAGAATAATTTCTTAGTAAGGCCGAGGCGTCGACTAATTACTGCTAACTTGAATATGATATCCTACGTTGGGGTTGGTTCAAAGAAGAGTACGGTCTAAACTGTACTGATTGTATGAGTAGCCCTAGTTAGTATGTCTTACTGCCGCGGAGATCTCCTTTTTGGGCTACCTATACTATGGTAATACAAACAAGATGCGCTTAGAAAACGGTTTTGCTTATAAAGCACATTCTAGCTTGGCAATCTGCTCCGTACGGTGAAGCTATACATGACACGAAATATAATGGTGAAATCGGGGGATTTTTGTATCTTGGTGTATTTTGCATGAGTCTGGGGCTCAACGTTGGAATGGGCAGAAAGGCGTGAAGAGATTTAGGCATTACAATAACCTGCGGGATGCTGTTTTCGCACTATTATAGTACATGCAGCACGTAGAGGCACAAACAAAGAGCTAATCAGATTAATCTGTTGTCTCTTCACTTTAAATTAGGAATCGCATAGGTGATCAACTGGGGTTTGGGAGACATGAAGCCACACCCGGGGTGTCCGATCCCACAGTCAACTGTTTTCCCCGCTAAGACTGCCGAAAAGATTGAAATTATGCATTTATTAGCGATTTCCTTTGAACCATCATTAGTTACTAGTTCTATTTATACGGTGCCTCCTGAAGGAAGAATAAGTTGCTTCGTTGTGCCTCACTTGTGACGTCAACTTAGTTTTCAGCCGTTCATTCCGCATGTTCAAAGTTGATACACACTGGCACTAAATTTTATGACTTTATCAATTTGCCTAGCCATTTAACATTCTGATAAATACGATGAACCTTAGTACTACTCCAGATTCCCAGTTGTCTCTTCACTACGACCCTCGCGTACGCTTCACTTAGACGCCGGCTTCGTCATGTCTAAAACACTGCCAAAGGGGCTCTATGCTCCCCTCCCTGTCTTCTTCAACGCTGAAGATGAAATAGGCAAGTAAAAATCATGAGAAGTACGAGAAATTTGAACCACAGCGTGCTAATAGGGGCATAGATTACGTGGCATTTGCGAATCATGCGAAATGTAGACGAGCCAAATCACAGTGATGAGATAATTCGATCAATTGATCGCTAATTCTTGTGAAATAGATGTTACTGCACCGGGAATCTTGCCTATTGTTTCTGCTAGCATGGGAGAAGCAGTACACTTGGTCCGTTGCAATTCAACATGCGCAGCTACTCGTTCCTCGACTGACGTGGGATTTTTAGACCCCGGAAGAGCGTATCAAGTTAATACAGACTCTTCGAAATGCCCTCGATTCAATCGGTCTGCAGAAGACACCGATAGTCGCTGGTGTAGGAGGTAATAGCACTCGTGAGACCATTCAGCTAGCTCGCGATGCTGCTGCTGCAGGTGCAGATTTTGCCCTGGTGATTGCTCCTGGGTATTGGGCTGGTTATCTCAAAGGAAACCCAGCGGCAGTTGAAAGATTTTTCGTCGATGTCGCCGCGGGGTCTCCAATTCCAGTGTACAGCCTCTCCCCTCTGGTTCCCATGGCATTGCTTGCTAATCCTGTTCTGTGGAATAGGGTTATTTACAATTTTCCTCCTGTGACGGCAGGGATTGACTTGGAACGTGACAATGTGGCCGAGATTGCAAAACTGGCACCGAATGTCTGCGGCATAATGCTATCGTATGTTTCTACCTCTACCCTACGTGAGAGCTGTTCATAACACGACAACAGATGTGGCAATGCTGGCAAGCTGGCAAGAATTGCAGCCTTGACTGAAGGGACTTCTTTCACAACATTGGCCGGCCTAATCGATTTCCTCCTCCCCTCAGTGGTGGTCGGCTCCGCTGGTGCTATTAGTCCACTACCTAACATTGCGCCCGTTAGTAAAGTGTTGGGTACGTGTGTGATCAAAACTGACATTCTGCTTAGAAATTCTCCATGAAATTATGGGATTTGACACAAAATCTCGAAACCAAGGCAGATTTCAAGGCCGCACAAAAGTCCCAAGGCATAGCTTCTCTGGCAGAGTCTGCTTTGTTGAAGAGTGGGGTATGCGCTTTATAAAAAGAATCTTGTTCATTTACGATATTCTAACATATTACAGGTTCCCGGCTTGAAAGGGCTGTTGAATAAGGATTTCGGATACCCTGCGGCGCCGAGATTGCCCCTTCTTTCTCATAACGACGTGGCCACGTTGTCCCAAAACAAGTATATTAGCAACATTTTGGATCTGGAGAAAGCTTTAGACTAGATCATGGAGGTTTGTTGATGTGTAGCATGAAAGATTCTTATACTGTATACCAAATATAATTTGCATGGTTAAAATCTCCCCTTAACCAACACTAACCCCTAAGCCTTTGGGAAATTCTTCTTGATATACTCCGCAATGTTGGGACGTTGCTCGAATGTCTCCCTAAACTTTGAGATCGTGTTTGGAAGCTTTGTATGCGCGCAGGTGGTTAATAACATTATGCGCGGTGGAATGGTCATTGAGCAGACTCACCGGTAGAGTTCCCGTCCTCTGGTCATTGTCGATGGATTTATAAACAGCAAAATCGACTTAAGTGATTTTGTCGCCCAACAAGTAAGGACCCTCAGACTCAGCGTAATACTGAGCTAATACGTCGTAACACGTTGGAGCAGTGTCATTCTTATACTCCTCTGTTGAGTTTCCTAGGTTTGTAACCCATTTGAACTTGTCCGTGTTAGTATTTTACATAAGTTTGGGCCGCGAACTGCCCCAACTCACTCTCCAGTCAATGTAAATATCTGACACCGCGTCTACAACATATTTCTCCCAACTTGTTTCTCCATCATAGCGACCAAGGTCACCAGCGAGGTAGCGCAACGTGGGGATGTGCTTCGATCAGTATTAGCAATTTGAACAGTAGCTTTTGAAACTTAGATGGCTGTATTTGAGTCAAAACGTGGCCGTTGTATTCCACCGCAGGCAGTTTTCCGGTCCTTGTCAGGCCCCGGCGCTTCAACTCATCGCTAGTGTTTTGCCATATTTCACCGGGGTACGAGTACCGAATATCCTGATACTCGATTCCTGCATCTTTTAGAAAGAGACTTAACCGATTAAGATTTAACGATTAGTTATTGGCCCTAAGAAATACGCGTTTATCATGTATAAATCACATAAGATGCTGATACTCACTTCACGACGTCGCCGCGACCCATTCGGCCGATATCGAGGTAATGGAAAACAGTGGAAGATTGGGCCGCCATTGTGAAACCTGAGAACAAATTCATACGAAGTTGTGTTTTAATTGCAGATTGGAGAGAAAGTACTCCTCCCTAATGTTAGGCAACTCACTTACACCCACCTTTGACGGGTTCCCTTGACTTCTAATGTGCGCCAGATCCAAGGGCGTCAATGACGAGCAACTGAAACCACAACAATCGTATTACAAATTCGGGACTTCAAAGTTGCTTAAAAATACAGGAGCTAACGCATATCGATCTCAAAGAGCCCATTTTAAGAGTTGGAATCATTCTCAACACAAATGTTGTTAAGGGGAGGAAAGGCGAGCTAAACGACATAAGCGAGAAAATACTGGTTGGCTCGGGATACCGATTACGTTGTGTGTATCGTCGAGGTTTGCGATACGTGGCATGACTGAAAGGATGTGATCTCATTGAAACATACATTCTACGATGCGAAAATCGATCTGTTATAATCCATTGCCCAAGGGCTATTTCATGGATTTTTGAACTCTGCTCTACGCCAAGATTCATCGAATTGCTAAACTTCAATGTTGTCAGTAAACATGAGACCAAAAAAAAACTTTTTACAGACTAATACTCCGGTAGAAATCAGTTTCCACAATGTCGACGCCTACAGACGCTCCTTTGGCCTTGTTCTGGTCTCCTAGAGCTTGCTCCTTCGTGCCTCACGTTGCGTTATGTGAAGCTGGAATCAAATTTGATCTGGTTCTTGCAAAGATTGGACAAATGACGAAGGAATTCGAGAAAATGAACCCACAGCGCCGCGTGCCAGACTGCTTATGGGTAGTGAAGTCATTACGGAGATGGCGGCTGTGCTCACCGCTATCGCAACCGTTGCACCAGAAGACATATCTTCGGGAAAACTCCCCTGGAAAAGATTCGAGTATATGAATGGCTCAACTATCTGCCTACTACGGCGCATGGTCAAGCAATCGCGGAAATCTGGAGAACCGAGAGGTTCACGAATAACAAGGAAATTTATCCTCAGCTTCGAGCCAAGGGGGATGAGACTATGAGAGAAATTTTTGCTCATATCGAGACCAAGTTCAAAGAAGCCAATATTACGGAGTTTGCCGTCGGAAATTCCTATACCGCTGCAGACGGGTTTCTGACCGTATTATACCTTTGGACGGCCAGATTCACCAAGTCACCATCAACATTGATAATGACTACCCCATATACGCAGCTTATGTTGAGAAGATGCTCCAAAGAACTGCTTTTATTGAAGCCAAAAGGATTCATAAGCTCTAAGTTTTAATGTATTTTAACACGTGAGGCATGGAAAGCGCACAAAGTCTCTGAGAGGAAGTTGACGGACCCTTGAGAGCTTATGGTCGTAAAGTAAAACAGACGAACAGGAAAGAATTTTGAAATATAATCTATACCAAGAGGCTCAAAGATTTTGATGCAGGAAAATCCTCTGTGACCCGCTAGACCTACTCACTGTAAAGCCTTTGTCATATCCAAAGTATTGTGCTCTCTCGCGTACTCCGCGTACGTAGTGTAGATCTCGGCATGCTATCAAGACATTGGTTTTGTGTGCAAGTATGGCAACGTGCATGGAATCCTTGTCGTTGGCTAGGGACGGAATAAATGGTATCACGTAATCTGTAATACGAAGGCGTAGTCTAATCTTCTAGCCGTTGGAGTTGGTTGCTTGATCTCCGTGGCCGATGTTGCATTACCGTGTCAATTTCTGCCCTCACTGATTCATCAGCAGAGTACCGAGCCCACCCAGTAGCTGTGTTATCGCTTTTTTTGACCTGTTTTTCATTTCCTAGACTCATGTTGTGCTCTCCGTCATATCACACGATATACGGTTCAATACCCTCTCAATCAACATCCACAAGAATTCTGCCCAGTACACTCACCTCATGACCGGAACAACCCAAATCGACCACGAGCTCCTTGAGCTTCACGAGAGAAAGGGCCCAGATGACAGCCCGCGGTTTGATAACTCTTCTCCCACATCCAATGTGCAGAGAACCAGCATAGGGAAACGTCCAGAATGCTTCAAGAGTACGTTCCAGGAGATTTGTTTCATCTTCATGGCTACATTGGCTATGGCGACAAATAGCCTTGTTACTGGGGCCATGATTATCGTTACCGCCTCAATTGGAAGAGATTTACACATGACACAGGCCCAAATCACTTGGATTAGTGCTGCTACCACGTGAGAAAGCCGCCTCTTTTCTCGGCTGCGTGTGTCTTGTGACTGACGATATATCTAGTCTTTCTGCCGGCGCTCTGCAACTTCCACTAGGCCAGCTCACAGATCTTCTTGGTCGCAGGACGTTTTTCATAGCCGGCATGGTTGGCTTCAGCATTAGCAGTCTGATACTTGGCTTCTCCAAGAACCCGTTTTGGATGAATATCCTATGCGGCTTTCTGGGCCTTTTCTCGGCTGTCATCGTCCCCCCTGCGATCGGAATACTCGGTGCTGCCTACTCAGAGCCGTCGAAGCGAAAGAATTGGGCATTTGCGTGCTTTAGCGCGGGAAATCCCGTCGGCTTTGGGCTTGGGAGCATTATTATGGAAATATCAGCAAGAATCTTTGATTGGCGCGCCGGCTTCTTCTTCTTCACCATTCTCTGGGGATTGCTGGCTGCCGTGTCGATACGGGTCGTGCCTAGTATTGAAGCCTTTGAACCAGGGCCCTTTGGAAAGAGACTAACGGCAGCTCTAAGAAAATTTGACTACGTTGGAACGGCTCTTACGATTGTCGGCGTTGGTCTTTTCACAACTGGTTTGACGTATGTTGACTCGCTCGCAAATGATGTTTGGACTTAAATTACTGACAAGCTATGCAGACTTGGGCCAGCGGATGGATGGAAATCTGCTCATGTCATCGCAATGCTAATCGTTGGCTTCCTCCTCCTCGTAGGGTTTGTAGTGTGGGAAAAGAAGTACCCATATCCCCTGATGCCTCTGCATATCTGGAAGGACAGAGGTTTTGCATTTGTGAGCACCCCCCAATTTATTTAATGTTTGCAGGCCGCATATACTGAACGTCGATCTAGTTGATGCCCGTTTCCATCTTTGGAGTCATGTCGATGCTTTCTTCCAACTTTTGGCTCGCACTCTTCCTACAAGAATTCCATCACCGACCGGCATGAACCGTTGCTGTAGATCTACTTCCGCAAGTTATCTCTGCGCTCATATCCAATGTTGTGGCAGCAAATATCCTCCACCGAGTCAATAATAGCCTCATCATGGCGTTTGGCGCCGCCATGTACCTTGTCGCGAATTTTCTACTTGCTGTACAAAGCTCTCGAGTAACATATTGGGCTTTTATCTTCCCATCGCTATTGACAAACGTCATGGGTCTCGATTTACAGTTCAATGTAGCCAACGTGAGTAACCGCCCGCCCATCATACATTGAGCTTTTATTTAATCTCCATGACAGATGTACGTCATGCAGTCATTGCCGTCCCGCCAGCAGTCGTTAGCTGGAGGCATATTTAACATGTTTATTCGACTGGGAACAACGATCATTTTCGGAATTTCTACTGCAGTATACAGTTCGGTGAAGAATACAATGGAAGGCCAGGATGATGCCTTCAAACCTTATAGGAGTGCATTTTACATTTCACTAGGGTTTGCTTCTTTGGCTCGTTTATTCGTTCCCTTCTTACGTATAGGGACACAGGGAAATTCTCCCAAAGAGGAATGACGTTGGTGTCCAGGTGTACTTTGGTGTTCGGAGATTTATACTCTTGGATAAATACTAAAGAGCATATCGCTGGGAATAGCTACTAGAGGGTTTACTTGGCTTGTGCGCACCTCTACTGAGAACGTTGCTTCAGTGACATTGCAGTTGAAGTCTATCAGCTCCATTAACTGAGTAAGTTATTGGACATCTCTGCGCAAAACCCTATACACAAAGCTGGACTTATGCTTAATTGAAGAATGCGTGCCTATCAATCATCTCTTACAAACAAGGTTATTTCTGTGACATCCAACTTAAGCTTGGCTAAGGCTTGGCTGCTTCATTAGCTTTCGGCTTTCGGCCTTCTGGCTGGCGACGGGAGACAGAGCTCCGAGTTGAGTGAAGCCAGTAGCCAATAACATTCTCTCTGAATAGCGTGCTCTTAAGTAGCGGCATCGAGAAGCGGCGAGTGCGGCACAAGATCCTACAGGCTGCGAGTGGGGAAATGAGGAATCTTCCAATTAGCTCAACTCTATCTAGTATGGCCGCCCGATTACATAGACAGGAGATTCACCGAGTGGGATTCCGCCTGTTAAATGGCGCTTACTCTGCGTTATGTTGCTCTGTAAGCACGAAAAATACGTCATGTTGGGAACCCAATTGATGTTCTAGAAGTGTGTGTTTCAAAGGTTTATGAGGAGCTGAGTTGCAGATCTTTTGTTTCTGGAGTCTATGTAAGCTTTCCAAATACATTGGCGAGTTTTTCATAATAAATTATATGCAAAACAACCACCGAGAAGAGTCAGACCTTTAAGCCGACCGGTTTATGTGAACACCGCCAAACACCTCTGTATCGTAACAACTACGCCACAACTGTTACCATGGCCGTCTCAATTTCAGGCTTGAAGGGATGGCATCCTGGCGAAGTCGCTATGCAGAGAAAATTAGGCTTTGCCGAAGCAATGTCCTCCACATGGCAGAAGATCGAAGATAGAATGCGCGAACAGCATCGCATTTTCCACACGTCGAATCTACCATTCATTCCCATCACAACTCTTGATGATGAAGGACGTCCTTGGGCTTCAATCGTTGCTGGTGCTGACGGAGAGATTGGGTTTGTCGAAGGTCCTGATCTGAAAACGCTCGTAGTCAACGCCAGACTATGGCCCGGAGAGCCACTTTTGGATACTCTGAACCAATGGGTTGACAGAAATGGCCAGAGCCCGACAAGCCCTGAGAGGTATTTGACAGCAGGGATAGGAATTGAGTTCCCAACGCGAAGGCGTAATAAGTTTGCCGGATTCATACAGGATGTGAAACGTACAACCGACATGGACTTTAGACTGAATTTGCAGGTCGATCAAACCACTGGGTAAGTTTCAAGTCTTTGCTTCGCTATTCTCAACGGTCTAGTCATGAACTGCTACTAACCTACTACGATACGTTGCAATACAGAAATTGTCCAAAGTACATCAATGTCCGTAAACTTGTAGGGCAGGAAGAAACGAAACCAGTTATCGCATACGAGAAACGGCATCTCACACAGTTTGAAAGACTTCCGAATGAAGTCATCGACTTCATTACCAGCGCCGATACTGTTTTCATCGGATCTGTTTATAGGTCAGATCCAGCAACGGCCGAGCAGTTTCCTTCGCAAACTGGAATGAATGCCCGTGGTGGATTGCCTGGATTTATTCGCGTCAGCCCTTCAGATGGACGATCAGTGGTCCTACCTGATTACTCCGGAAACAGATTCATGTCGAGCCTGGGGAATGTCGAAACGAGCAAACAGGTGGCGCTTACTATTGTCTCATTTACAACAGGCGATGTGCTTTACCTTACTGGTAGAGCAGACAACCTTGTCGGCCCGGCCGCGCTTGACATTATGGTTAAGCACGCGAGCATCACAGTCATGAAGACCACCGGGTCCATTTTTATTCGAGATGCTCTTCCCGTACGGCAACAGTTTGGCACTGAGGTTGAGCGCAGCCCATATAGTCCCAAGGTCAAATATCTGGTAGACGAGCCGGAAGGCCAAGCAAGTGCCGTTGGAGCACACAAGGCCAGATTAACGAGTGCAACACAACTATCTCATGATCTTGCTGTATTCAGATTCAAGGTTACCACAAAGGCAGGAGTCGAGCCTATTAAAATCCGACCTGGGCAAGCCGTCGCCTTGGATTTCATGGACTGGATCGGACCACCGGCATATCAGCACATGGCGAACTCTGCTCCTGGCTCTGTTAATGATGATCGAATACGAACATGGACAGTCTCAAGTGCACACGAGGATCGTGATGTGACATGGTTTGACATGACCATGCGGGAGATGAAAGGAGGGGCCGTAACGAGAGCATTATTTGATGTCTTGAGAAGACATCCGTTGAACCAGTGGGAAAGGCCAATAACAATCAACGAAGATGTCGTTGCTGAAGTTGTAGGTGTGACGGGCGACTTCTTCTTAGGACCTGACAACGTCAACATGCTCTGGGTCGCCGGCGGTATTGGAATCACGCCTTTTCTCTCCATGTTTAGTGCCTTGTCTGAACGCAGAGCAAAAGCTAACGGTGATGTTGTGTTGGCGTTGTCAACACGAGAGCCCGAAATGATGTTACGACTTATTCAATCCTCCCTTCGCAACGCCGCTTCAAAAGTCAGAGTACGCATCGACATATTTACAAGGCAAGAATACATCGATATGGAGGGTATTGACAGGAAGAGTGTACAAATTGTATTACACAAGGGTCGGATTGCGCCGGATTATTGGGCAGAGGTGGCAAGTGGTAGAGATGTTCTAATATGTGGTCCAGGTGGTTTTGGAGATGCGGCAATGGACGGTCTTAGAGATGTGGGAGTGCCTGATGAGAATATGTTACGAGAAGGTTTTTATTGAGATGGACAGTGGGTGGTTTAAAAGGTTCTTAAGCGTTGGTTGTCTTTCGTGTTGGGAGCATATGAAGATGTCTTAAAATTTATTCAAATTTGTTGCATTGCTTTAGACATTGTTATAGTTGATCAACCCACGTCGCCATTTTGCCTGCCTAGGCTTTTATGAGTGGATAGTTGCTATGTAGTATACCGGTTTCAATTACCCCAAACACATCCTTATTTAAATATAATTGTTAATAATGCTTTTCCTGTTTGCCGAATCTCCGGAAACGATGAATTGAGTCAATGTTTCTAGCGCTGTCTGTAGATTGGTTGTTAAGTCTCTTAAGATTGAGCTGGACAGCTTTAATATTTGCCGCTTCAGTCGTATATCTGTTGTCGATTTTCATCTATAGTGTCATCCTTCGATAACTGAGCCGCTGCCGAGATAACTCGGCAAGTTCCAAGATTACCGAGGTTTGGCACAAGATTTATGCTTTAGATACTTGCTTCTTTACCAATAGAGCTGAACTTGGTTGATCGTTTAACGAGTTAAGCGTTATAGCCGAGATAGCCGATTGCAGTGGTACCACCAATGCGTCGCTTCTAGTTGCCTCTTTCAATTGCAAATTGGCGACGACATTGATCGCTTAGATCGCCAAATCTATATATTAACAGATCCTCTTAATTGAATCTACTTGTTGCTTCTTTTCATAAATGCACATGGTTTGAGTTTAATTACACTAACCTGACAAACCTCACGACTTTTTCGGTGATTACATGACACCAAGATGTATGTCCCCCTGGAGCGTTCTAATAAATCTCTAACTAACGATTGAAGCGTCAAAATGTCGTTCACTTCAACACTCCCATTAAAATTATGGTACTCTCCAGGGGCCTGCTCCTTTGCAGCCCACGTAACTCTACTTGAGGCTGGGCTGCAGCCCGAGCTCATATGTATCGAATTCGCGGACATGACTGAAGACTTTGCTCGCCTGAATCCAAAACGAAAGGTCCCCGTATTGGCAGTTGGAGGTCAAATTATTACTGAAATGCCGGCTATTCTTACGGCTATCTCATCATTGCGTCCTGACCGGAAGTTGATGGGAAAGGATACATCGGAGACCGTGCGCGCATACGAATGGCTGAACTACCTTTCTGGTACCCTCCATGGGCAAGGCTTTGGAGGACTCTGGAGACCTGGGAGATTTGTAAACGATAAATCAGTGTATTCGGCTGTTAAAGAAAAAGGAAGACAAACAATCAAGGATTGTTATACCTTCATCGATGGCAAACTGAAAGGAGCCAACACCGCTTATTCAGTGGGTGATTCATTCACAGGCGTAGACGCTTTTCTTCTAGTGTTCTATCTTTGGGGAATCAGAATCAAGATCGATATGGACGCAGGATACCCATCATACGCAGCATTGGCACATAGACTTCTAGAGAGGGAATCGGTTATTGCAGCACAAAAAGTTCATGTACGTATGATACAGGAAATTCTAGGATAGAATAGGTGGGATTCATGTGTTGTCTCTCTAATGTTAAATAGAAGCTAAACGTTGAGTATGTCAAGTTATGAGCTCGCTTGTCATACGTTTGAGGTAGGTGAGCCATGCCACGGCAGAAGAAAATCTTAGTTGTCCTGCCTGTTTCCATAGAGAACTGATTAAAGCTGTTTGGTAAGAAACTACGAACAGCTAGGAGATTCTTATTTTCTGATTCACGATCGGCTCGTTTGTAATGTCTAAAGAATGGTTTATATGTGATTGCATCCTTTGAGTCGTGCTTGACCTCAATATCTTCTCGTTTTTAGCATTGGATATGATGTCAAGCCTTTCCCTTCCAAAGATCATCACATTCAGTTGGTTGGCTGTTGGATCTTTTGCCTTCACTTGCGGCGCGATAATAAACAGAAGCTAAAAGACGGATCTTCCTAGACATGTTGAAGAGATTTTAGAGGAGTGTGAAATCATTAAATGGCTTCCGTAATGATAACATGATCGTATGCTGCAATATCCTCTCTGAAGTAGTGTACAAGAATGTAATCTATATATCCTTCCACTTTCAACCACTCACGATAGGCATGTCAATGAACTGAAGGAGAAGTCAAGAAATGATTAAATATTACACTTCCCAAGAAAACGCCAGCGAGAACGGATAGAAAGTAGCCGACATTCATACTCATTGCCGCGATCATTCTGTCCAAAAGTCAGTAAGTTGCTTGGGTCCCTGTCTCTTCATTTGCACCAACAATAAATAGCCAACGCCTGCAAGGATAAGATCCATGCACGCAAACTTTACGGCTTCATTGGCTCTCCATGGGCGTATGGTCGTTTTGGAATCGGCCATATGTGAAGGTATTCTGCCATCACAACGTCGGCGTTCGATCACATCCATGACCTGGGGGAAATTGACACGAATTGCTAATAGAGCTCTGGAGATGGTGGCAAAAGCTATCAGAAATATGCAAGTTCCAGCATATTGTCCAGTCGAAGTGGGAGTCCAGGAAGAGGTAAAGAGAGGGGTGTTTGTAGCGGTGAAAAAGGTCACGGCCATTGAATCCATTCGCATCATACTAGATGAGTCCATGGGCACGGAGCCATCCGCTGGACTATCCATGGGCATTCCCGGCATGGTACCTGTTGAAGACCCAGGCATAGGCATATCCATCTTGATACGTCAGATATTGCGGCAGAGACGAGAGATGAGTGTTGTCAAAACCGGAACCCGAGTTACATGGCCAACTCAGCGCGCTCAATGTTTGCTTCAGGCTAGGAATCAGCTCAAAACTTGCTGTGGCCACCTTTATATTCGTGAAGTCCAAACATGCGCTCCTGTGGAGATGTCACTTGAGTCTCCCCTGAAGGTGGGGGGACAGGATGAATCATTCCATGTCTTTTTGCGCCTTCTGCTAGCTGTTTCTGTAATGCGTAAATCTCATCTGCCGTATCAGAAACGGCACAAGTGGGAGGATCTAACAACTAACAAACAAGGGTGTCATGTGTGATAATGCACCATCTCTTTTCACGGGAGTCGGTGGGGAAACTTGCTCAAACACGCTCTTAATCAATATGTAATCACACCACCATTTTACAACAATTTTATGCTTGTTTCAAGAAAGACAATCACGACGGCTCATTAAAAAAAAATCTTCCGTCCAATCTATTTACGGACGACAGCTCTCGATCAATGATGGGATGGACATTTCGTGCTATAAACCAAGTCTAGCAAGAAGCTTATGAGTCTTCCTTAATTGCTTAAATCTCTGCCTCGCCCCCCCTCTCCCCTTCTACCACTGTCTAATATCCGTTTGTATCACGCTGAACTTGCCAACCCCTAAAGAAAACCGCAAAGATGATGGGCAATCCCGCATGGCTTCCTCAGCCAGTTCAGCTGCATTCAAGCCGCGTATTTGAGTGCGATTCACTCACTGCCGAAGAATGCGCCTGGTATAAGCAACGCTGGCACTATTGGTATTACGATCTGGAATCATTATCAGTAGTACTCAACTGACACATTTTCCGTTAGGTACATCGCCGATTATGTTTTTGCTCTGCCAACAATCGCATTCTTTATGTCCACCATCGGCATTTTCATCATTGGTCATTTTATATCGGTAATTCTTGGCTACCGACGATCCAGGGGCCCTGTAATATGGCAGAAATTAGTCGCGGCTGTTCGATATCTCTCTTACCGTAGTTTTTACATCAAGTCGTTAAAATGGAATTCAGCCCCGATTGGCATTCTTCTTTTAGGACTTACTGGAACCATCTTCTTCTTCTGTAAGCTGAAAACAAACTCATGTCATGATGGATGCTGATGGTTTGGTCAGGTATGGATTTGATTCCACAGCCTTATTATTGGTCGAGTAAGATCTACGGCAATTCGCCTGCATTGGCCACCAGATCTGGATGGATGAGTCTGGCATGTATGCCATTCATTTTGTACGTCAATTCATAGAGATGAAGCTTGAAAAACACTAACAGCATCCAGCGCAACCGCAAGTAAGGCGAATTGGATCACACTATTTACAGGAGTCTCATACGAGAGACTCCAAGTCTTCCACAGATGGATTTCCTATGCTTTTTTTGTTCTTGCGCTCATGCACACATTCCCATTCATCGTATACCATATCCGGTTCCATGACATGCAACATCATTTTTCTTCCAATCTTGTATTTTACTGGACCGGCATCGTGGCGTTAATCTTCCAAGCATGGCTCACCTTTGCGTCTCATAGCACAGTCCGGTGAGTTGCAATCCAGAAGCCATAAATGTCAAGGGATGTGGCTAATCTAAAGCTCAGAAACCTCGGTTATGAAATCTTCAAAATGACGCATTTCTTTGCTGCTGTTTTATTTATGTTGACATTCTTTTGGCACTGCGGCTTTAGGCTCAGCTCATGGTAAGAATAATCATCTACTGCCTACGTGATATACAAAGATGCCAGTATTCACATTTTCGCAGGGACTATTTTATTGCGACAGCAGCTGTATATATTCCCTGTTATGTCTATCCCTGGCTTCGAACTTGCGTTGAGTACGGCGTCGGCCAGAAAGCTCAGCTTTTTGTGGAAGATAATGGCTTTATTCTCATCACAATTCCAGTCAAGTTCAACTGGAAACCCGGACAGTATTGCTTCCTGCGATTTACAAGCTTTGGTCTACTACACGCTCTCTCGTCTCACCCTTTTACTATTTGCTCCTTGCCTGCAGTAGCACCGAATGAGCAATCTGAACTCGTCTTTTATATTCGTCAGGGAAGCGGCCTCACCGCTCAATTACGGCAGTACGCTCTGGAGCAGCCTGGAAGCTCGGTAACCGTGCTCGTTGATGGTCCCTATGGAGGTATCAATGAGCAGCAGTATTATGATGGCAGACATCTCCTTGTCATTGCAGGTGGCTCAGGCGCAGGCTGGTGTTTTCCCTTCATCGAGCGATTTGCTAGGCAACGTTGGATGTCAGCAGATGAAGAGCACGGCCAAATTGTGTCAACCGACGGCAAGGACGGTGTTCCCAGCAAAGCTGTTTCTAAAACCCCCGGCTCTGGGCCGCTGTCGCTGCGTGTCATCTTGGTCACTCGAGACGTCAGTAGCCGCGCATGGTTTCTCCGTACCATCAACGAGCTGCTATCAAAATCTTTAGCAAGGGATTCATCATCTCACATTGACGTACAAGTCTATCTGACCGGACAGGATTTACAGAAAGTCAATTCAACAGATATAGCCATAGAAGGCCCGGCTTCGAAAGAATCTGCCGTAGTGGTGGACGATAAAATCATTCCGGAAGGACACAAGCTCATTGCATCAGAAAAAGAATTTCATGGCCGGCCACAGTTAACTCAAATCATCCACGAAGAGGCAGCCATGGTATTGGAAGCAGGGCAATCACTCAACGTCTATGTTTGCGGACCTACCACAATGCAAAACGATGTACGCAATGCTGCCGCCGAAGAAAACCTAAACATTGTTACAGGTTCGAAACACGGCCAAGTCTATATTCACTCCGAACATTTCTCGTGGGCATGAGCCGACTCAGCATAGGTACGGCACACATAACTCCAAAATTCCCCACTGCTCCAGCATGGGCGATACTGTTGAGATAACGACGATGGTGGTGGCAAGTATTCGCATCATACATATCTACATACTGGGTATAATCAAGCAAACAGCCATGAACTGCAGTCGGTTATTTTCCAGGAAGGGCAGATGAAAGTTCCTAAATTAGTTTAAGAAAGGCAACTACAAGGGCCAAAATCTGTCATATCGGCGAAATCAGCATTCTCCTCCAGAGAGAAATTCGGCTGGTGCATATATGTTCCTACTTATCACAGTTTCCTAACAAGGACCGAAAGCATGGCTTACGCGTTGGAGAAAATGCCTTATGCCACAAAAACTTTGTCATCAATAACCAATTCTTGAACCAGTGCGGGTAGCAAATGCTGTCAACTTATGCAGTTCGGTAACATTCCCGGAACCAGTAAGCACATGGAAAATGGGCCCGTCGCCAGATAGTGCTTATCCAAGACTGTAATTCTGACTACGCCTTTGATTCAAACTCAAAATTCAGTGAGGCATACGATATGGCATTACAAAGCAAATGTGAGTAGATTGAAAGACCGAAGCTGAAGCACTGCGTGGCATGACCTGCGTGGCTTAGAGAAGATGCCGTTCACAGGGTGGCGAGGTTGTGTAAAATGTTTAGAGTCGAAGCATCTAGGCTTTCCCCCGCATTATAAGCGTAGTGCGGGCTGTCAGCTATCGTGTTGGAAGACAATGTCTAGAAGGCGACATAGAATGGAGAAGTTGGGGGTTGTTACATCATCTCAGCATCAGAAATCGTTAGGCTCGTTATTGACGGGTCTAAGTCGTGTATAAATGAACCTTCTGCCCTTTGCGTTTCAGCTCAGACCATTTGTCTCTGATATTCGTTTCTTCAGCCAAAATTCGTTTGTTTCAGCCTCTTTCAGCTCTTCTACAACCAATATCGCCAGATAATCAAGATGTCGTCAGGCAGCTGCTGGTGCGGCAACCTCAAATACGAGTTCGAGGGTGACTCTAAGCACGTGGTAGGATCTCACAGATGAATGAAAGACCGAAGATACGTACTAAAAATGATGCAGATCTTATGTCACTGCTTAACCTGCCAAAAACTATCCGGGACAACTAATACCGCCAATATCCCTATCGCGCGAGACAAGCTGACAGTGACTTCTGGAACTCCCAAATCTCATACTGAGAAACATGAGGATGGATTCAACTTGACCAAATTCTTCTGTGGCGACTGCGGCACGACAATCTACAAGCAAGCTGATGCGGATATGTTTGCGCCAGTCTCTTTGGTTCAAGCGGGGACGTTGGATGGCCCTGCTAAGGACAAAGTCAGCCAACCTGTCGCGGAGTTGAATGTGAAAATCAGGCAACCTTGGTTAGCTGAAGTCGGTTCCGCTGCTCAAAAGCAAGGATTTGACTAGATATTACAAGAACGAATAATATTTTGGGGATGGAATGATGCTACGGAGTTGATTCATCTTGTATTCAGATTGCTGCCACAGCTCTTTACGTGTATGTTTAGTTAGTCCGGAACAGGAACCAAGTAAAATTGCCCCATGTTATCAGTCAAAGATTAAGCTATAGAGGCTTATTATAGATTTCGGAAAGCTAGCCTTTCTTGGTTTCGTTTCTTATGATTTGCACGAACAGTAAGCCAGCTAGTAACACTGCCATGGAGTCGGCACTTTCTTCCCGTTGTTGAACCCCACCTTACTCCGAGTGAGAGACTTCTCGATACCGAATATAAGAAGGAGTTTTCAGCACAAGCAGATGGTTAGATTGCAAACGCTTGGCATCCTTTGGCCAAAAAACAAAACCGGTAGCATGATCAAAAATAAACTTATACAAAAGAGCATAGAAAACACGAATCTCGTATATATCATATCAGTAGTCCCAATGGGCGCAGTAAACTTATCCGTGGCGGGGTAGACTTAAGAGTTTCAAAGAGTCATAGATATTGAGCCGAGTTCCGTAATAAATAATCGATATATCGGATTGACATCGGAGAGAAGTTCAAATCTGCCACTGTGTACGTTATTTCCGGGAGGGCTAATCTCTCCGAACTTTCCCAACTCTTTTCTCAACAGCAACTCTATACTTGGACGACCCCTCATCTAGCACGCAGATTGGAACATGCCCGCCAGTTCACTCCAGCAATCCGGGCCATTTGAGTCCTTGGATCATTATCTCAAGGCTCGAGAGTCGCTTGTCAACTCTGAGAAAGCCCATGGATATGAAGGTTTGGTCAAAAGGACAACTCTAGAGGCGACAGCCGAAGATATTATTCAGCGCCTCAAAGAGTGGGAAGAGAAAAATGTCTACGGTATCAAGAGTGATGGCTCTGGACACGAAGCTGGCCACCGGTTTTTCCATGGCCTAGATCTTGTTCCAGATAGCAAACTATTCGATATTGCTACAAAAGCTCCCAAAGGCTGTCTTTTGCATTGCCACTATGACTGCCTTCTACCTCCGGAGACTGCCCTTAGCGATGCTAGGAACCAACCGAATCTCTATATCAAATGCGATGTTCCACTCGTCTCGGAGGGGCTCTTTGCTTATGCTTTGCCTCAATTCGACGTGTTCAGTCAAGATATACATCTAACTGAATCCACCAATCTGTTCAGCAAGGCATATGTCGCTGGATCTTGGATGCGATATTCCGACTTCTTGAGCAAGTTTCCAGGTGGAGCATATAAGGCAGAATCATGGCTCTATAAGCGGATGGTCTTACGGCCGGATGATGCCTATCATCCTAAGCAGACAGTTAACGGGTAAGAATAAAGAAGGAACATATAGTAGAATGACCCGAGAAGCTAAGATCGATAGCATCTGGCAACAGTTTATTCGGGTGGTCACAGTTATCCGATCCATGTTCGGCTATGAGACGGCTTACAGGGAGCAATTTAGAAGAGTGCTGTGGAAATTTGCCCAAGATGGTATCATGTATGCCGAGATTCGAGTAGCTCTCAATTATAGGTTTTCCATCAAATCCGATGATGGCACTCGAGAACTCAAGCAGAAGGAAGCTTTGGAGATTTTCCAGCAGGTGTTGAGAGAAGAAGTTCCAAAGATACACGCCGCGGGGCATGCATTCTACGGTGTCAAGGTCATATACGCATGCATGCGATCTTCGTCTAGAGAAGCCATGCTTTGGTGTATGGATAACTGCATCGAAATGAAGCAATTGTTCCCAGACCTCATTTGCGGTGAGATTTTTCTGATTCTCACTGGCTCGATATTAGAAGGCTCACACGTTCTCCAGCTTTTGATATGCAGGGACAGGAAGATTCAGGACACCCGCTTTCTTACTGGGTTTCTGATCTTCTCGCGATGCGTGCTAAAATTACAGCGCTAAATCTCGATCTGCCATTCATATTCCACGCCGGCGAGACGCTTGATCATGGAGGAGACACCGATTCCAATTTGTATGATGCTATCCTATTAGATACGAAGCGCATCGGACACGGTTTCAGCATCACCAAGCACCCGCTTCTCATGCAAATTTGCAAGGAGAAGCAGATTGCCATTGAGACGTGCCCCATTTCTAATGAAGTCTTGGGATTAGTCCCGACAACAAAGTCCCATCACCTGCCCGTTCTCTTGGCCAATTGTGTTCCTTGCACTGTCAACAGCGATGACCCTGGATCATGGAAGTGAGTATTGATCATCAGTGCTTCAATCGATAATTAATACTGACATATGCAGAGCGAGTATGCTGTCTCATGATTTCCATCAAGCGATGATGAGTAGTGAAAACATGTCGCTCATGGGTTGGCGGACTCTCGCCGAATGGAGCATCTCCTATAGCTGCGTCGATGCAGAGACAAAGGAGAAGATGCTAAGCGACTACGGCAAAAGATGGGCAGAGTTCTGTCAGTGGATTGTTGATGTATATGGAAAAGCCTAAACTCGGCGTGGATGGGCGAACATGAAAAGAGTGCATTAATCGGTGCAAGGAGTTTCAACAAGGCAGCAACACCTATTCTCAACAGGGTATTTGGCGGCATATGGATCTGATGATTACCTTTCTTGGGATTTCAACATTTTAATTTTGTTTCATGGGAGCTGTCACTCAACAGTTGACAGCAGGATACCCAAAGAATACATGTACATTGTGGACTGACTGAGCAACTTGCTACAAAAAGGCGCTGTTGACTCATTCATTCAATGTGAACGGCCTTTCAACCATTATTAAGAAGGCATCATTCCAGTATAAATTTTCATTACTGGTAAACTTAGTGTGAGAGATGCTATTCAGGAATGCGTAGCCGAATCAGTGTTTGAAGTTGTTCGAGATGACTGTCACATTACTTTCCCAATCAGGCTGAGAGAGGAGCTCTATCTTATCCGTGGGCACCGACATCATATTATTTAACTCTAAGACCGGTCAAACCACTCGTAAAAGGGCCAAATTCAGCGTATTCCATTTGGACTCGAGTGGAATCATCCTTCTCACTGGGTCATCTGTTATGAACCTTAAGAGATATACTGCGTAGTGAGCTTCCCCGAACGTAAAACAGACTTATGGTGTCGGTTTGTAGCAGATTCAAAAGAGGCGTGGTCTGACTGAGGATGCATGAAGTTGCTACTTGACCAACGGCCTTCATGGACTATTTGCTCGCACAACTCAGATCGCTTGAAGCAAACATGGTAGGGGAATATTACACCTCAGCTATATGGTGATAGGATACAAAGATGGTATAAACCGATTGGTTGACTCTAAGTAATTGACTGACTAATAGCGCGATGTAGTGTCGAGGCTTTGTGCTCACCGACAGTGCCGCTAAGGTACGTCTCTCTACCTACAACCATCATATGCGAAATAAATAACTAATCAAGAGAACTTTCCTGTTCAAACCTGAATTCTCAAAGGAAACATCGCTGACCTCAATATCTAAGCTTCCATCCTGATAACAAAGGTTCTGACTGGAAATATAGTGAAAAGCAAATTATATATATCCCCAACTTTCCACTCTGAAGCCGAATCTTTGACTCAAGGGCCTCCTGGTTGGAGGGGGTTATATCTGAGGCACCCCCTTTTTCAAGGAAGTAGCTACATGTATCCAGCGACCCAGCCGTTGGGTGGAGTTTGGGCATTGGAACCGGAAAGCCGTTTGTTCATTACGTTACTCTAGGCATTTACCTTGATAGTAACTTGCAAATATCCAGTTGAGTTCCTTTAGTAAAGGTATGCTACTATTACTTCTTTCTGCTCCTATGGCTATATTGGTCTAGTCTCTACTACCATTGCTACACTTTTCTAGTATCTTCTACTACTACTGTGTTCTTCTGGCATCTACCACTATAGCTACTCTTTTTAGCTACTCTTCTACCGTTAGCGCTCGATATCATTTGCGACACGAGATATTGGATAGCAGAGTTGGGATGCCGAATAGGCGTTTCCTTCTTCAACACCATCGACCTCCTCTCCTTGAGCCGCATTGACCTCTCCTTCAGGGGCAGTGATAGCTTCCTCGGTGGGAGCAACCTTGGGCTCTTCCGCAGCTAACAGTGTCTGGCTCAGTGGATGCAGTATTAGTGTTCTGTTGAGCCATAGCGTTCCGCCCTTCAGGGGCGTCAGCGGTGTCAGAAGCGAAATCGAGGTCCTCGTTTGACGCCGTCTCGTCGTCGGAGTTGTAGTCATCTGGAATCTCGATCTCCTCTTCTGGGGCATCCTGGCGCTCTTTCATTCTGCGATGGTGAAATTGCGCGTCCTCTCTCTTAGAATTTTTGGCCTCCTCACTGAGCTTCATGAGCCTCGGTCCAAGCACCACACGAAGCTGGTTCCCGGTCAGCAGGGGCCACTGCTCAAACATTTCCAAGGGTTGACTAGTGACCAGATCCAACATTGCGGCAGCCAGGTAGTCATCATGCTCAGTGTAATAGGGCGTATTGTTGGAGATCGGGATAAGCTTTGCGGTAAGGGAGGACGCATAGCCCCAGCTTGATTGCCTCCTAATGCACATATCTATGACAAAGCTCGAGTGTACGGGCCAGCATAGGGTTCTTCATATTATCATGTTCCAATTACTTCATGTTATAGTCTGACTGGAATGAAGATGTTTTTACCGTAACGCACCAACTGAAGCGCGGCCCTGAGGATACAGGTTTACCGCCTTTTCGATGGCCCTAGTGTGGTGTTTAGGTTCATATAGGGCTCGTGCAATGGTCACGCCTTCGCCGTTGGACGAGGCCCTTGAATATAGTCGGTCTTGTGACAACATGCTGAGAAAGGCATACGTGGAGATATTTCTTAAAATATCCGATTCTCTTAAGAAGGAGTACTATTTAAACAGCCAGAAGACCTGGCACTGTAGTAATATTTTCCTCATTAAAACTAACCTGTTAGTTCCCCTTAACAAGTAATACAGCGCTTCCACCAGCTATTTGATTTAATCTAGCTATCTTATATTATTTGAAACTCTTTATAAACCAATTATGTCATACCGCAGCCAACTTCCAACTAATAGCTATCATAATATATTTATAGTACTCGTATCCGATTAGGGTCCTATTAGCAAGTTCATAACGCAATCGGTATGCCAGCAGGTATATAACATTCTCCGTTGGAGCTTTATTATATACCTGCTCGCATACCTTGCATTACTCTGGAATTTATGGCTGAAGGACCCATCGGACACGAATACAATAAATTAATATATTATAACTATCAGCTGGAAGATAGTTGGGATATGATATGGCAGGCTTGTAGAGGGTTTAAAATAATATATAATAGCGAGGTTAAATTAAAGAGCCGGTGGAAGCAATCTTGGGTTTTTGTTCTTGCCATGGGCACGAAGTATGCCGTCGAGACTGAGTTCCTCCGTGGGGAGGAGATACGTTCCAGGATATGAAATCTGGCCATCTGGTAATATAAGGCGGAAGCGCAACGTTTAGTAGAGGGTTACGATTTTCAGTATCACCGATATAACTTTTTAGCAAAATTTGCTTAACAACTTTGCGTTACTCCCATAGCTCTTTACTAATGCCAGGAGGATTTGCTAAATCTTAACACAGCCCGGTTATTAAACTTTTACATCTACCCTCGACCTTTTAATAAATAATCTCTTATAAACCTTTTAGAAAAGATATTTTGTCTAGCTCCTATTAGGTCATGTATTAATAATTATGTTATAGTTCTTATCCCAAAGGTCCTGCGTATATCTAATTATGTATTTCCCCTTAGTGCCCTAAAAGTTAAGTTAGTGCTAAATAAAAGATAATAGTGTAATAATATCCTATAGACTTCCTATTAATAAAGTACTTATAACCTAAACCAGGCGATTATAGTTAAGCAGGCGGAAAAGGTAGTTATAAATACCACTAGCTCGGCGAGCGGTGTATGCCTTATTAGTAACAACTAAAAGGGCAAATTTAAATCTTAGCAAGGACGTCACAGACTTATACTCAACAAAATTACTATCTACAGAAGTATAGCTATTTGTAGGTAAGAAGTAAATCCTCTTTTTCTTTAACTTATAATTGTCTTTATAATATTCTTTTTTAAAGTTTGCCGCTGGCCTCCTTTCGTCTAGACTGAAACTGGAGCATCTGCTCCGGTGTGCAATCGTTATCCGAATCCGACTGTAAATAATCTAGATCCGGATCTTCTACAATTAAGACGTTGTTGCGGAAAGTGTTGTTAAGATTGCCAAGGGGGCCTCTTGGCGGAGCAGTAGTAGTCTTTGCGCGCGACTTCACACGAAGCCCCTGCTCACGGTCCAGGAAGATAAATCGCTGTTCAGTCCTAATCTATTCGCGGGTTTGCAGCGTGTTATTTACGGTTATGATGATAGGATATACAGTCTATAAATGAATCAACAAATACTACCAGAGACCTAGAGCTGGACAACTTCTACAATATCCTGATGAAATCCTTCTTGAGTACAACCTTGGCCCGGCCGAGTTTACCAGCTTAACTAGTTATAGTATAATATATTAAGATAGTAAGACAGCTGCTGTCTGATAGATTGTACTAAGAGGACTGAAAGAAGATGTCATTACTCTCTCCGTTAGACAGCGACGAAAGCTTGGTCTCTAGTTCCCAGGTTTGGCACTTAATCATGGCGATGGTTCCTGTCAAGCACCCTTTAAGAGTATACAATGAGCTAAAAAGAAGCAATTAGTAGCAGACAGTAGTGAGTAGTAATAGATAAAACCCTGGTCTTCCCTAAACCCTCTTTATTGCTCAAGAGAACATGGCCCAGAGTGTCCAGCTTCTCAAAGATTAACATTCAGCTTAGAGCAAAATTAGAACAGACTTCGGATCTAATTACAAGACTACCATGACTGATAAACTCATACCACACTGTAGATTTTCGTATATAACTCATTTACAGAGTCCCAGGTTTTCAGTGAACCGCCTACCCGCCTCAATGGCACTTACGATCTCAACCTCATCACCGTTCACCACCATTCTCACTTTATACATCACGTGCAAACGGCATTTTCAAAAATTGAAACCAATATCGCCATTTCACTATCGCAATAATGAAAAATTCTACATTCTCTCACAACTCGCATAATAAATCACGTGCAGCTCCACCCCCATAAACGTCTCCTGCCCAACCTCAACCTCTTCCATCTTTCTTCTTTCTTCAACTCTCTTCGACCCTTCCTCTCTCTTGCCACATTGTGGCAAGTCCACATCATGCCGAGACAGCGCTGTAAAAACACCTACAATCTTTTTAAATGGTTGATTATTAAAAGCTCACGTTGAATCACAAATAAACCCAAGCCTGCGAAGGCAAGCAAAACCACCGGAGCGGCACCCATCAACTTCGATCCGATTCTCCGCCAAAACACTTTGCTAGAATGGCGCCTAGAACCCGAGGCGATTGACTACTCTGTTGCAGATACCGCGATCGCTACGCCAAATGAAGCAGCTGCCATCACTCGGAACGCTGCTAAGTGGCGTGCCTTGGGCCATGTCACCGGCGTTCAGGTTCTTCACCAGTGGGAGACCACTCCCAAGATGATCTCCGAGCTGGCTAGATACAACGGTTTCAGAACCAACGCTGCCCTCGCCAACTTCAACTTCACGGACACTATTGGTGAGTGCATCTGACCCCTAGTGTGGTGTCACCATTGAGCCGGTGAATTTCAACGCCTTTGGTCCTCTTCGAATACTATCAACCGCCCCCCCCCCCCCCTTCTTTATTTTTTCTCTTCTTTCTTTCGTTTTCCTTTCTTGTTCTACAAGTGCTGACTTTGAACAGTTCGCGATATTATTCCATCAGGATTGACGTCGGGGTACCACCAGTTTGACATTGAACGAGCAAAGTCTCTGCTTCCCCAGTCCGATGCCGAACTGTTCGACGTTATGAGCAAACTTCCCGAGGAGATGCTCGCAGTGTTCAACGAAATACGATCCTCCGTCCAAACACTCTCAAAGAACAAGATACACAACATGGTCAAGCCAGCCGACTTGGTGAGATCATATTGCACCAACAGTCAGCTCAAGTTGATGATTGACAAGATTGTAACCTTTTTGCCATTTCCCATGTTTCTACCGATTACACGCAGCATGATTACGAAGAGAGAGGACGAAGAAGACTTCATTAATGTGACGGCGACAACTCTGGCTCATGCAATCCAGATCCTCCTATTCGCACCGAATAAATGGAATAAGGACATCGTTTACAAACGCGACAGCGATCAATACATCCGGCGGTATCCTACACCCCCGGGCCACGGCGGAGATTGCCGCACTTTCGCGGGCATCTTCAGCCTTGAAGATTTGCACCGATCAGTTTTGCTTATATCTCTAACCGATTATAGGCGCTCGTCAGGTCACAATCTCAACTCGAAGCGAGGACCCCAGGCACGAGGCCAATTTTTGGGTTATTTCGATGTCCTGACAAAGAAGCCGACCCTGGATGGAGAGACCAACTTGAGTGCAATGCAACGAGCCACTACCAGGCTGCTCGATAATCTGCTCTCAGAAAGCAACATTATTGCGCAGACCATTCACACCGAAGATTTGGAGACGGCCGAGGAGGCCGCCGACGCGCTGACGACGCCACAGCAAACCCCTTGCACGAACTCCAAGAGCCGTGCCAACGTCATATTTGACAATCGGAACTTGGATTTGCGAACACTTTATATTGAGTACGTTTCTAGCCGACAAACCTGGCGGCGCCATTACCGCGGCGCAGCCGACCTCACGGACAACAAACCAATGTATGAACTACTCGACAACATGACGAAAGAGGAATAGGAACTCCTATTTCGCAAGTTGAGAAATCATTTCGGCTGGAAAGATCCAAATGAGATTTTAAAAAGGGTATTGCAACACACCACATCCTTTACGTCCTTGGCCGAAGAGCGAAAGATGCTTGAGGTTTCAACTCAGGGTGCCTCATCCCTTGCAGTACAGGAATTCATCGCCACCCACCCTGACCAAGAACAGGGACTACTTGACAACATGCGGCGAGCTCACGCCTTAGAGATGGTTTTGAACGGAAACCCGCCTCCTGAAGACACTGATCTCTTGGAAGTGTGCAAGAGGTTCGACATCTCGTGGCCTGAGATGCGAGTCTACAAAGACATCGCCAACAATCAGCCACTGAAACCTCACCAAATTGCCGGTTTGTCTCCTTTTACCCAAGTGTAATGACTCTCATAGACACATTACTAACTGGATCATAGATTTGGGTGTTATTTTTGACAAGCTTGATTCGATTAGCCATGTTCTGTTATGCAATGAAACGGGCCTTGGGAAGACAAAGGTGTTCGCAGCAATGGTGGAATGCAACGCTCGAGATATTGAAGCAAAGGCAACTGCCAATCCAGATGGAGATCAAGCTGTGTATTTTCCGACATTGGTGGTGAATCCAGTCCAAACCGTACACAGACTCACGCCGAGTTCAAAGACAACTTTCCACGGCTTAATATTCTGCTCTATTATTCTACGAAATCACAGTCTCGAAAATTCAGTGGTGGTCAGATCCTGGAACAAAAGGACTTCCTCGGCTTTCTTCAGAAGCTGTCTCCTACTAACCCAATGGTAAGTTGAACTCTTTCGTGTTTCACTCTTTCTTAAATGCCTCCCTCATTCCTTCAAGCGTGTATTGACCCCTCGCGCTTCTCTACTATACTAATTGGCGACTAGTCCGCAAAAACCGTCATCTTGACTACCTATTCGACCCTCCATCGGAGAGAAACTCTGAGGCTGGAACAAAGGTTTGTCTTCGTTGATCGTGAGCAAGGTGGCCCGACGCCTAAGCGACAGAGGACAGAGAAGAATAGTGTTTCCAATGCTACCCATGACACTTCTTCTGAAGATGAGTCAGACGACTCTGACGACGATGAGGTGGCCCAACATTGATCAGTGCACAAGCAAACCAAACGAATTCGCACATACTACAAGGATGAACCCGACTTGAAGGGTAAAAGGTTTGAAATACTTGCTCAGGGCGACCAGAGGACTCCTGACGGTATTCTTGTCGAGTATCAGCTCCGAAATAAAGACCTTGGCAAATTCGTTGGGGATTCCTTGTTGTGGATCAGGCACACATCGCGCGAAAGGTATCTGGCGTTTACAACATATATTCAAGCTCTTGGACTGGCGCAATCTCGTTTAGGTGACGGGTACGCCACTGGTGAATAGTTTACATGACATCATGTCACCATTGGTCCTCCTGTGGGAAAAGATTGGAATCGAAGCAGTCGCTGAATATGCCGACTATGGGAGCATCCAGGGCCTCTGGCGAACTAACTATGACCCGTACAACGAGAATCAATGGGAAGACGGCACCTCCACCCGAGGTATTTTTACCACCGAGTTCAAAGCAAAATACCCATCGAAATCATGGAACGAAATGGAGGCATTTTACAAGCGAACCGGCGTCAAGATATGGCAGCTGAACCCAGTTATTGTGGAAGTGGCCGGTGGGAAGGCTGAATGGTCGTGCTCGTTTGGACAGAATGTCGTATCGGTTATCCTGAGACTTCTGGCACTCCAACGTTCTCTCAGATCTCGCCTGGTGCTCCCAGATGGAGTGGTATGTTACCCCAGGGCCGACCTGCTCCCTATGACCATTGCTACTGAGGAACTCAACTTTGACAGCAACTGTCAAAGCTACCTCCGAGACCACGGAAAACTCTGCGCGACTCATTCATTTCTCCCTAGCCCTGCGGATGAAATCTTCACTTCGGGACAGGGGAGCATCAGTAGCACGCAGCACGAAGATTTGATCAACTTCTCGGCCTACCGTCAGGGTATCTTGGTTGCCTATGACTATCGAACTTCCAGCATTATTTGCCGTAATGTCGAAGACATCTTTGGCGCCGATGTGACGACAATTGAGAATGCCATTACCGCGTTCCGTGATTGGAAGACCCTGCCTAACTCGCAGCTACAGCATCACGATGGCAGCAGCGATAATGGCAAAGGCCAAGCTGTCGGCGTAGAACATCTTCAGAAGCTACTTTCATTCGACCAAAACGCTGGTCTTGACTATTTCTTCTCGCTCACTCGCCTGGATCCCGATGTGAATTCTCCGATGGGTCGCAGTGGATGGCTGTACTGGTTGTGTGCAACCAGTCCTATTCTCTCTCGTTGCCTGGAACTCGCGTACAGATACGTCCTACAGGACAAGGAGCGAATTGTGTTGTACGTAGACACGCGATGGATACAGCAGTAAGCATCCCGTTCCATGTCACTCTTGCATCAATGAGCGTATCCCATTGATAGAAGAGCGAATCTACCACCTTGATACCATTCTCAGCTCATACTAACCTTGTATCTTTAGGCTCATGTTTGCTGCTATGAAAATGGTGGGCTTTCACACGTTGACTATCAGATCCGCTGACAAGCCAGATGCCAAAATTGAGGCGGTTCGACTTTTTTGTGATCCTAGTTCAGAAGCTCAGGTGTTTATTGCCAACATAAACATAATGAGTTCGGGTGTGAATTTGCACACGGCTTGTTGCAAAGGCGTTTTGGTCAACATGCCCTTTGACGCAAAGACTATGCTGCAAATCCATGGCCAATTGAATCGCTTGGGACAGAAGAATGCTGTGAAGTGGCACAACTTGAAGATCAAGTACTCTTTCCATGATCATCAGGAAAGAGTTCTACTTACCAAATGGTCTCAGCAATTGTCTGCTGAGGCAAGTCTACCTCGCTGGATCTCTGGAGCACTCCGCGAGGTTGTCATCTTCGAATTAATGAAGGCGTATATGAACCAGCCGTTCAATCGCTACGCTTGGATTGTATTCCATGACCGTGATAGTCCTGAGATGGTATACTACACAAAGCAAGTTGTGAAGTTGGGACACTCTTGCTCTGCCCTTGCTAGGCTGGTGATGAAGACGGATCGCGAGCAGTATTGGACAGAAAACGACGGATTTCTTATGGTTGCTATGCTGGAAATGACTCAGGACATGAGCTTGGAATAACTCGAGAGATGGCTCACTTGCGGAGAGAAAGTTTTACCACGCAAAATGGAGGAAATGCTCGAGAGGTATATCACGGCTGTGAAGTCGGACAAGTCCAAGAGACAACAAGCCAAAGTCCTCAAGGATCAAGTTGAAGATCGAAAGAAGCAGTATAAATCTAACGAGGCTTTTAGCCCCGAGGATATGGAAGGTGGGAGTGAGCATGGAGATGAAGGCGAGGAGTCGGCGGATGAGGAATTTGGCTTGATTGGAGATGAATGAATTTCGGGAGGTCTCGTATGTATCAGTGGATAATTACACGCGAATCGGGAGAAAATAGCTGGGCAGGGGGCCGTGGTTAGGAGATTGCTTTTATGAGTAGCAGACGAAAATCTTTGCTTAGTTCGACAGACAGATTAATAGTGCCATTGCAGCACTCTACACAGCATGGTTCAATTTGCGATTACGCCCTAGAAGAAACGGCATACCGCGTGACTTCGATAGTTAATGTATGATAGTTAGTTAGTAGCAGATAAATACATGTAGAAAACCAGGGGTACACAAAGTTCCACACCCTGAATGAGAAATATTAGGAACGACTTTTAAAACACAAAAGAAAATACAAAAAGGAATTACTATGTGAAATCTTGTCCTCCCCACACAAATACCAGGCAATATTTCCGACTATACAATACCATGCTCAATCAGGCTATCCACCGTATCAAGGATGGTCTGCTGTGGCGTTCTAGGCGTCCATCCAAGTGTTTTCTTCGACTTTTCATTCCTGAGTGCTCTTATAACGTCGAGAACTGGCACAACCTGCCGAGCGGTAGGGCTAAAGATACCGGCAATCCGAACCACCCATGAAGGCATTTCGCCTGTTGGAACCTTTTTTGCCTTTTCGGGACGACCTTGGGAAATAGTCCGGGCAACGTCGAATAGTGCCATGGGTTTGCCGTCACTACTTGCAATGAAGCGTTCACCTTTTGCCGCAGGGTCGAGCATAGCCCGGATATGTAGATCGGCCAGATCACGGACGTCCACGATGTTGAAATATGTTCGAGGGCATTTGCCAATGCTTCCGTCCATGAGTTTCAAGATGAGTGTAATGGACGATGACATGTCGTTGCTCAGAACAGGGCCGAATATGCCAACTGGGTTGACGACGCTGAGCTCCAGATCTCCTCCTTCAGTTTCGATGAACTCCCAGGCAGCCTTTTCCGCCAGAGTCTTGCTTTTGTGATATGCTGGTAGGCCATCCAACACGGACCAGTCTTCTTCAGTGTATGGCTCCAGCCGGTCCTTGCCTCCGTATCCGATTGTGGCAAAGGAGGATGTGAATACTACTCTTTTAACATGAGCGTTTCGAGCTGCCTTTAAGACTCGTAGAGTTCCCTCTCTTGCTGGGATGATTAACTCATTTTCGTCTTTTGGTTCCCCTCCGGGAAATGGTGATGCGACGTGGTGGACGTAAGTGCAGCCTTGGATAGCTTCATCCCAGCCTTTATCCTGAGTCAAATCGGCAGCATGAAATGACAGGCGATCCATATTTCCTGCGCCGGCTTTTTGTAATACTGATCTGACATTCCGCTCCTTGGAAAGGCTTCGAAGTGTGGTTCGGACGGTGTAGCCATCTTGTAGCAGCTTCAAGATTAGGTGAGAGGCTACATAGCCTGAGCCGCCGGTAACAAGAACAGTGGCCATTGTAACGAAGAGAATGTAATTTTTTTTGGTTAAATATGTGTTGAATTCTCTACATTGAAGAACAGACTTACATTTCTATCGTACAAATGAGCTTCTTATATATGCTGGTTGACTCACTCCTTGTGACTCCCATTTCTACGGAATTCGCGATTGTCCGCTGGAATGCAAAACTTGTCTGAACCCCGACTTCAATTGAAGATGTATCGCGTTGAGCGTAACTGAAAAGGGCTAGTTGCAAGGTCAGCAGAAATTTCCCTTTAAGCATCAATCACATCTGCGATTCTATTCTTCAGGACTCTATAGGCTTTACGTCTGTAGCCGATTCGAGTCTCAATCTTGTCAGCGTTGCTAATGAGGTTAGTTTTCCGAGTCAGCTACCCACCAATCGTAGGCCCTAAGGATGGATTCGTATGCTCAACTTTGCATACAGCTCAAAATGGCTAGCTTTCCGACCAAACCACTGTGATGAGGTGTCGTGAGGTTGCGTCTCGATAGGACTTACAGAATGCAAGCGAGACGAGGACATGATGACCATCTAAGTTTTGGTGCATTTCTTTTTTCACTAACATTGGCAAGGTCACTCGGAAGGAAATGCAATTGGTGGGTATAACTCCTCTCTTGTTCGCTCTTAGTATAGATAGACTACCATCCTTCTATTTTTTACATTCTCAATTACATTTCCACGCATATCCTTCATACATCATGACTTTCTTTCTTTCAAAATTATTTGCGCTCATGATTCGACATCCGCCAAATATGACATTTTAGTAAGAGCAGATGTTTTGGTTGGCGGGTGAATCGGCCTTGCCCCAGACCCAGTTGGGGTTCAGGACCGACACAGGACGCAGGTTGTTCGCCGCCCAGAATTGGTAGTCCGAGTTGCGGTAGTCGTCAGCTGAGAGAGGAGGGCAAGTGTTCTTGAAGGCTGCGGTGTACCAGTCTTGGTGAACTGAGTGGTGGAATTTGCCAAAGTAGAACTTGCCGTGGTCGAGGTTCTTCTGAGAAAACGCCTGCCAGTCGTCTAAGCTACAAGCATAGAGTTAGCAGTTGGCTCGTCATTTCACGGTTTTGGATCGGTAACTTACCCCTGGAAGGTATCGTTGACATCAGACCAGCTGATGTGGACGTGGTTACCATCTACAACAAGGTCAGCATTGGTACAAAGGCGAATGGGTATCGATGTGCGTATCAATGGGACGGACCTTGCTCCATGATGACTGATTCGCGAACATAGGTGCTGCCTCCATCCGGGCTGGTGAATCTCACGACGATGCCCTCCCAGTCGCTCTTGTGGCCGGTGTCCTTCTTGAAGTACACATAGTAAATGATGCGGTATGAGGGATCAGAGCCAGAGGAGTCTCCATTACAGAAAGTCGATGCCCAATACGTAGGGATTGTGGCGAATGGTTCTCCGGCCACATTACCATAAAACGTGTTCGCCCCTTGCCAGGGAGGCTGTTGAGGGCATCCGTTTGCCAGCGCGTTGATGTTGCAGTTGTCCGAATCCACGCCGTTGGTCTGGTTGCCTTGGCCATCTTCAGCAGCCGAGGGCATGCAAGTACCTGAAGCCATGTACCACATGGGCGCGGCGGCCATGGCAGCAGCTAGGCCTCCATTATTGGTAAAGTCGCTGACAGCAATGGGGGTGTTTGCCAGAGCAGTTTTGGCGGCGAGCAGCAGAAGAGGAACGGCCTTGGCGAAACCCATGATGACGGCAGATGATGTTGGTAAGTTTGAGATGAAGGATGAATTGAGATGCCAAGAAATGGATCAAACTTAGCAATACCGATCGATGCTTTTATATCTCCTCTCAACGCGACACAAGATACGAAGAAACGCTGCACTATCGCTTCTCACCGACGGAAAATCCACCCGTACGATGAGCTCGAATAGGAAGGACAGCTGCCCGGCCTGTCGATCCGTATAAACGAAGCCACCTTTTTCACCTTCTCTTTTCGCTTTGCCCAAGAGCTTTTAGGGCAAAGATGCTTCATACCATGCTTGAATGGCTTGTCCTTGCACGCCGCTGAATTTTTCCACGGATGCTTCCGAATCAAAGTCCGAAAGCATCATGTTAGACACTTTCCAGAAACGGAAAACCTTGTCGTTATGGGCATCGTCCGATGTCGCCGGAAAAATAATTTGTATGAAGAAAGAAATCGCAAAGAACAAGAGGCACGTTGTTTTCGGACTTGATGCTATTGGGGAATTGGATTCATCTAATAGTACGAATCACTTTGCATTAGCTAGTCAAAGTCACGCATCAAATAGTTCTGATTCCACATGTTGAGTCTCCATGATTCCAATGGACTTTTGACGACTCTTTGATACCTTGCGATGGGGCTCAATTGATCCTCGCTTCGCGCGCTAGGGCTTACTGTTGGTGATTTGTCTAGTGGGCCGTTGCAGATGAATTCAATGCGTTGATCTCTGGCACGTGTGATTGACAATGTCGTGAATGGTAAGCCGTCCATCGTGTTTTAGCGTAAACAAGCATGCCGAATTGCCGTCGATTAGATGAAGATTTGGACGGAGAAGGAAGCCAGTTTTGTAGTAGCAACTGCAGCTTGATTCGCGCCTCCATCCATCCGTCACCGAGACGACGGAGATCATGAACAGGTTGACAGGTTTATGCGGAAAGCTGGAGAGAAGCTATGGATGCTTAAAAGCATACAAAAGCCGATGCTCGACTGCTAGCGCGGCAGCTAACATGAAGCCAAGATTGAACCCTTGTGAAGGTGAGACCATACGTCACTTGTCAGTCTGATTCTCCGTGTAAAACACATGTCCAAGCAATTTGAGGGCTACTACATGTAGGGAATAGGATGGAATTCTCCAATTGCAACGGAATTGTGATACTTGAATGGAAAATAGCACGCGTCTCGAAGATTACGAGTCATGACTGGCATAACATTTTGTGTAGTCGCGCTGGGTTTTGTGAAGCTTCTACTCCGTACATGTTCCTGCATTAGCAAACGTTGCATTCGCGGATATAAACCATCAAAGGAAACGAGAAACCCGCCGATTCTGAGTGGTGGATTAATATGGAGTGAAATGAAGACATGATAACGCGCAACTGTCACGCTGTTATCTACGAGCCTCCCGATTCAACTTTCAGGGGACCTTGTTGGCTTTTGGCTCATGTAATCAGTCACGTGAAAATGTATCCGACGGTAATTTTGTGAATTCGATTATCTAATCCCGCTTGAGACTCCGTTGTCGCGCCAATTTTCGGTGATGCCTCACATTGAAATCTGGTATGCCAGAATCATCACGCATCTGCCGTCAGACTTGAAGCTTCGACTGCCATATCCCGGGCTTGGATATGAGCTTCTTCGAGGCTCCATCTCGGCTAGGCGCTGAATGGTTCTCCGTCGGTCTGGCCTCGTCGTTTCCCGACTCGGGGCTCGATGACAACAACTTGGCAAAATACAGAGCGTGTAGTGAAGAGCTTAGACCGGGATGCAAAGTCTTTCAGGTGCCCAGAGAAGACAGCTCTCAAAGAGCAGAGGTCTTTATTGGACAGGATGGAGATTTGGAGGGTTCTGATGTGAAGGGTTTAAAAGACCAAGTTCTTGTATTCAAGTACAGAGGGAAATTCCACGCCGTTGATCATGTAAGTCCCAGCACAAGTGTAAATGGTCATTCGTGTGGAAACGCCCATAATGACTTTTGTATAAAGAAATGCCCTCATTCGTCTTATCCCCTCTCGCAAGCCACCCCTTTTGACATTGAGGATTTCGGCGTCGTCTTGAGTGCAGGATTGACGTGTCCAAAACATGACTGGTCATTTGATCTGTTTACTGGCTCAGGAGACCGTGGAAACTATCAGCTTGGGCTTTGGGAAACCCAGTTGCGCGAAGTAAAGGACTCGGATACATCAGCAGACACGGTTTCGGGTTCCGCAGAACAGGAGGTATGGGTTCGGAGAAAACAGCGACAGCGCATCGGGTAGACTGGGTATGGCGTTGGACATGTGCATATAGACCAGGGTAATAAATTAGAAGCATGCTTTTATCATGACATTCAACCACGCTCATGCAATTAGACAAAAGTCGTGCTTGTACTACCAAGCTTTTCCTTATATAAGTACGACGAAATGCCAAGAGCTAGAAAGATAGAGAGCGCAGCAGCTACGAATCTTTCCATGAAAGAGAAAGACTTACTAAAGGATCGAAAGTTTTCCGTTTATCTCACCTAGATGTTTTCCGCAACATGCATATAGTATATGTAATTTCTTATCATCCCAACCTTTGGTGCCATTCAGCATATCATTCGACAAGTGTTTGGCTACTAGTACGTATACACTGTTGGCCAATTTAGCCGGGTGATAGGATTAGCGCTGAATTGTTATTGGCGTTTACGATGAAGAGCAGATCCATGGATCTTGGCACATATGGAGAGCGAATACGCACTTGGATGCCCATCAGCGTCAATGATCCTCCCACTTCTTCACCTACTTCCGCGTTTCATAGAAACAATATTAACAAACAGTACGTACGCTCTAAAAGAAATGTAATGATTGAAAAATGTGCAGGTGGCATCATTGGAGAAATGTAAATTGGTGCAGCTCCATGATGATGTTATGAGTCTCTACTTTTGTACAACTTGCCGGACATGACCAGTTAGATAGCCAAATAATCCCTGGACGATACCCCCTCCTGTATTATACTCCTCTTTCACTAAATACCGCTGTTCAATCCTACAAAGGACTTTGTCGGAGATAGAACTATGGTGCATCATCTAGCTCCGTACCGTTCGAGGCTACCTAACGCCCTATCTCCGCTAGAATCCGAGATGTATATATAGGTACCTGCACGTTGAGACCATTTGACGGATGAAATTTACTTATTGAGCAAGGAGTTTTACAGCATATTTCTTTGTTGAATATATTCCACCGTCACAGAATGGCGAGTGTTTTAGTAACCGGAGGTGGGCGTGGGCTTGGGCTCGGGCTTGTTCGTTTGCTGGCAACACTACCAGTATCGACTATCTCCAAGGTATTCGTTACTACAAGAGGAAGCCCGTCGCAAGATTTACGAAAAGTCATCGAGACCGCTGGCGGACGAGTCATTAATGTCGAATGCGAAGTTGTCGACGCGGCAAGCGTTAAGCGTGCCGCGGTTGAGGTGGAGGGGAAGCTTGGAGGCGAAGGGTTAGATATCTTGATCAATAACGTTGCTGTGAGTATGAATGCTTTTGAATTGCACTTACTCTAGTCTGTACTAACAGATGGATATCTCAGATGAGCGGAAATTATCCACAAGGCATTCGCAACATGGCAGCCGAAGAAATGCTACAGGAATTCAACGTCAACGTCGCTTCAACACACAGGGTTACTGCTACATTCATTCCTTTGTTACAACAAGGAAAGCAAAAGAAGATTGTCATGATGTGAGAAGACTTGTATAGAGTGCACACTCTCATTTCTTGGCTGACATTTTCCAAGATCATCATCTGCAGGCTCAATTGCATGGGCAAACCGGTACTCCTTTTCGCCTTCATATGCATACAAAATCACAAAGTCTGCAATGAACATGATGACGGTCCAATACGCCATTGAATATGAGAAGGATGGATTTACATTTTTGACAATATCCCCCGGCGTAAGTGGCTCCTAAGCACTCTCACCCTACTTCATTTTCTAACCTTCAGATGCAGTGGCTGAAAACTACCATGGGTGGCGACATGGCCGACCTTGACGTTGAGACGGGAGCCAAGGCAACATGGGACATTGTGAATAAAGCTGATGCAAGTTACAATGGAAAATTTTACAACATACATGTTCCAGGCTGGGAGCACAACGAAGGCGTAAACCAATACGACGGACTGGAAATCCCGTGGTAGAGGAATACTGGAGAACTACAAGGACGTCGATTGGGGGATTACGCTGCATATCTATCAAAAGTCATGTTGAAAATTTATTCCGTTCATGATGGGGAGGACCCTGTTAGCATGATATGTACAGGAATTCCGCGTTCTGCAAATAAAAGATCGCTCTTAGTCAAATTTGTCCAATATCGTATGTGCATTACTATCGATTATGTGTATCTAATCTAACAGGATGCTTTTGATAGACCTCCCCAATGTGTATATATCGTCATCTCCTATTAGAAAAAGAGGGACATGCCTCCATCAACCACAATATTGGCTCCGTTGATGTAGCTAGCGAGCCCGCTGGCGAGAAAAATAACTGTATTGGCAACCTCTTCTGGGACACCCGTTCGCGCAAGCGGAACAGCATCAAGAAGAGACTTGTAAAACGGATAATTGTCTCTCTTCACAATTTGATACTGACTCAGCCGAACCGTACCATCTGGCAGCGTAATGTTGGGGTTCTCAATGGATCCCGGGGCAATGGAGTTAATTCGAATGCCCAGAGCACCAAGCTTGCGGGCATAGTCTTTAGCCAGTACGGCTTGGGCTCTCTTAAAGGTCGAATAAGGAGAGCCTGCAATGGGGTGCCGTGCTTCAAAACCCGCCATCGAGCTGATGACGACAAGAGATGCATTCTCTGAAGCCTTTACCCTCTCTTCGAGAAATGGTGTCGATGCGTCGATCAAGGTGACCAAGCCCAAGATGTCTGCACGGAAGCTATTCTCCCAAGCTTCAGGAGTTGCTTCCCCAATCAGAGGAGATGCTGTTTTGAAGAGAAAATGCCAATCAGTAATGAAATTGGGTACAACTTGGGGACCGAAGGTTGTATTCATTATGACTTACCATTGGCAATAACTGAATCAATGCGGCCAAACTCTTTAGCTGCTCGCTCTACCCAAGATTTGATCTCTTCGGGGTTTCCAATATCAACGGCCGAGCCGACAGCACGCGCACCATTGGTGGCGCCCTTGAAGAGTGAGAATTCATCTCCCCGAATCGTGCGAGCACAAAATGAGACATTGGCGCCTTCGGTCAAAAAGGCTTCAGCAATCGATCTACCGATTCCTTTTGATCCACCTAGAATAGGGTGTCAATATAGCAAGAGATTTGAGTCGATGGCGTTTATTACCTGTAATAAGGACGTGCTTGTTGGCAAAGTTGCTAGAGAAGGAAGGCATCTTGGCTAATTGATGCTATCACGTTGGTGGTAAAGTTTTTGATGTAGAACTCGGTGTCTGTTTAGTATCTTGTTGATTCGAATCCGAAAGCCACCTTTCACTGAGATATTTACATGCTTTATACGGTTACACGTCTTGTATTCAGTACTCTATATCACTCATGAATAACTCTCGCTATTATCCATGGCATTTCTAATGTTCTGACTTATCACCGGCTCTCTTAATAATAACAGCATTCTCGATTCAGGTTTTGACCGATTTTTTTGTCTGTTCAAAGCGAGAATAGGGTAACAGCGAGATGTGGGGGTGATGGTGTTTAGGGATTAATCACATAATAAGCTCCGAGAGACGTCTTTTTCCGCGTTGAGTTGATCCTCATGTACGAAATCCACCAGCGGAGAGATCCGAACTCCGCTAAACTGGGTCACTAGGATCTGAAAATGCATCTTTAGTTTCCAATCGAATAAGCTTCTCTCTCATGCTCTTCTCGTCAACTGTCTAACCCTTTTCGTTGGACAAGAGAAGGATCGCGGAGTTCCGGGTGTAGGGCTTCACAGACTGAAAACCAGCTAAACCTAGAAGGGAGACCGCGCGGACATACGTTTTGGTGCAGCTGACGTTTCCCTTTCTGATGATCTTCTTTGCTTCTTCTTAAGCGAGTGTCTCTTTAAAGTGAGGGAGTCGCTGACAGCTATTGACTACTGTGAAAACATACTATCGAATACTGTCATACTAAACATGCTCTTGTTTGTTCAATCTCTTCAATGAGCCGCTCATCTACCGAAACATGCTGGACTTGTCGGGTTCGCAAGAAGAAATGCGACAGAAAACGGCCCACCTGCAGCGCCTGTCATTCACTTGACATTACGTGCTACAATGGCAACAACCGTCCAAGCTGGGTTGATAATGATCTCGAACGAGATCAATTCGCGGATCGAATCAAAGCGCAGATCAAAGAAAAAGCAGAATGCCGTCGCGAAAAGAGTTATATAAAAGTCCTGCCGCTCGGAAGGGTGAGGAAGCCAAAGATGGACTCAACTGCAGCTGGTCGCGTGGTCAAAAAGAGTCAGCCCAAGCACAATATTCAAGCCCAGGAGGGAGCTCTCACGGAACTATCTTGCTATGGATGTTCCAAGATTGGCTTGTCACCAGCTGGAAGCGGCCAGTCTGAAAGTCTTTCCGACAACCCTGCTCTACTCGGAATCAGCAACGATATTGACACTGATCTCGAGATTACGTTTTTGGACTACGTTTTCCCTTTCCTGTTCCCATTCTACCGCCCCTCCATTTTTAAAGGAGGACGCGGCTGGCTGCTGGCAACACTCAGAAAGAGCATGCCACTCTTCCATACGGCTATGGGCTTCAGCACATACTTTTTTATCTTGATCATGACGGACATCGCAAATGGAGAGCACGAAGTATGTAAAGGACTCGTTGAAGGGAAACTCATAGCTCATGTCGATACCGCAATCAAGGCTATGAAACAAGGAATAGAAGATCTGGCAGCGTGTGGAGAACTTGCTTCGGCCGAAGAAAAGGCGCACCTCATGGAAGGTGTTGTACAGCTTCTGGTGTTTGAGACAAACATTTCAGCAACCAATGAATGGGGTATCCATCTTAACGCCGCAGTGTCTCTTTTTAAAGAGATATTTGAGCAATACGGCCCTCAAGATGGCGGAATGGATCTCGACTCGGTATTGGACGGAATGCGGAAAACTGGATGGTCAGCGGTGAGTTCGTCACACAGAATTTTCAATCCAGCTCAGGGTGCTTTCATGTTTTACGCCGCTGTCATCATATTTGCAGACATCATCTCTGCAACGATTCTTGGAGATGCTCCAATGTTGCGGGACTATCATTCACTCCTGATTAATGACGGATGCGAGCCAGCGGACTCGCGTCGCCTATTGTTAGACTTGGAAGATTCCGTAGGCTGCAAAAGCTGGATTCTCCTCTTGATTGCCGATATTGCTTCCTTAGTAGAAGGCAAAAAGCAGGGACGAGTATTTCGCGACGATTTGCTCGTTGAAGGCAACAGGATAGCTGAAAAACTCCAGCATGGGATAACCAACCTCAAGAATAACCCGGGAAAGCCTGTGGCTAAAATGGGTTCCTTTCAGGCTTATTCTAACCCTGAAGCTATATCGCAAACGATTGATCCCACCTCGTATAGTTTGATATGGGCACATGCAACGGTTCTTTACCTGTTTGTTACTACTTCCGGGTGGCAAGAACAGCACCAGATTATACAAGAAAATGTCGCATCCGCTATCCAACTCCTCGATAAGACTTATTCCCCGGGAATTTTACGCAGCCTCGCTTGGCCGTTTTGTGTCGTTGGATGCCTTGCCTCCACTGACCAAGAAGAAACTTTCCGAAGAATTGCTTCCAGAATGGGGAATTTGTCGGCATTTGGCACGCTCTTTGAAGCGCTGAGGATTATGGAGCAAGTTTGGCTCACTCGTGGGGGGAGAGATGTGGAAAACTGGGATTTCACTTATTGCTTCCGTATACTAAGCTCAATACCTCTACTTATCTAATGCTAATATGACTGGCCATTGCCGCTGTTTCGTCTGTCTTAATGTCCCTTCCAGGCACCAACGATTTCGGCCAACTTGGTGGTCTTGATCTCGGGAAATTTGGCGTTCAGGCTCTTGTCTGCTGGAGCGATGAGGCTGCCATCGAGGATCCACGTGGAGAAAAGCGAGAACAAGGCTTGAAGTGCTGGCTTCGGAAAGTATGCATACAAGTCAGGGTGAGAAGGCAACTCCGTAATCTCTCCCTTTGCCAGTTTTTCGGGAGAATCAAACGTTACTTTGAACTTGGTGCCTGGAAACTAGTTAGCACTCTCTCGACTTGGGTGAGATATGAAATGGAATAGCATACCCTGGGCTTCTTCAGCAAGTGCAAGAAGCTTGTTGAATGTTGAATTTTCACCGTAGCAGTAGGTAATCTCCTCCCACTTGGGCAAACCAAGAAATGCGACAACAAACTTTGCCACGTCAAAAGTGTAGGTAAAAGAAAGGACCTCATCTCCTGTGCCAGGGATGGCAGCGGTCTTGTTCGGCTGGTCCAACACGAAGAACAAAGGCTTCAGGTACGTCTTGACATGAGGCATACCGTAGTAGTCCATGAAGTAGCCGTTAGCAACTCGAGTCCATTCCAAGTCGGTCTTGCGAAGCTCTATGACGGTATTTTCCCGAATCTGATATATAGGAGAGCTAGGTTGCAGGAAGAAGGTCAGTATGTATATACATATAAATTCAGAAAGAGATGGAAGAACAAGGCTACACTCACACTTTAGTATGAGGAGTACCCCATTCGCTGGTAATGAATCTTTTGATGACGCCAGATTTACTGGCTGCCTTGACCAGGTTGACTTGGCAAACCCCTGCGATTTCATCAACCACGCTGATAGTGGAGATGACGACGTCTACTTTGTGACTGGCCAGCTTTTGTGCAGTTTCATCGACATTGTTGTAGTCGACTGCAATAACGGGTGCTTCTTCATCGTTCACCTCTGGAACCTTTATTCTGGCCTTAGTTTTGATAACGACATCAGCAGTCTTGTGTGTTTCTCACTTACCTTGCGAGCCAAGACGATGACATCGTACAGAGGGGACTTTTTCAACTCTTCAACGATGGTGCGACCAACGCTACCTGTGCCGCCAGCGACTGCAATAACCTTTGACATGATTGCAGTTTTAGTGTTGTTGAGAATGTTGTTGTGAGAATGCTGGATCTGTGTTTATAACAATGTTTGACTTGAGGATGTTTTAGTTCCAAGTTTACAGGAATCTCTTGACTTATATAGCATGGAAGACACAACAATTCTCAACCCTTCCATCTGGCATCATCTCACCCCGTATCATGTCGATTTCTAAGCTCTCCTATTATCCCTCCATAAATTCTTTTATTCGTCGCCTTCAAACGTCGCCTCATCAATGTCCCTTGCGACAGCTTCACCGCGCGGTGGCCAAAACGGGTAAAGAGGTCTTGGGATTCTGGATCCCCGTCGTCACTCATTCCGCTGCCTTTCCCAAAAGAAACAAGGCGAATTTCTGGTGTTACAGCTGGTTCCTCTTTTGTCAATGTACTCGTACCATTTAGTTTGCTGGATACGTAAGCCGGGTTGTGATTCCTTTCGATTGCGTTCATCCCAGTTCATCCCACATTCCTCCCGAGATGAAAGTCTCCGGCTTATTCAGCAGTGAACGCACTTTTAATTTCTTCGCAATATCATTGCCATGCCCTAGTTTAAATAACATGTTTTCCAATCTTGTAGAAGTACTTTCTTTTCTGTTGGGTTTTGCAAATACAGGCATGAACAAGTCGGGAATCTCCAAACGGGTGTTGGTAAACTGCGCGCCGAGTTGCGGTATCGCATTTACACTAGCAACACCCAACTTTTAGAGACTCTGTAACCAATTTCTATGGACAATCCTCGCCTGAATTGTGTTATCTACTTTAAAGACAATGTTAGACTATTATTGTGCCATGACTAAAGCTATACCCACCTTCTGTGTCACATATATGACTCTCCGCTCGTCTCCTCGTTCTCTCCCTCCCCTTCATCCCATCCGAGTTCTGTATCACTACTCAATTTGTCGGAATCTGTCAGTAGTCAGTCGTAATGACGAACTTTACCATCAAAATCATCTCCGACAATGTCTGTCCCTTTTGCTTCTTGGGCAAAGCACGCCTAGATCGAGCCATCTCTGCGTACCGCAATGCCACTCCAAAAGGCGAAACCGACACTTTTACCATCTCCTGGCATGCCTTCTACCTCGAGCCTCACGCATCCTTTGAATCGGTACCGGTGCGAGAACACGTCGCACAGAAGTTTGGAAGCTTCAGTCGGGTCGACGCAATCCACGAACGGCTGGCGCAGACGGGCGCCGAGAACGGCTTGAACTTTACGTTTCAAGGTCGGATCGGCAATACTAGAGATTCTCACCGGCTTGTTCAACTGGGCAGGACAAAGGGCAATGAAATGGAGAATAAGGTGGTGAATGAGATCATGAAAGTATTCTTTGAAGAAGGCGGCGATATCACTAGCATGGACGACCTCATCAAGGCCGCCGAGAGAGGAGGGCTAGATCCCACGGAGGCAAAGGAATGGCTCCTTGGCGACAATGGGAGGAGAGAAGTGGAGGAAGAGGTCAACGAAGCAACGAGAATGGGTGTCACAGCTGTACCGACATTCATAATTAATGATAAATACCGGGTAGAGGGAGCACAAGGCGTGGACGAATTCGTCAAGCAATTTGCTCGCGCCAAAGCTGCAGAATGTTAGCCCGGTGAAGCGGAATCGACTTACAGAGGGAAACGGGACAGTCTGCAACGTTTTCTCATGGGGTGGCAAAACCACCTACGGCCGTACTTTAACGTGCTTTATATAGTTTACTCCAATTATTGCCCTTTATAGATGTTCCCCGTTCAAGGCTCTTCTCAATATCTCCAGTAAACGGAGCTCAAACTCGGGCTGAACCCGCGGGAAATCTAACCGCCACTGTGGGCTCAGATTTTATCTCCGCATGTGGTGGCCCCGGATTTTTGCGTAGTAATCGCCGAGTTTTCGGTCGAGGAATCCGCTATCCGCTCGAGTCCGCTCGAGTCCGCTCCCGTCCGCTCTCGGGTCGGTCCATCGAGACAAATAAATCAAGGCAAACATCCACGGATTGCTTCAAGAAGAGAAGATTCCCTCGAAATGTGGAGGAACTAAGATGTAACAGCGATGTGAATTGAGTCATACCAAAGCCAGACTATCGAGATGGTCGGGTGATGAGGAGATGAGGAGAAAGAGGCTGTATGAGGTATGAGGTGGCTTGAAACTTCAGGTATAAAAGAAAGGCAATGTCCTTGCGATATGGTATGTGAATCTTCTGCGATCGACCAAACGACAAGAGAAGGAGCAGCTGTTCACATCATCAACTTACCAAGAATCCTCATCTTTATAGCGACAATGGCACCTCAAACTTGGCTCATCACTGGTGCTTCGTCCGGCCTTGGCCTGCACCTCGCCATCATCGCCGCAAAGCAGGGCAACAAGGTTATTGCCACAACGCGCTCTCTGACTAGAGCTCAAAACATCTCAGACAGGAACATCCAAGTCGCTCGTCTCGACCAGAATGAGCCACTAGACCAGATCAAAGCCGATGTTGATGCCATTGTCAAAGTTCATGGCCCCATCGACATTGTCGTCAACTGCGCAGCTTACGTTCACACCGGCATCCTCGAGGATCTCACACCAGAGGACACATACGCGCAGTTTCATACCAACGTCTTTGGTGCTCTCAACGTCTACCGCGCCATTCTTCCTCACCTAAGAAGCAAGAGATCTGGCACCTTGGTGACCATCGGATCAATGGCGGCATGGTTCGCTCACCCCGCGGCTAGCATATACAACGCATCCAAGGCTGCTCTGCGGTGGCTCAGTTTCGGTCTCGCCAGCGAAGTTAAGCCTCTGGGCATCAAGCATCTGCTCGTAGAGCCCGGCCGCTTCCGAACGGAACTGCTGAAACAGGACGGCAACTTCAGAACGTCAAACGGAAGCGACGGCATCGCCGATTATAGAGAGATCAGCGAAGCAGTCAAGCAGGGCATCGCTCGCGAGGCCAACAAGCAGCCTGGTGACCCCGTAAAGGGAGCTCAAGTCATTTACGACGTCGTCACCTCTAGCGGCGTAGCCCAGGGCAAGGAACTGCCAGAATTCCTGCCTTTGGGACAGGATGCCATTGAGGAAATCACCAAGTCAGCACAGTCGGCAATTGATGTCTGCCAGGAATGGAAGGTGATTGCCAGTTCAACAGACTATTAAGAAGCACGATGAGATGTGATTTCCAGAAAGCCGTTAGCATGTACATAGTTTAGGATAGAAATAGTATCTCTTAACTTCATACCACTTAGTGGGTTCAACTAGTTGGCAGAATATGACTCGAAATATTTATATCCATGTAAAATATCGTGGAGTGATAATATGGCCATAGTAGAGGCAACAGACAATGAGATTGCACTCTCGTCAGAGATCCCTGGTAGCCAGACACCCAGGTAGTAGTCGCTAGGACTCGGGATAGTCAACTCACGAATTCGACCAGCCACTCCCTTTGCACAATAAATTCCATGATATCTCATCCTACTACTAATAATAAAGTCACATCTCCCTTAAATAGAATCATTATCCTTTTGTGCAAGTTCCAACACTCTTTTCGCCACCTGAACCCGTAACTTTGCTTCCCGTTCTCGTAACTGCTTTGTGAAACCATCGCCCAACTCATCCACACATCCAATCCGTCGAACGACAATCTCCCCTGATTGCATCGGAATCTTCTTAGCCCAGCCGAGGGCCTCTTCCGCATCCTTGGTATGGACCATCCACCAGCCACAAACATGAGTTTCTGCAGCGACGTTGAACGGTCCTGGAACGACTTCCGGCGGATTATCAGTGGAGTACGTCAATCGATAGCTATCAACCGAAGTTGGTCGGAGGCCTTGAGCGTCAAGTAAGATTCCCGCATCGTTCAGTTCTTCATTATACTTGTTCATTGACTCGAAGACCTCTGGAGGAATTTCTGCCGGTGGGGCTTCAGCCATGACATTGGCCTTCATAAGGAAAATGAATGAAGGCATTGTGAAGTATGAAGACTAAGTCTGTATTGAAAATGAGGATCTTGATTGCAAAGCTGCTCGTGTCGTCACAATTGAAAACAACCTGGTATATCCAGACTCTATATGCATTATATCATGCTTTATCATGGGGGCAAAGTTTCACATCCGCTAAAATACCATGCAGGCAGCAACCCCTCAATGCCCAGGCAAGTTGCGCGAGAGGCGTTTATTTAGAGCGCGAATGACGACAGGTCGATGTGCGTAGTTGGTCCCAGTTTACTTGTACAAGAATTCACGTTTCTAAACGTACCGTTAGCTTGAACGTTAAAAAGTCACTTGGTTAAGTTGTCAATATTGTAGAGGCTGCTCTTCAAAGTCATCACAGTGCGGTAGACATATGTCGTGTTCCATCAAATTGTGAAGAGAAGTTCTCGACGAAGTAAACATTTTTTTTGTCTCTATTAAAACAGCTCTTGTCATATGTAGGCAAAGGCTCACCCTACTGCTTCTAGACAACCACAAATACCAGCCTATACCAAACCAACATTTTCTCTACCAACGTGCTTTTATCATGGCCAAGTCCTTCCCTTTAGCAGCTACATGCAGTATCAAGACGATACTCAAAGGCGAAGTCGAAGTCGGACGAATCATCAACGATGGTAATCTTCCTAGCTCCTGTTGACATGTTAGGGTCTCTATACTCCACGTCACAAGCATATATGTTCTCACCTCTCGGAATCTTGAATGATCCCCAGAACCCATCATTCGCGATGCTCCGTAGAGCGCCGGCAGCTCCAGATCCGACATCGACCATACGAATATTAGATCTCTTGTACTTTTCATCTCCTAAAGTGAGCCTGCCATGTGTAGAGCCAAGTTTTACGCCGTCGGCGAAAACAGTATATTGCTCGGAAGTCGTCTCAGTATCGGCAATGGTAAGAACCAAGTCATCATCGTATTGCCCAATGTAAATTTCTCCATCTTGTCCCAGTCGTTTATGCGAAACACCTCTAGTCCAAGGAACGACTTGTCTTCCCAAACATGGGGTATCGGCAGAGCACGATCCGTAGAAGAGAATCAGGGCACCAGTTTCAGACTTATACCAAACGTCATCAGCGGCAGTTCCTAACAGCACTCGTCAGTAACACAGTAATCGGGCTTAATGTTGCCAAACTGAGAATGACAGCTCACCGGCAGGGATGAAAAAGTCAAGGCCTGAGTCATGCGGTTGGATCTGATTGCCGTTGATGTAAAGTGTGAATTGCCCACCGGCAAGCTTCGTCATCCACATATCGAATGGATATATGTAATTGGAGATTGGCTGGTTTGGGTTAGGGAGAATCATCTTTTCATAACCCGATGGCGCCAGCTTTTTGGGGGCGTTGTTATGCTCCAAAGCAAGCCATTTGCAGGGCGAATTATCCTGAGCACAATTCCACCATTCCCTGGAAGGATTGGAAGGTGATTGGCGCCCGTCGAGTGGCTGCTGCTTGTCCTGATAAATCTTTTCAAAAAGATTGATTCCAGTTTCGAGAGAGTTTATCTGATACCTAATGAATGAATCCAGGTGTATCTCGTCATGGGGGAAACATTCCAAAAAGGCTTGACGGAGAAGAGTCTCCAGTTCGGCAGACCTCAGGGTTTTTGCACAAGTTGGAGATTTGCAAAATCCAGTAGGAAGAGGACCTGTGGGTATTGTAAGTCGCAGATAACAGTCATTCAATAATCATTTACTCACACTCGGAGGCAGGTGGTGCGCATCGGCCGTCTTTCAACTCATGGCCCTTTAAGCAACAAACCCATTCGCCGGTATCTTTGTCTTGGTGAATAGTGCCTGCATCCTCACCTGGACTGCAGACGTCTGAGATTTGGACGCATTTCCAGACTCCTTTCACCAACTGGGCAAATTGGCCTTTTACAATGTTAATACAGTGATGGCCTTTTGCAATGGGTCGACGTACCTTTTTGCCTGCAATATTCGGCCTAAAGCGACAACATTGTCAACATTATGGTATTATGAATGGTACTAGGGGCTCACAATTGCTGCGGGTGGCGATGCCTTGGCCGAAATGACTGTGGGCAATAGGGCAATGGCCCCAAGAACAAGTGAAACCTTCATAACTTATACTTGGACTTGAGCAAACCGGACAATACTGTTTGTAGCAGAGGTTGTCTGGATTGAGAGAACGCCGTTGAAGATAGAGATATCTTTATATATTCCAGTAATAGTCTCGATGCAAGGAAAATCAGAGGATTTCACAACCTTTCCATGGAGAGGCTTATGCCAGGCATATCCCAGGTTGCGCAACATCCGTGTCACCTGCTAAGCCTCATCGCAACCTCTGGCTTTGTTATGAAACATTTACAGCCCAACCCCCCATAATAACCATGAGTACCAAAGGTCTATCGTCGAATAGTAGAGATCTTTGTTGCCATGTGGCCAGTTGTTAATGGCTCTTTGCTATCATAGAAGGGATGAGATGCATCAGTGTAGTCTTCTCAGCCTGAGCGACCAAGCCACCGACTTGAGTCCATGAGTAATGGCCGGGGGCCACAACATCACCGAAAGAGGCCCAAGGTGCCATAAATTGCTTGCCACGTCAAGATATTCAGCTCGCTGCAGAGCCTCAACATAGCACAACATGTCTCACTTGACCAGGTGGGTCTCCAACGGCCGGGTCATTTTGTCTCGGAAGAAGTTTCTCGGAAGCATCCTTCAGGAAACCATGGCGTTTCGGTATAGCAGTCGTGCCCTGCAGTAAGAGGATCAATGGTGTGATTCCCTTGAATATCTAACATTCGACAAAGATTGGTTCAAGAATATATATCGGAACATGCTTAGGACGTGACGTACGTCTTGCAGATGCTGTAATATTTAATATTTCCTCCACAAGGAGCATTGTGCTAAGTAATTGGTCAATATTATCTCTATAAATATGTAGCTATATTGACACGGACCAAATTGTCCGGCTTTCTTGAATCACTTACTTAGTATTTTCCTCAAGGGATGAAGCGTTCTCCGCGACTCGTCAGTCCTCGTGATAGGTGAGTAAATTATTTCGGCAGGACCAGCTAATCCCTATTAGCTATACAGGTTGACTGACTTATCAAATTTATTATATCACAAGTTGTACTCACATCCTGCATCTGTAATCATCTCCGCCAGATGCAATGACACAAGGGTCGACCGGACTCCATGCGGCAAAGTTTGTTCGCTCAGGATAGTGGCCGTGTTCGAGCCCTGCAAGAGTTCCCGAATTGAGATCCCAAATGCTTATATAACCGTCTATTTGTTCTGTGAGATTTTCTTCGCAGTAAGAAGAATCGCCGGATGGGGACTTACTTTCTTCGGCTCTCAAGAGAAATGCATCATTTTCTCCACCTACGGATCCTTGCAAAAGATAATCAGTGTTGCTTATACCAGGACGTCGCTGAATGACTTCACCGCTCGGGAGAAGCCGAATATCGAACCCGCCGTTAACGTATCCCATAAGAATGAGGCTGAGGCCGTCGCTGATAGAAATCCAAGACGGACGCTCCGACAAAGAGATTTTGGTTGCTAGTTCCGCAGCCGCAACTCGGAAGATGAGCAGCTCTTTTGTATATGTTACAGCCACAAGCCACTTTCCGTCCCTTGACATGGCACTACATTGGACGCGTAGACCTTGAATTTCGATCCACGAGCGATAATGACCATCGGATATTTCCATAGTCACAATACCAAGCGTATCACTCAAGGCAGTCAAGATGACATATCTGCCGTCAAGTGACCAATGGCATCCCATTCCGGCTTCATGATGCAGGGGTAAAATTTTGACCAGCTCTCCGCTCTAGAAAACACGTCAGCTTGAAGGGAGCCATAGAGGGATTTGGAGTAGTTAATCTTGCCTCGGAATCCCATAACCTTGGCTTACCGTCGAGGCTGAGGGTCACAATCAACGAGTCATCCGGACTCCAGGACGCTTTGGTAACGGGCTTTTCGTGGCCCAAGGTGCTTTGTAATTCGTCTTTTTGAAGGTCAAAGATCAGAGCTTTATTGGAGGAAAGGCAAAGAGCTAGTCGTGAGCCGTCTTGTGAGAAGATGCACGCCCACACTTCTCCATCGGTAGCTATTTCTTTGACGACGGTGAATGGAATCTGGCGCATCTCGGAGGTTTGGCGAGAGATCTCTGGCATCATTGATGCAGATGCTAGAACCGCGTGTAACCCTAAATGGGTGCTCCATTCGAAATTCGTTCGGCCATAGAGATCCATGTGGTCGAGATCAAAGTTACCCCGTTCAAGTATCATCTTAATGATGGTAGTGTTTTTACCCAATAGGGCACAGGTTAGAAGGTCCCATCCATGACTTTCTTGTATATCTGTCTCAATGCCATCTTGCGCAAACAAATACCTAAAAAAGTCTTCATCGCCGTGTACCGCTGCCAGGAGCAGCGGTGTCTTCCCGTCACGGTCTTTGGCGTTTAATTGAACCCGAGGTTCTGCTTGGAGTATTTTCCATACAGCGATGCGATTTTCTGTATTCGTTCGGGCTGATAGTGGCCTTTGAGAGCCAGTTTCCAGAACAGAGACCTGGCTGGTCATTTTGTCAACGACAGTTTGTACAATGCCAGACACGGGAGAGAATTGAAGACTTTTATCCGAATCAACCGCTACTGTGGACTTTTTGACTTGAATGTCTGTTGGCTGGTTGAAGTCTAGAGTTGCTCTCAGTAGAATGTCATATGGAGCATCTAGATTGCAACTGAGGAGCAAATTGATGAGGTTACAATCTGCAAAAGCAACTGCTGAGTAAATTTGAGAGCATGTCGACGAACTCTGAGCCCCCATATCGATAAACTGGCGAATAAACTGCGAAACATCCTCTGAAATCCGTTGTGAATTTAGGAATGCACGTTCAAGAGCTACCGCAATGGCATACCCGTACTCTTGAAGGTAAGTGGCAATGAACGAAGCAAGCAGGCTCTCGCCATGATCGCCCTTGGCGAAAAAGACTTCAGGCTCTTTAGCGTGTTCCCATATTGAAAAGCACGCATAGAGAAGAAGGGGGCAATTTCTCAATTCCTGATTCTCTCTTGCTGCAACGTCAAAGGCCCGCATGTAAGCGAAACTGCTTTTTAATACAAACCAATGACATTCGCTCAATATCAACTTGAAGTACGTAGGCGAGACCTGGCTTGATTGCAGATATTCTTTAACTGAGAAATGAGAGAATGAGACGATGCTGTTGCGCGGCTGGGGATCCTTGTCGGATAGCTGTGTGCTTGTGACGAGCCCGGAAAGAATGTTCAAGACTTCCAAAGCCGAGCCAAACCGATTTTGATATACGCAAGATATCTCATACTCGCTAGAAGAAGGCAAAAGGTTCGCTTCATCACTTTCTTCCACCTCAAAAACGGCAAGCTCTGCAATCTCGGCGAGATTCAGAGGTCTCGTTGAACATGCGAGCCATCTGAGAACAGCCATGGCCTCCAGTTTGTAGTTGTTCAGATCAATGCGCTGAAGAATGCGGCTATAGGTTTCGCCCAAGCCACGAGGAAGTCGCTTCAAGGCTCGGTTGACGTCAATCTCTCGCGTTTTGCCCCTCAGTCCCTGTATTTGGAGATCTGCCCAGCGGAAGACGCCGTCAGCATTCTGGACAAGGTGTTCTATTACCCTTTTCTTGAGAGCATGAGACCAAGCTTTGAACGAATCCTCTTCTCTCATCAAGGCTCGTAAATGTTTGCGTATGTCCCGGTCGACATCTGTAGCGTGGAGAGCCACCGAACTCGTCGGAATAGATGCCTGTGATATTTTTGTCTCGATATCGACCTCTAGGCGACTTGTGATAACAATGTGAAGCTTCGATTTGACGTTTCTGAACAAGCTGGCCAAGAAATTGATAGCTTCACCTCTAACAAAGTCTGAGTCGCATTCATCTAGCGCATCGATTATAAGAAACGTTTCCTCTGATAGATTTATGATCTCTATTAATAGAGAGTCTAATTCTTCCATTGGAGGGGTCTTGGATGGAAAATGAACGTCATAAAGGCTTCGAAATGCTTGAGGGATGAAGAACTTGTTCTCGTTATCGGGATGGGGAATACAAAGCCTCTTTAGAATCTGTACCAAGAGGGCACATTTCATACTGCGAAGACTTTGAGAATCCTTGTTCCGAAACGAAAAGTAATAATATGCAAGCATACTATCATGGGTGCTCTCGAGGTGCTCAATAACCTTGGAGGTCATGATTGTCTTTCCCGAACCCGCTGCGTCTGCTGTCAATCATAGCTTTGAAAGGCACATATGCCTATTCATGAAATACCAATATTTTCTTACCTTTCCCATGTAACCAAAGTAAAGACCTTTCTTTCATCCATGGGACTATGTGTCTATTCACAAACCAGCTGCCCGTACTGGCGCTAGGTTTTCTAGCGCTTTGGGATTCGGTGTAAAAGCGTTGCTGATCAATGTATGGGAGCCATCCCAGGAGGCGATCTCTCGTCTCTTTAGAAAAGTGATCTGATGTATACAAACGTTAATAATGGATGATGGGTACGGGGAGGTCCAGCTTGCCTTTTACAATATCTGAGGAGGAGGAAGTTAGCACTAGGGCTATCCAAGGGAGCGGCTGTGTAAGTTGGAGGCCTGACCTTGCTCGTTAATTGCACGCCGCAGACGTGCAAACGCATTATCCTGCCCTTCTCCATATATGAGCGGTATATAGACACCAAATATGCCCAAGAGGGAGTAGGCCTTGTCTTCGGGATAAGTTGTGGAACGTCTTTCTGACCACGCCATCCGCTTGTCGATACTAATCTCAGACAGCCGGCGTCCTCGAAGCACATCGATTGGAATTCCAGTAATCTCGTGAATTCCTCTCTCTAATGACTCTTTGCTTCCGAGATGCGCGCATTCAGAAGAATAAAATTCCACTGTCGCGGGGGCTAAGAGTTCTTGTAAAGTCCAACCCCGAGTGAACCACCGACTTTTGCGAAAGGAAGACTCCCAACTCGGTGCAGGTGAGGCATCAACCTGGTTGTTGTCTCCGTGTTTTGTTACATCAGACAGATATACGTAACATTTGGCAGCGTTTTTGTAGAGTCGGAACATGGAGTTGATCTCCCTTTGAAGCTCTGTGCTATTCGATTTGTCAATACAGCAGGTATCTATCCAGAAGTAGGATAGGCCATCTGAAGCTGCTTGTCTGGCACAAAACTGTATTTTACGGTACCCAGGCTTAGCAGAGCCTTTGCCGGCAGTAATATCGCTGAATGTGACTTCATCATCATCGCCACCCCAGGTATGGGAGAGAATCGCATATGGTGGAGGTTCGTTGATGAGATCTTTTGTGCACACCAGGCGATTGCCGTTGAAGCTAAGAAGTCGCATGATTCGAAACCATTGATGCTTAAATGCTTGGCGATAGTTGACCAGCTAGATTGAAGTGCTCAATGAGCTTGTTGTTGGCTAAATATACGCGCGAAATACAAGACATTCGTGAAATTGCCTGCTTTTGTTAGGAGCTTACCAGCCAGCTGCAATGAGGAATCAGGCAGACGTGCGTTTTATATGCGTGGTGACATGGAAACTAAAACCGATCGGAAGGATTATTAACCCCCAAGAGCCGCTTCTCCGCTCAATTTCCAATTTGATCCAAGTTACTATCTTCACAGACTTGATGCGAGAATCACTGTCAATACCTTCAAAATGGCTACAGAAGTGAAATTATCACTCCCAAATGCTCGCCCATACGGATTTACCTTTCCTCTTGCTACCACAGCATTCATCGTGATTGACATGCAACGGGATTTTCTAGATCCAGACGGCTTCGGATCCATTGTATGCGGCAACCCCGCCATCTTCTCGTCCATCCGCAAAATCGTACCAAATGTCCAGAGAGCTTTAGAAGCGGCACGTTCTATGGGCTTGCATGTCATTTATACCCGAGAAGGCCATCTTCCGAATCTCAGAGATTTGCCTGCTGCGAAAAGACTGAGACAATTGAATGCGCCAAACGGCAACCAATCGATGGGCATCGGTGACGAGGGGCCAATGGGGAAACTCTTGGTGAGAGGAGAGAGGGGTCATAATATCATCAACCAGCTAAAGCCGAATCCTGGTGAACCAATTGTTGACAAACCAGGAAAAGGAAGCTTTTGGGGTACCGGATTCCATAGGCTGCTGCTTGCTAGAGGGATTACACATTTGATACTCACTGGAGTGACGACAGAGTATGTCTGGAGGAAGCAGTGCCATTTGGCTGTGTACACGACTAACAGTGATTCTAGATGTTGTGTTATGAGCACGTTACGAGAGTGTAACGATAGAGGTTATGAATGCTGCGTCCTCTCTGACTGTACCGAAGGATTTGATCCAGCCATGGTGGCAGCATCATTAGACACCATCGTCTGTCAAAATGGCCTTTTCGGATATGTTGGCCATAGCAGTGAGCTCATTGCACAGCTATATCAAATTCGCTCTCTTCAGCCGAGTTTTGTTGCAAATCTTGATGCCATAGCGCTTCCCTCTATCAGTGAGCTCAGAGGTCTATACAGAGATGGTCTACTCAATCCAGAAGCTGTCATACGATCAGTGTTCAATCGAATAGCCAAGTATGAGAGCATTGATCCATCTTTGTGGGTATCTCGAGAATCTCTAGAGAGTACATTGGCAGCTGTCAAACGATTGTCTACGACCTATGTGGGCAAAGCACTTCCTCCTCTCTTTGGCATTCCATTCGCCGTCAAGGATAATATCGACGTGACTGGGGTGATCACCACAGTTGCGTGCGACAGCTTCGCCTATACCGCGACCTCAACTGCTCCAGCAATTCAACATTTACTTGACGCCGGGGCAATATATATAGGGAAATTGAACCTCGACCAACTTGCCACTGGTTTAACAGGATGTCGCTCCCCGTATGGCACTCCTCACAGCTACCATTCCAAGAAACACATCACTGGTGGCTCATCTTCTGCACCAGCTGTTGCCGTCGCTGCTGGACTTGTGTCCTTTGCCATTGGTACCGATACCGCCGGAAGTGTTCGGGGTCCAGCAGCATTCAACGGAATCGTCGGCTTCAAACCAACCAAGGGTACCATCTCGGCAAGAGGCGCGGTACCTGCTTGTCAAAGCCTTGATACACTCGGGATCCTAGCGCCTTCTCTGCATGATGCAAGACAGGTTTGGTATGTAATGGATCAGTATGACCATTTAGATTCGTACGCCAAACCACCATCGAGCCTACCTACTTGGATGGTGGATTATCGAGGATTCGGACTGGGAGGTTTCACCTTTGGCACACCTCCAGATTCTTTCCTAGCATTGTGCTCGAAAAGCTACCAGCAGCTATTCAAAATAGCTGTTCGCAAGTTACAATCGTGCGGAGGAACACCAGTCGATATCGACTACATGCCATTTGTCAAGGCGGGCGGTCTCATCTATGGTGCATCTCTTATCCATGAACGTCTTGCTTCAATCGGACACGATTTTATCACAGAAAATATTGACACACTTCATCCCGTCACAAAAAAGATCTTTGAAGGCGTTTTGTCATCCGACCTCAAAGCCTGGGAAGTGTTTCGGGATCAAGCCACGCAGATGCAGTGCATCGCAGCGGCACGCCGAATGTTCAACAAACTGGAAGATGGCATTGACGTTTTAGTTGTGCCTACCATGCCTTGCCATCCTACTATACAAGAGGTATTGGATGACCCAATAGCTCTGGGTTCGAAACTTGGCATATTCACGTATGCCGCAAATGTTGTTGACCTATGCGGTGTTAGCATTAACGCCGGATGGGTAGAGGATGAGGGAACACGGCTGCCATTTGGTATTACGTTTCTGGGGGACAGCGGATATGATGGAAAGGTTCTAGATATTGCAGCTGTTTTCGAAAGCCTTATGAAATAATGTCAAGGGTTGTTCACCCATTCAGGTGTTATTTTGAGGCAATCTGGATATTTATGTTGTATGTATGACTCTGAACTACATATCATTCATCAGTTAATAGCTCTAATGCCGACTCAAGAGCCGTCCCCACTAAGACAGTTATCCGGAGTCCACTGCCGATGCGGGGATGCCGGAAGATGGTTGGAGGTTTTCTAAAATAATATTCAACTGATAGTTACGCCTAGACTATTTAAGTCATACATTTACTTGAACAATAGTTTATCAATAGTAACAAAGTGTCGAGTGTCGAGCTGAATTTACCTACTCATTGCTTACCGGGTACATGTAGTCAACAGTCACAGAATCTTAAACATGAGCTCATCAATACCGACCACTCAAAGCGCAGCCGTCATAGAAAATCCTGGGCCAAATGGAATCGTTCGAATTGACAATTCGCATCCCGTTGAGGCCCCGGGCAAGCATCAAGTCCTTGTCAAGTTGGAATTCAGCGGTATCTGGTAAGGACTTGATTATGCTCTTCACATGCAACTGGTGTTGCTAACTTCTGTCAGTGGATCAGAGGTTCGGGCGATGCTTGGCTGGGGAAATTACAGGCCCGTCATAGGCCACGAAGGAGTCGGCACAGTCGTCAAAACAGGCGAGAACGTCTCAGAGTCGATACTCGGCCAAAGGGTAGGCGTGAAATGGCTTCACAGCGCATGCGGCCTTTGCTCAGGATGCAAAACCGGATCTACAAACCATTGTGCAAACCCCGTCTTCACTGGGCTTCATGTTCAAGGGACTCTGCAGCAATACGTAATCGCTGATTCGCGATACTTGACGAGGATTCCAGACGGCTTGCGTTCAGAGTTAGCTGCTCCCTTGCTGTGTGCAGGGCTGACAATGGCAGGCGGGATTGGAAAGCTCGATACGCATATACCCAGTGATGGATGGGTGGTGGTTCAAGGCTCTGGCGGCGGCCTGGGACACATAGGAATCCAAATTGCCACCAGGTTGAGAGGCTTCAAAGTTATCGCAGTCGATTCCGGGGCATCCAAACGGGATCTCAGTCTACAATGCGGTGCTCAGTTCTTCATCGACTTTGCCACGGAGAATGTCGAGGAGAGGGTGAAGGAAATAACCGGAGAGGGAGCTCACGCGTGCCTTATTGTATCGGGATCTGAGGCCGCGTTTGAGGTAGCTCCAAAGCTGGTTCGGAACGCGGGATTGTTAGCCATCATCGGCTTACCCCCAGCGACATTCAATTTCCCCATGACGGCCAGTCTATACGCAGTAAAAGGTACATTCATCCTCATTTCTGAACTGTAGCGTTGCTAATTGTGTTACTCTGATAGCGCTCACTGTCACAGGTGTTATGGTAGGGACTGAGCAGCAGATAGTGCAGCTCCTGGAACAAGCTGCTGCAGGCATCATCAACCCTGTGGTTCAAATCGAAGACTTTTCAGAAGTCCCGAGAATTTTTGAGAAGCTCAAAAACAACGAAGTGACGGGACGCATTGTGGTGAGGATTCCTGCGTAAGATGGAAGAGAGTTTCATGCTATTGGCCAACAACTGGATCACTGTGGCCACTGTGTTGACTAAAGACCTGAATCAAAAAGGCAGGATAGCAGACAATAACGATTAGATTGGCAAAGTATCTCAGAGAGTTATAGACACATGAATAGAATAAACTTTGACTTTTGACTTTCCAACACCATAACACGAGCATCTCCACCAAAATTCCACCTTGTCCGCAGATCGCCATTCCACGTCCAGGCCTCTCACGTGATGGCCTCCTTACACGTACATGTATCTGACGTCTGCGATCGCAAAAGTTTCAAAGTCTTGCACCATACAAAATCAACATCCAAAACGCACATTCATATTCAGGAGACATTCGATTGTCCAAGTTGCCGCAACTGTGGTGCAAGATGCCGTCTCCAATCCTGACCGCGACGCTTCAGGCCGCAGCCCTATCAACAGCGTCCAACCTCTGTGCTCAGTTCATTGAGACATACTGGAACAATGTGAGATTCATACATCATGTTCCCCATATGTCCATTATACTGTGTCAACGCTTTATACTTACTCTATCAACAACAGACCGCCTTTCACCTGGACCATTTCCAACTCTTCCGCTTCATAGTCCTCTCTCTCATCACCGCTCCCCCAAACTACCTTTGGCAGCAGTTTCTCGAAAAGTCCTTCCCAGCATACCCACCCATGCAGAAATCACGAGATGGAGGTAAGGATATAGAACTCAAAGCGATGGAAGAAGCCGCAGCTGGGGCTTCCATTGGCGGGGGATCTCAATCACACTCTGAAGCAGCAACTCAATCCAAGTTCAGCATCCGAAACACTCTCACCAAATGGTTCATCGATTGCATCACTGCCGGGGCGATCATGAATACTGTTGCGTTTTTGGTCATCATGGGAGTGTTAAAGGGTCAACCAATGTCTCAGATATCTTCTAATATCAAAGCCGTGGGTTCTCAGCGCTAACCCTCCACTTGAAGAGATGATGGTAACTAATCTCGTGAAACAGCAAACAATGCCTATTATTATCGCAGGATACAAGATTTGGCCCATCGCATCGATTATCAGTTTCAGCTTCGTCCCTGTTCATCGCCGCATCGTGTTTCTAAGTTTCATTGGCCTTCTGTGGGGCATTTACTTGAGTCTGGTTGCAGCAAGGGTTTAATCTCATCTCTCTATTTCACTCAACCAAAGATTTTGTGATGTTACATTACAGTGTGCACGTTCAAGATGCATTCACGGAGGACATTGGCAGCGTGGGTTTTGTATAAACAAGCACTCCATACATGGAGTATTCAAATTTATGTATATGCCTTCACAAGGCGTATAAAGCTATGTACACCGAAAAGAAGCCGCTTTTGCAAAGCAAACGGCTTGTTCACATTATCGTCCATCGTGACTCGTTTAGCACTTCTGGGGCCTCCAGTTGGGGATGATGTATCCGCCGTTGGGGTCGTTGATGTCGAAGGTGTCCTCACCCCTCCAGGCGTGGAGGAACCAGCCAACGTTGTTGGTCTTGAAGTAGGCGCAGTTGTTGTCAAAGGTCTTCCAGTAGTTGGTGTACTGAGTGCGGCCCAGGTCAGTGTGTCCGGGGTAGTGCTGAGTAGGACCCCAAGCCCACTGAGTCTCGGAGATCCAGACGGGCAGGCCAACGTTGGTCTTGACCCAGGCGATCTGAGACTGGATGTAGCTCCAGGCAGAGGACTCGGCCTGGTTGAAGTGGTAGAAGGGCATGGGGTGGATGTGAGCAACATCAGAGTTGGCCTTGACGCCGGAACCGATGGAGCCGAGTCCCTTGCCGCCGCTGCCGCTCATGGTACCGGGTCTGTCCCAATCCTCGCTGATACCGACCAAAATTCCCTTCTGGTTGAGAGTAGCGCGGAACTTGCCAAGGTCGTTGACAAAGTTGCCCTGGTCCATGCCGTCACCAACGGGCTCAGAGCCGAACTCAGCCCAGTGAACGACGTAAGGGGCAATGGCCGAGACCGAGGGGTCGTTGATGGCATTGTAGATGGCCTGCTGGGACTGCTGCCAGACGGTCTAGACATGAATGTTAGAATACTGCTGCTATTTGATAGAGAATGTGTACTTACGCCACCACCGAAGTTGGTCCAGACCTGGACAATCAGGCCCATGTTGTTGGTGTAAGCGGCCTTGATAGCGTTGATGAAGACGCTGGACTGAGTGCACGTAGGGTAGTACATGCGCACAATGGTGGCGCCGAAATCCTTCTTCATCTGGGCAAAGTCCTTGTTCATCTGGGCATAGCCGTTGGAGGCGGCTCCGCAGTTGCTGTCCTCCAGAGGGTAAGAGAAGCCCAGGAAGCCATAGTAGTCCGACTGAGGGCACCACCACTGGCTGAGGGGAGTGCTGGGAGCAACAAAGTTACCAGGCAGAGTGGCATTGCCAAGGGGGAAACAGCTGCCTCCATTGCCACCTCCTGGAGGGTTGGTGCCGCCTCCTGGAGGAGTAGTTCCTCCAGTGCTTCCACCACAGATGCCGCTGATGCAAGGGAAGGGATCAGAGCAGTCGTTGTCGGTACTGCAAGTCGCGCCCTGGCAGTGGCCCTCCCATGAGCACGTAGCGGCGGCGGCAGGAAAGGGGCTCGCAAGAACGGGAGCGGCCGCAAGAGCGGCAACCAAGAGCGAGGAGATCATGGCTGAGGATCTGTCTCTTTGAGAGGAGGTGATGATAGAGAGATGGTATCGGCCGAGAAGAAAGTAGATGCCAAGCCGGGCTATTAATACTTGTTGAGATCTCCCTGAGGCTGATTATACCAACAGGCTCAAAGCAACCTCCTGATCCGCCTTGTTCGGAAAAGCCATTGTCCAGCGGCAGGGCGGGAGGCCCTACCAGCGCTCAGGGGGACATATCCGGCCCCTCGCTGTTCATGCTCGTCACCACCAATATACGAGTAGCACAGCTTCTCCCGTGAAGAGTAAGGAGTAGCTCCTCCAAGGGACCCAAAAAGAGCAGCTGAGTTAGCCATGGTCATGCCCTCCCCACAAAAGCTACGAGCAAGCCGACTCATCCCCCTGTTCTCGAACGCCTGGCAGATGCTCTAATGGACGGACAAACATAGACCGTCAAAGACCGAACCACGAGGCTATTCGCTGTTTCGCACAGCTGGGCAGGGAAAAGGCCCGACTGAAGCTGTCCAACTGCCTCCGCCGGCAATTACGGCAGTGTAGCGGCATGACAAACATCAAATCGGCAAACGTTCCATTGAGCTTATTCGCCATGCGAATTGCCCTATCCGGTTGTAGCAAGTGAAATGAACGGGGTAGCACGTTCAAGACCCAGCTTCCCAGATGAGAATCGAGGAAGCTGTTAAGCTCAGCCTAGCAGGGGGGTCTGACGCACTAACCTTGGACAGACTCAGCCGTGAATCGCGCTTCTGCCATGCTCTTCGTATTTTTGGCTTTACTCCTCTACGAATTGGGTTGGTCATGCGTTTCTCAACTCCCACAATGGGTTGCGGACCCATTGAGTTCGGTCGTTCCGTACAAATACGAGTAGTAATACTTGTAACAATTGAGGCTGTCAAGTAGGTAACAACCACAAACAGACAGTTTCTGGTGGAGAAGAGGAGTTGACCAAGCAGAAATGCGCTTATACACATGCATAACCCACGGGTTCTCAGCTCTTACCAGGTCAAGCTTATCCTCGGCAACACTCCCCCCAGTCGCCGATCTAGCCCCTTCGTGAGCTTGGCACGAGGCCTGGCTGGCCCATGCTTCTGCGCGTTGACGGAGCAAAAAGGCTGCTAGGGTCTAAGTTTAAGGTTACTCCGCGTTCTGCTAACACAGAATTAAGGAATACGAGTGTAACCTAAGCATGTTGCATGTTGAGTACAAGCGCCTCCCCAGCCGCTTACTCAGGTCCCTCGTCTAAAAGGGGAAACAAAACAGCTCGACAATCATACCCTATATAGAAGCTGCTTCTAGAAGTAACTCAATTAAGTGCCACATTAAAGTAAATCATTTCTTTACTGGGTTCTTGGCTGGCGAAACACACCGCAGCTTTCTGTTCGAAGATCCACCTTGTCCATCAGCATGCTCATAACAGAGGGCCCCCCTAGGAACGCTCAGTAAACGAGCACGAGCTGGCTGACTTGATCCAAAACGGTAATTAAGAATGAAATACAGCAGGTGGTTGGATTCAGCGCGGTACTGTTGTGACATCATATAAGTTGGGCAGCACCTGGATGAGGCAGATGGAATTACCATTCTGCCACCAGTGGTCGTACTCGTACTGTACGACCCTGACAAGAAGGAGCCAGATTCGAGTTCCACTGTTACCGCCGAGATAGCGCTTATGAGTTAGCTCATTCAGCCCCCTTTGCCTCCATGTAGACCTTGATCATGGCGCATCACTGCTAGTTCAGAAAAGTGGCGCGGAAGCAATAATACCTATCCCCTGAACAGCAATGCAAAGCCACGGCTAACAGACGGGAGGATGCAATTGCTCGCAAGTATGGACCTGGTTCAGATGGAGCATTTCTATGAAGAGGCAACTTGCACAGCTCAAATCGAAGCATTTATTATGAAATGTTTCGTGACAAAGACACGTTACAAGAGAGATATCATGACTTTGAGGAGCAAAGTCCTAGAGTGCAGTATATGCAGCACGATCCCTGCAGAATACAAACCAGATTCCCTTTACAATTGTACCAGCCGCTTGAGGGCAAGCGATGGTGGATTCTGACCGTCAAAAGGATTGCTGACTACCTGCCGTATTGTCAGCAATTACTTCTGCTCATACCACTATCCTATTGAGGCACAAGTTTCATAGCCTCTCGGTTGTAACCTTCAGATTCCTCGTATTTTCTTCTCCCTTTTTTATCTGGCCATGTATGGATAAGGCGAAGCAGATTCAAAGGTTTTACCAATGCAAAGCGCCTACTTGATGACAGCTTACGGGACACGGTTAAGTATATAACGAGCATACGAGATACATATATTGACATATACCGCATCTACTATTCAACTTTCAATATGAACTGGGCCCCTTCATAGATCCATATCAACGAACCACCAGAGAGTGCAATGAGCCGACTCACTTGGCGAATATCTCCAAATTATTAATGATAATACCATTATCGTTAACGCGCATCGGTTGCCGCATTGGTAACAACATTGATGTCAGGATCTCTAGCGCTATCCCGTTTAGACTCAACTGCCATAAAAGGTAATTGCAGGGTCTAGATCCTTATGTCTTATAAGTCTGAAAATGGCTTGCTCTAGCAACTGCAGTTCTATTCTTTCACGGGGACGGCCGTTGGCGTCATGTTGATTCGGATGTGAAACCCGTGTGAGTTGTCTATAAGAAACAACAGCCGCTCCTCGTTATGCATACAGTTGCCCTTGGCAGAGGAGCCTTCATATTTGATGCCTCTTGGCTTGTTACTTATGCAGCGCACCGTGCTGAAGGACGAACGAACTATTTAGGGTACTCTAGGAAGTACCTACGTTGCTGTTTTCTGGCATCCCAATCCTCTCTGATTTCCTGTTTTCATAGCGGAGGCGATGGAATGCACGTAAGATGTACCCAGTCTGCGATGTTCTCTATAAAGACACAAAGGCTAGGATTGCCTGTTATACTGGAAACAGGTGACGGGCTCGTGTGTTATGACAGCGTTGATTGTATGAACCATACAAGGCAGGGCTAATGTATTGATATAGATGATATAATAGAGTAAAAACCAGCCTCTTGAATATGATTATGTGTATGATTACCTAAAGGTACGTGTTATGGAGATGTGTAGTTGGGTGTAATATTATGTTTGTCAAAAAAAGTCCATTCACTACAAGACTATTGGCATATATATTTCAACAATATTAATAAAAGGTCTCGGTTATTTATTAATACATCGGGGGCAGACCTCTTATATAGGTATGCACAATCTACAAAATCCAGACAGATCGGCCAGGGATACCCTACAACACCACATGTATGTATAGTGATGAGAGGATATTGATCAGCACCATGTTCTCAAAGAACAGATAATTATATTACCATATTTGGAAAATGTTTCAATGAATTAACGCGAACCTGTTCTTCACCAAACATTCTGCACAGCCTTACAATGTACATGTGGCTTTTTAAGCTACTCGTCAACAAATGGCAAGCCTGTTGCAACGGCACAAGAGGCTGATGTAAGTCGTTTCAATAAATGACCATTACCCTGATCTTGAACATTGCACGCTTGTTTCTGACTAGCAAGAATGCAGACCCGGCTGATTTGCACATGGACATGTAGCCATAGTGTTTGCTACTTCTAATAAGTACATGTATACTTCTATCTGCTGTACATGATCTGATGAAGCTCATTGTATGTTTCATCCCCACGCATCTTAAGTATATATTGAAAGATTGACTTAAACGCATGTACAGACACTCCCATTGGTAGTTACTTAGCGTACTCTACATCATGCTATTGGCTGTTGGGATACTTCAAGGCGCGGGCAAGGCGAATCACAGCCTTGCTTCACGCATCCCAGAACCACACAGAGTCCTCCGCGAGGGGCAGCCATACCACATGTACCTTACATTAACATACTTATGTGAGAAAACATTCAACGCGCAATCGTATGCGACTACGATTGCTGCCTGATCCCCGCAAAATTACGAAATACGCGCCTCGCTCTCGTCGACTTTACAGTTCCCAAGAACGCGAGCGTCTCCCAGCGATCAATCTCACGAATTCATTTAGTTTATATCCTCATAGCAAATTATGCGTCTGATTAATACCAGCACGCTAGAATTCGCCTGGTTCCCTAGAACTCCACCTCCACATGCAATCCTTTCCCACACTTGGGGCTCTGATGAGGTGACTTTTACGGATTTCACCAACCTGTCCACGAGAGCCAAAAAATCGGGCTTCACCAAAATCAAACAGACCTGCGAAAAAGCTCTCAAAAATGGCTTCAGCTACGTGTGGATAGATACATGCTGTATCAATAAAGAAAGCAGCTCCGAGCTGAGTGAGGCCATCAATTCCATGTTTCGATGGTATCGCGACGCGGCCATATGCTACGCCTATCTCGAAGACGCCCCCGATGACATGAAGCTACCGATAACAAGCTCTTCGTCGATTAAACACTGCAGATGGTTTACCCGTGGCTGGACATTGCAAGAATTGCTTGCGCCCAAGGAAGTTGTATTTTTCGGAGCCAAATGGACCAAAATCGGTCGAAAGACGGAGCTTAAAGAAATTGTGGAACAGATTACTGGAATTCCCTGCGCAATTCTTACCGGAGACATACGGTTAGACCAGACCAGCGTTGCAAACCGCATGAATTGGGCTGCAAAAAGAGAGACGACTCGTGAAGAAGACATTGCGTATTGTCTCATGGGAATATTCGACGTCAACATGCCCATGATATACGGCGAGGGCCGGAATGCTTTCACTCGCCTGCAGGAGGAGATCTTGAAGCAAACTCAGGATGATTCCTTGTTTGCTTGGCGGGCCAGCCAAGAGTCTGCATCCGAGGCCCCGTATCGTGGCTTATTTGCTTCATCGCCGAAAGAATTTGCCAGTGAGGCGACTTTCACTCCCTTTTTCACTAGCATGGCTGGTGCGTCGACTATACTCGGCAATGGGCGAATATCACTCAGCTGCGCTCTATACCGAGACGGCTTCATTGGCCTCAAGTGTTATCAGGGCACGGAACTCTCATCAGTTGTGGGCGTCCACGTCATTAACACAGGAAACAATCACTTTATACGGTCCATACCCTCGCAGTTGGCCTTAAAACCTCATCAATATCCTATTGCGTTTCAAACTGCTGTATTTGATAAGTTTGTCGAGATGAGGGAGCCGAGATTACTGAGCGACATTTATGAGCGCAATGAACTTTTTCTTGCTCTGCCTCCAGAAATACGGTTGATGGCCGTGTATCCCGAAGAGTACACAGGATTTCAGAAGACGATGAAGCTGCCAATAACGCATCTTGTCGGGAAAAAAGTTGCCTTTCGTATGGAAGTCGACAGGAAGGCATCGGGGGCTGATGTCTTTCAAAAGATTGGATGGGATGCCAAGGGCACGGCAGTTCTCCTACTGCTTTGGGTTGAACAACTCAGCACAACATTGTTTAATTACTATTTTGACCCAATGACCGTCAATGCTTGGGATGCCGAGTCAGAGTTTAAAGCTGCCGAAAGGCCTCCAGAAGCACTCGGTGCAAAAGAAACAGCCATTGCGTGGTCTACTATTTGTGCGACTGGAAGTCATATGATAGTGGGCGGGCATCAAATATTTCGTCTTCAGTTGAGTATTTCTACAAATGCGGATTTCAAAAAGACGGCGGTAGATGTTCTAAATGAAATGGAAAAGGCCGAAAAGCAAAGAGAAAGGGAATGGGAAAGGGAAATGAGAAGGGAATGGGAATGGGAATGGGAAAGGGAAAGAGAAAGGGAATGGGAATGGGAAAGGAGAAGGGAATGGGAGGAGGCTGAAAGGAGGTGGGGAAGCTGAAAGGGAAAGGTCAAGGGAAATGGAGAGGGAGAGGGTTGCTAAGAGTGCTCATGAGTTTAAAAAAAAAGGTGTTAGACAGGTATAGCTTCAGCGAGTTTTTCTTTGTTTTGATACTTGAAATTGCCTTTTATATCGCTCTTGGAATATTTCTATCCAAGTATACCAAGGTAGCATTATTGAAAAACAACTCATTCTCACAAACTGCAGATTCACCCGCCTCGGTGCAAAGTGCCTGGCACTGGTAGAGCGGGTCAAGGTCTTTTGGCCAAAAAGTGGTATCAGTAGAAGATTTCACGCCCAGACAGCTGAGTAAACAGCTTTGAGGCCCTCTGGCATCTTGGAAGCGACAGCTTATGAATGGGACGCTGATAGTAGCCAGGCATACGGATACATCATTGTCTCTGAATAACAAGCAGCAAACAGCACATACCACGCCAACGTGAGCCCAAAGAGTGTTCAAAACAGAACAAGTCAGTCGATTTTAGACAAGCTATAAGATGATATATATGTACACGTGCTCTCCCAGAAACACCCACGCCCAACCAATTTTCTTCATACATGTTTCATTTCAACGTTAATTTTCATTCTTTAGCTGCTCTCGGCCTGCTTCAGGAGACCCTCGAGGTTGATGCTCTTGGGGCGCTCAATGGGGAGACCCAGGGCGCGGTCCCAGATGAGCTGGGCGAGGGGACCCAGACCACGCGAGACACCAAAGGTGGCGGTGTAGTACAGGGTCTCGTGGAAGCCGTAGTGGTGGAACAGGACGCCGGAGCTGCTGTCGACGTTGGGGTAAGGGTTCTTGGTCTTGCCGTGCTTCTTGAGGACATCGGGGGCGATGCGGCTGTTCTTCTCAACCAGCTGGAAGACGGGGTCTTTGGCAATCGTGGGGCGAGAAGCGGCGTAGTCCATGAGAGCCTCGAATCGAGGATCGGGCTTACGCAGAACGGCGTGGCCGTAACCAGGGACGACACGGCCCGAGTTGAGGGTAGACCAGAGGTAGTCGTGGACATCCTGCTCAGTGTAATTGGCAGGGATGGCCTCCTTCATCTGGAGAATCCAGCGAAGAACCTCCTGGGCGGCAAGACTGAAGAAAAGGTTGTTAGTGGATAGTTTGAGCGTGCAAGTGGGCCGTGAGGGACGAAGAAAACTTACCCGTGAAGAGGACCGGCCAGACCCTGGAGACCAGCACTGTAAGAAAGGAAGGGGTCGCTGAGAGCACTGCCGACCAGGTGAGTGGCGTGAGCAGACACATTGCCACCCTCGTGGTCACCGTGGAGAGCAAGGTAGAGTCGGAGGAGATCCTGGAAGTCCTCGTTCTCCTTGCCGCCCTTGCCGAGCATGGCAGCAAAGTTGTAAGACCAATCCTGCTCAAGGTCAACCTCGGCAGGGAGAGCACCGCCGCCCCTGTAGGCGTTCTGGTAGATCTTGGCGGCAATGGTGGGCAGCTTGGCGAGCAGGGAAATGCAGTCGTCAAAGGTAGGCTCCCAGTAGTCAGCCTTGTTGAGGCCCTGCTCGTAGGCCTTGGCGAACTTGGACTCGTAGTTGAGGGCCGAGACGGCAATGGCAAACTGGGTCATGGGGTGCAGATCCTTGGGGAACTCGTCGAGCATCTTGTTGACGAAGGCGGGGATCTGGGCCTTGGAGGCGAGCTCGCGGGAGAACTCGCGGACCTGGTTGACCGAGGGGACCTGGCCGGTCAGGAGCAGCCAGAACATGGACTCGGGGAGCATCTCGGTTCCCGTCTTGCCCTTGGGGAGCTCCTTTTGGCAGTCCTTGATGGTGCGGCCGTGGAAGCGAATGCCCTCGTTGGCATCGAGGACGGATCCCTCCCAGACCATGGCCTTGAGGCCACGCATGCCGCCGAGGGTGTTTTCGACCTTGACCTCACCAATGACCTTGTTGCCATGGGCCTTGACCTTCTTGAGCAGCTCGCGCTTGGCGGGAATGACCTCCTTGAGGGTCGTCTTGAGATCGGGCTCAGCGGTAGAGTAGCATCGCGCGGCGTTGGCGAGGAGAGCAGCGCGGGTGTAGGGCTGTCGGGTTGCATTGTGAAGTGTCAATTGGGCTCTATTCGGGTGTTTCGATCAAGCAAATGGAGATTCCACTAACCTTGAAGGAGCGCAGGGCTCGAGCCGACGTGGTGAGGTTGAGAGCCATTGTGATGATGATGAGCCGAGCTGCTGATGGCGGGGCAGAAGCAGAGCTGCGGTTAGCTACAAGTACAAGTAGGTACAAATACCCAGAGCACCGGATGCTATCGCCGATAAGATTAGAGGGGGGACTTACAGTGGACGATTCGATTCCTTGCTTGCACACAACGATGATTAGGAGAGGGAGAAAGAAGAAGAAGAAAAACAAAGACAAGAAGGAAAAAAGAAAAGAACCGAGATAAAGTTGGACCACAACAAAAAAGCTCCTCACCATCTCATCTTTTCCACCAAGAAAGCAGCCAAGCCCGAGACCAGCAACGGCAGCCCGTCGTCCGTCACCGCTTTCCAAACAGCCGAAGAAAGCCGCCCGGTCGGTCCGTCGGTAGCCCCGCGCCGCGTGATTGGCCAATCTGGGTCAGCCGCGCCTGTATCGGCCCTCTTTTGGCTTGAGCCGAGCATCAACGCTGCTTGGAAACGAGGAAAATGGAGGCGGCAAACATGTCCCAAAGTGGCCAACGGGCGAAGTGACCGGGGGATATAAAGCAGAAAACGACTTCGAATCCCGCGACGCATACACGTTTGCCTCGGTAATCGAATATCGACCTCACCCTGTCCTTCCTGCTTCGATATCTCGATAGTGACAGCACCAGTATCAGAAGATGATGCGAATAGCTTCACGGGCTCCCCAGCGGGTGTGCTCCCTGGCCTCCTCTTCTGCCTCCGCCGCTCTTCGTCGATCCATCCCGTGCTCTGTTGCCGTCCGCGCCATTGCAACAACCGCTCTCATGGCCGCTCCCACTCAAACCATCGCTCACGCAGCGCCAGCCGACGCCTACCAGCTGCTGCCCGAGGCGCAAAAGGCCGGCCGGGCTGAAGATGCCCTCTATGAGGCCCAGGTCAAGGAGATTGAGGAGTGGTGGGCATCGCCTCGTTATGCCGGCATTCGACGCCCGTACAGCGCCGCAGATGTCGCCTCCAAGCGCGGCACCCAGCTCGTCAAGTACCCCAGCTCCGTCATGGCCACCAAGCTGTTTAACCTGATCCGCGAGCGCGAGAGCAAGGGCGATCCCATTCACACAAGTAAGTCATACCACGCATCATCGCAAAGGCAAAGACAACCGCTAACCTCTGCTGTCAACCAGTGGGCGCCATCGATCCCGTCCAGATGACCCAGCAGGCCCCTCACCAGGAAGTCCTCTACATCTCCGGCTGGGCTTGCTCCTCCGTCCTGACCAGCACCAACGAAGTGTCTCCCGACTTTGGCGACTACCCCTACAACACCGTCCCCAACCAGGTCCAGCGCCTCGCCAAGGCCCAGTCCATGCACGACCGCAAGCAGTGGGACGCCCGCCGCAAGATGACCGCCGAGGAGCGGGCCAAGACTCCCTATACCGACTACCTCCGCCCCATCATCGCCGACGGTGACACCGGCCACGGAGGTCTCTCTGCCGTGCTCAAGCTGGCCAAGCTGTTTGCCGAGAACGGCGCGGCCGCGGTGCACTTTGAGGACCAGCTTCACGGCGGCAAGAAGTGCGGCCACTTGGCAGGCAAGGTCTTGGTGCCCACGGGCGAGCACATCAACCGTCTCAACGCCGCCCGCTTCCAGTGGGACGTCATGGGCTCCGAGAACTTAGTCATTGCCCGTACCGATTCGGAGTCTGGCCGTCTCATCTCGTCAGCCATCGACGTCCGTGATCACGAGTTCATCCTCGGGATTGCCGACCCCACCATCGAGCCCCTCGCCGAAACGCTGCAGGCGATGGAGGCCAAGGGGGCCACAGGCGCCGAGATTGATGTCTTTGAGGCCAAGTGGGTGAAGAGCAGCAGGCTGGTGACTTTTGACGAGGCTGCCGTCGAGCACATGCAAAAGGAGGGCGTCGCCCAGGCCAAGATTGACGAGTATCTCTCCGCCACGGCCGAGGACCGCGACATGGGCATCTCTCGCCGCCGCCACCTCGCCTCCGAATACACCAAGACCCCCGTCTACTTCAACTGGGACGTCCCTCGCACTCGTGAGGGCTACTACCACTTCCGCGCCGGCATGGAGGCTGCCACCAAGCGTGCCCTGTCCTTTGCTCCCTACGCCGATCTCCTCTGGGTGGAAACCGGCGACCCCAACGTCGAAGTCGCCGCCAAGCTGGGCCGCGCCGTGCGTGCCGTCAACCCCGGCAAGTCCCTCGTCTACAACCTGTCTCCCTCGTTCAACTGGATGGCCCACGGCTTCACCGACGAGAAGCTCAAGTCCTTCATCTGGGACATTGCCAAGGAGGGCTTTACCCTGCAGCTCATCTCGCTGGCCGGCCTCCACTCGACGGCCACCATCACCAACGAGCTGGCCAAGAAGTTCAAGACGGACGGCATGAAGGCGTACGTGGAGGTTGTGCAGAGGCGAGAGAAGGAGCTGGGCTGCGATGTGTTGACGCACCAGAAGTGGAGCGGAGCGAGCTACATTGACGGCATCTTGGGTGCTATTCAGAGCGGCAGCTCCAGCAGCAGGAGCATGGGAGAGGGCAACACTGAAGGCCAGTTTGACTAGGCAAAAGGGAATACGGAAATGAGAATGGTAAAAAAAAAGGGGGAATAAAAAGATGGAAAAGAAAGAGTAACGTTATGCATATATAGATATATATGGGAGGCATTTGGACGGAGTTGGGTACATATCAAGTATTTCTTATTACATTTACAATTTACAACACATGGATCTGATTCATCACGGTGCTTTACACAAATTCCATTGCTTGCATTCCTGTATCTCTTTTTTTAACTAATCATACAAATCAACCCATCACTCCAGAGAAGACTTCAGGGCGTTGTTGGTGGGCGCCGGTGCCGCAGGTCCCTCGGCAGTGACATATGCCTTGCTCATGCCACCATCCACGACAAAGTCGCTCCCGTTGACGAAGCTAGCCTCGTCACTGGCCAGGAACACGACGGCGTGCGCCTGCTCCACAGCCTCGCCAAAGCGGCCCGTCGGGAAGTGCACCTCGCGGCGCTGGCGCTTGGCCTTGTCGTCGCCCAGCCAGTCCTGCAGCAGCGGGGTGTTGAGCGGCGCGGGACACAGGCTGTTGAAGCGGAAACCCTCGCGGGCGTGGACCATGGCGAGCTCGCGGGTGAGGGCGAGGACGGCGCCCTTGGAGGCCGTGTAGGCGAGCTGCGGGGTGGCGGCGCCGACGAGGGCGACGACGGAGGCGGTGTTGATGACGGAGCCCTTGGTCTTGTTGTTGCGGCGCAGGGAGAGGACGGCGTGCTTGCAGCCGAACCAGACGCCCTTGACGTTGATGTTGTGGGTGAGGTCCCAGATGGCCTCGGGGGTGTTGATGGCGTCGTCGTCGTTGGCGTGCATGATGCCGGCGTTGTTGAAGATGACGTCGAGGCCGCCCCAGGCGTCGAGGGACTCGACCATGGCCTGGACGTCAGCCTCTTTGGAGACGTCGCATTTCTGGCAGAGTGAAGATGAGCTTCGTGTTTGTCTGTGTGCGGTGAATGAAGAATGGACATACGCGAGTCTCTAGGCGAGGGGCCGCGGGGACGAGCTCCTTGACCTTGGCCACGGCCTTTTCCAGCGCGGGCTCGGAGATGTCGGCCAGGAGGACGTTGGCGCCCTCCTTGGCGAAGAGGATGGCCGTCTCAAGACCAATGCCTCTGTTTTTTTTTTTCATCATGATTGTCAGCACATGTTGGGCTCTCATGTGATGTAGACAGATGGATGTTGGACAGGCGAGAGAAGGGGATGAAGAGGATATTCGACTCACCCCGCGGCACCGGTGATGATGGCGTTTTTGCCAGCTAGACGTCCGACCATGATGATGATGATTTGGTTGTAATTATCGACAAGGGATTGGGTTAGTTGAATAAAAGAAAAAAAAAACAGCGGTCGAAGTGAGGTCGAGGTTGGGTTCAATTTATGCTTGGGCAACGACACTCGAAACGCAAGGGATTGGAGATGGAGGGGCAGTTTGACATTGACATTCCGTAATCTGTACTCCGTACCCGGTACTCTGCGGTACCTGATTGCCCATGGCACGGCGGGGTTCCCCTGGGGCTCGTGATGGGCAGAGAGACTCGACTCGACTCGACTCGGTCAATCGGTGGCAGGTCCACCAAGGCCACAAGTACGAGTACATGTAAATCTGGCCATCAAAGGGACGCCCTCTAATAGCATTGACGGGTCCAGTTGCCTGAAAATTACCTAAAACATTGAAGAGATAGCTGGCGGTGCTAAAAGTGCCTAGTCGGGTCTGTGAGAGGCACGAGAACGGGCAGCGTTTAGTGGCTCAGGGATGGAATTAACATGCGCGGATCCATCAGGAAGAGGACCCTTAGATTACCTGTACCTAGGTAGTACCTTAAGTACAGCTCCGACAGCGGTGGCCGAGGTACCACGCAAGTACTGTTCTGTGCTCCATGTGCAGCTGGTCGTGATGGAGAGAGCCGTCATACAACAGGTACCTTAGTACCTCATGATGGCATCTTTCACGCTCCGTGTAATGGCTGCTTCATGTGTCCAGTCCCTTATCATATCTACTAATCTACATGCATCTAATACTACACAATCCTTCCACTCTATGCACCGATAACCCGGTCCCAACTCTCCATGTCCATTCCATATCAATTCTCACCACCACCCACCAGCCATGATAAACCCCAACTGATAACGATAGCCCCGTCCAACCCCTCCATTGGCTCCCCTGTGCCCTGAGCCGCGGCCCCCGCAGCGCCAAACATGCCCCAAACATGCCATCCAGCAACCAACTTGCCCACCCCCCTCCAACTCCATCATCTCCATTCTGCATGTGCATCGCCAATCTCCAAGTTCGTCTGTCCTACGTGACATCTTCTAGAACCAGCACATGTTTTGATTTGGATTTGGATTATTCCTTTCTGGGTATTTAATCTGCGGGGTGTCTCGTCTCGTCTCGTCCTCACGCGCCTCGTCGTCTTCCGTCTTCGTTGTTTCGTCTTCAGTCTTCCAGCTTCCCTCGATAACGGCATGACTCGTTGATCTGCTTGCGACTGCGCCTCTACACCCCACCCTGTTTGACGCTCCAGCCTCTCTTGACTTGGAACGTCATTCTACAACACAGCAACAGCAATAACAACAACACTCGTTCTATCGAAATACCTTGAGCAAAACACCGCAACACCTACAGCTTCTGCTCTCTTACCTACGAGCACCTCTTACCATGACCACCAAACCCATCACCGCCGCCTCCCTAGAGGCCCTGCTCGAGCACGACACCAAAGTCAAGCTGGCCGGCCTCGACGTCGACGGAATCCTCCGCGGCAAGCTCGTCTCCAAGAAAAAGTTCCTCTCCATCGCCACCGCCGGCTTTGGCTTCTGCTCCGTCATCTTTGGCTGGGACATGCACGACCAGACGTATCTGCGCGAGCTCAAAATCTCAAACGCCGAGAACGGATACCGCGACCTGCTCGCCATCCCCGACCTCGACAGCTTCCGCAGGATACCCTGGGAGAACAACATCCCCTTCTTCCTCATCACCTTCCACGACCCAGACACGAAGCTGCCCATTTGCGCATGCCCGCGCGGGCTGCTGAAGACGCAGCTGGACCGCCTGCGCAGCAAGGGCTATGGCGCCATGGCCGGTGGTGAGCTCTCACCGTCACTGTTTTCACTGTCTCTGACGACAAGAGATGATGCATACTAACAACCTCTATTCCGTTTCCTCTAGCTGAATATGAATTCTACACTTTCCAGACCCCCGACGACTCGTCATCTCCCGCCAACTTCCTCCAGAACAACCCCCCGCACCAGCTCCCCTCGCTCACCGAGGGCATGTTTGGATACTCCCTCACACGGCCCGTCCACAACCGAGACTGGTACTACGAAATATTCGACACCTGCGAGGCGTTTTCCTGCAATGTCGAGGGCTGGCACACCGAGTCCGGTCCAGGTGTGTTTGAGGCTGCCCTCGAGTTTGGCCAAGTCGCCGAGATGGCGGACCGCGCCAGCTTGTTCAAGTACGTCGTCAAGAGCGTTGGCGCAAAGCATCGCATCACTCCGTGCTTCATGGCCAAGCCCAAACAGGGCCTCCCTGGAAACAGCGGTCACATGCACGTCTCCATCGTCGATGAGAATGGCAAAAACCTGCTGGCGAGAGAGACGGTTGACGAAAATGCGCCGTGGAAGGATGTCGCAGGGCTGTCAGACCTGGGACGTCATTTCCTGGCCGGTGTCTTGGAGGGTCTCCCCGACATCATGCCTCTGCTTGCGCCCACAATCAACTCGTACAAGCGTCTGGTCGAGAACTTTTGGGCCCCGGTGACCGTCTCGTGGGGTCTCGAGCACCGTGCCGCTTCTATCCGTCTCATTGCGCCGCCCACTTCCAAGGCTTCGGCCACACGGTTCGAGATCCGCGTGCCCGGCGCCGACACCAATCCCCACTTTGTCCTGGCCGCCGTCCTGGGCTGCGGCTGGCGCGGAGTCGAGAAGAAGCTCGAGATTCCGTGTCCGCCGCTGGCCATGGGCGAGAACGTTGGCGGCTCTTCCGACAAGGGGGCGCGATTGGCCAAGAGCCTGCGAGAGGCTACGACGAGATTCATGGCCAAGGACAGCATCGCAAGAGAGGTGCTGGGCGACGACTTTGTGGACCACTTTGGCGGCACCCGAGAGAATGAGATTCGACTGTATGACGAAGCCGTAACAGATTGGTAAGGCCCAAGCACCCTAAGAACCAGAAGACGTGCCTCTGTACTAACATGTCGTGTCCAGGGAAATGAAGCGGTATATTGAGGCCGTGTAAAAACGCAGACGGACTGGCGCAAGAGGCGGTTGAATGACTGAAAACGTTGCGTAGATGGCTTATGATTATCAACATTGTGAGATGCGTAGAATACCAGCGACGGAGACGGTTTTGGCTAGACTTTTGTCTTTTTCTTTTCCTCTTGGGCATGAGTAGTTGAATAGCAGTGTGGCAGAGTGTTTCTACGTGCTTTTTGTCATCGTTTCCCTCCCTTTTGGTCTTCTTTTTGTCTTGGTTTGCGCTCTTATTTTGCTCAAAGTCGCTCGAGAGACCAAAAGGGGGTATGTATGTGTGTGTATAGTCTGGGTGCTTGTTGACTTGCAGAGGCTCTTCATTGTGTCTTTTCCACACTCCTCGCCTTGGTAGCTTTGCCGCCGGGCTTTCTCGCCGATATAAACGTCCTATATCATGAAATCATCAGCATCATGCAAAGAGAAGCGGCAATACGATACACATACACTTTGATGCAGCTCCTGAGGAGCGGATCGTCATATTCTTGCATGACCCTTTCCAACAGGTCGCGCGTCTTTGCTTCCTCCCAGCCAGCGAGGCCAAACATTCTCAGCGTCCAATGGTTACAGCCTAGGGGATGGCAGCGTCAGAATAGTCAAAACCTATCACCAAGCTTCCACCGCGGGAAAAGACTCACCCGTCTCGAGCATCTTGTACAGAATCTCGCCCTTCTTCCTCACCACCGGATCCCGCGCCCAGTTGCGCACCGGCATCCAGTCCGATCGTTCGCGAACGCTCTCGGCGCCCAGCTCGCGCAGCCACGGCCTCACCTTTGGCGTCGGGTCAAAGTCGATGCCCTGGGCGGCGGCGATCTCGGCGAAGACGGCGCCGTACTCGATGGTCGCCGCGCCAATGGCCGCCCGGGGCCGCTGGTCCGTCTCCGTCTCCGTCCCGGCGGCGTCGGTGTCGTCGGACGACTCGGCCATGGGGTCCGGGTCGACGCCGAAGAAGAGCGGCGTCACCTCGGTGAACTCGAGCTGGCCGCCCGGCTTGAGGTGGTCAAAGGCCTGGACGATGAGGCGGCGCCAGTCGCGGATGCCGCCGCCGACCAGGTTGCGCAGGTGGATGAAGTCGTAGAGGCGCGGCGGCCAGTCCTCGGCGGCGTCGGCAATCTCAAAGGTCAGGTTGGGCGGCACCTCCTTGGGCAGGTTGGCGCTGCTCAGCTCGATGCCCAGCACGTCGACCAGCGGGTTGCTCTGGGCCATCTCCATGCCCCAGTGGCCGCCGCCGCAGCCGACGTCGAGGACGTGGAAGCGCGGGCTGCCCGGCGTCAGGAGCTCCAGCGGCAGCTTGGTAAAGGTCAGGGCGCCGCCGAGGCACAGCGTGAAGAGCTCGTGCTGGTAGGCCTGGCGCTGGTTCTCGCACGGGTCGTTGGGCGTCACCATGCGGCCCGAGCCGTGGTAGACGTGGCCGTACTCGTGGATCGGCGGCAGGGCGTCCTCCGAGGCGGACGAGTAGTTGGAGTTGGAGTCGCTGGCCGTTGCGTCGTCTTCGTCGTCGTGGTCTTCTTCTTCTTCTTCTTCTCCGTCTTCGTCTTCCTCGTCACGTTGGTGCTCTTCTTCTCCGTCTGTCTCTTCCGTCTCTCCGATGTCGGCATCATCATCATTGTACTCTTCACCTTGTTCGTGACCGCCGTCTATGATGACAGACTCGCCAGCAGGCGGCACACTTTCCACCGCCATGATCAATCAGTCGTTGCAACTCACCAACCGATATCGCAAGTTGCGGGTGTTGTCAACCAAGACTCGGAGCTCAATCCCCCTCCCAACAACAATCCTTTTCCAGCCGTCTTCTCCAGACTCGCAATCCCTGTCCACCCTGACTCGCTTCTTTTTCTTTGCTGGGCTGCTTATACCGTCCTTCAATACGTTCAACTGCGTGCTGCAATCAGAGTCGTATTGATGTGGACCGCCGCGGCGTCGCTTCCACCCGCCCTAATTTAGACAAAACCTGGAGCCGCGAGCCGTCTACCAAGTGTCATGTGTCATTTGTTCTTTAATCCTTCTGTCGGTTTCTTTTTCTCCCGTGATTTTTCGTTCCTGCAGATGGAATTTTCGCCGATTGCTTACACAGCCAAAAAAAAAAAAAAAAAGGCAGATGTTGTCTTTTCTCTCTTGGAAGGTTTGAAAAGAAGAGAAACGGCCCCCAACGTGGCAAGACAGCTGAAAACTGTCAACTGGAAGAAAACAGCCCGTCAGGTGATGTGTGTGATTGATTGTCAAGCGAGCTGAGAGAAAAAGTACAGTAGCTCCAAGGCCGCAATCCCTGTAGCTGTCGAACTTGTACAACCAGGGCTTGGAGCGAGGCCGGAATGTCCGGTGTAGATTGCAACGGGCACTTTTTCTTGCCGTTCTTGTTTTCCTTTTTCTTGATTGGATTGAAATTATCAAATGAAATGAAACGAAGTGAAATGAGAAATATCAGCCACCAATTTCCAGACGGTGGCAGTAGGTTGGGCTAAGAATAGAATGGAATCGAACGGGGTTTGATTAGCAATTGAAAAGCTGCGAGATGGGATGGAAGAAACAGGAGCGTGGGATTGGATTGGATTGGAAGGCTGAATAGAAGCAACTCCACGTGGACGCCAAGATGGGGGCTGTCGATGTGCCAAAGGAGAAAAATGTGATGAATCGGATTCACATGGGTCGGGGGACACGGGAAGAGGAGGAAGATGATGGAGGAAGAAAGATTCGCTCGCTGGCTGATGAGCAAAATAATGTAGTCGATATTAATCAAGGACGACGAATCAGCTTGATCAATGTTTTGTCATCTGAGTTGAAGGAGGAGGGAAAACCACACAATTGGAAAAGAAAGAGAAGAAGAAAAGAGTAAGACGATGAAAGAAAAGAAATCAATCAATAAAAACCCCCAATCCCCAAGTCTCAATTCCCGAGCTCATAATCCAGCCGACAGGGGAGGAAAAAAAAAAGGCCCGTCACGGTCACCCATCAGCATTCGGGATATGATCCAATGGTAAAAAAAATAAAAATAAAACAAAAAGACAAAGATGCAGGCGGAATTGGCCAAGCAATTGAACCTACCTAAGCAACGCAGCTCCGTCTGTCTGGTCGTCGGAAACCGGCCTGTTCCGTCCTCATGATCTTTTATTATTTTTAGCTGGATGAATTAATAATGTTGAATAATTTGTCAATGTTGTATTTTTGCATTGCTGTTTATTCCTGCTCATAAGCGCCCACCCAGACTCTCACATGATGCCATTACACGCAAGCAACCCATCATCAACATCAACAACAACAACAACAACTTCAAACACACAGACTCTTCGACACAACCCCATCATCATCATCATTCTCTCTTCTAACCTGCTGACAAGACTCGCCGCATCTTGCCTAAATCGCCCGCTGCCCCAACTAGATCCACCCCCCCTGTTCGTCGTCTCTACCTCGTGTCTTGATCTTTCAAAACCAACAAAAGCTCCATCGAGCTGCATCGTCACAGTTTGATCCATCTGAAATCCTTCCCGCGCCTTGGTCACAAACCCGTCACGACACGTGTTGCATAGGCGGCACAGCTTTAGTGGATCTGTCCAAGGAAAAGACGGGATTGGCAATGAAGAATTGATTCCATTCGTTTACCAGTTGGTTCATCTCACGACCTCAAAGAGCCAAGATATCAAATCACATACTCGCACTTGTACACACAACATCCTCCCCCAAACCCTCCCTGCTTCCAACCAATGTCAACCCATCCCAAAGTCATCATCATCATGCAGCCAACAAACTGTCCGTCATCGGCACAAACCTCACATCGCTCCATCCGTCCGTCCATCCAAAACATGCATGGACACACACGTGTGATAATGCCCGCAACAGTAGTCAGGGGCTCCCGTATCACTGGACGTCTTACTGTTACTACTCTGCCTCCATTCCCGCTCGTCACTTCACGGCAAAAAAAAAAAAAAGAAAAAAACACTTCACTTACCTATCCAGCCAAGCCAAGCCAAAAGAAGCACCTCGCCAAACAACATATCCGCTCATCCACCTCAAACGATGTAACACCAGCAATTCATTCAATCAATTCACAAAAGCAAAGTCATAAAAAAAGAAAAAATCTCCGTTAGCTCCAAAATCATCATAAAAAAACTTCCCTCATTCGGCATCGTCAAGCACGATATTCCATACACAACTCCACAACGGCCAAAAACCCCACAGCTCTCCCTCTCAATCAAGAAGCTCGCAAAGGAAAAGAAGAAGAAAAAAAGTTCAATATGCACATAAGACAGAGAAACCGCAAAGTACCCAATCCAATCACGAGTTTAGAAAACAAACAAGGGGAACAAATACTACCATGCAGTGCTTCCATGCATTGGTCTTGGTCTTTCTCCAGGCACCCGTTTCCCATACCCCTACACTGCAACCCAACGGAATACCACCATGGGAGGGAGGGAATCCCAAATGCTAGTACAAAGAAAGAAAGAAAAAGAAAACCTCCAACTCTTCTTAGACCTGGTGAGCCGATACGACACTCTCCTGGGAACGTCAACGCATTGGTTCGTACCCGATACTCCCCCCTCCGTCTCCATCTCCATGCAACAACAAACGAAATCCAAAGCCCCCCAATGGTGATCCTCCTCGCACGCTTCAAAGAATACATGTAAGCAAGAGAAATGCAATGCCACATCACGTACATACTCACCAACGCGAGTCCGGATACGCCGCCTTGGCATCAACATCAAACCTCCACGCATGACATCTGATGACAACCTGCATGGTGCTGTGCATACGACATCTAATCATCAACCGTCAGCCTCGAGTCCAACGTCAAACCACAAAAAAGCCAGTCAAAACGGTGGATCGTTGCATGAAATAAACTGGATTCCCCGTCAGTGCTCTACTCAACACGAAACAATGCGAGTCTGATGCTCATGCAACCTCGGCACCACATGATCACTCATACCGTTGCAACATCAGCCACCCGTCATCACATCACATCACAGACAAAGAGAGAGAGAGACAGACACACGACCATTGCCAATCAGAATCAACAGTTGTTGCAATTATTATGGAAGTTTTCCGCCTGCATTGACCCCCAAAAACGCCGGTGCTATGACGTGTCATAATATATCGAGAAAGAATCTTAAGCCTCCACCAAGTCGCCCACCGCAGTGTACACCACCCAAAGACTCCACTAAACCAGGTAAAAGAAGAAAGAAAAACAGGGGAAGAAAGGGGAACAAGAAGAAGGGAGACAACTAGAGAAAAGACAAAGAGAAAGAGAGAAGGGGAAAAAAAGCTGGCACAAACAACCGCCCTTGACGACTCATAAAACCCTTCTGTAGCTGGGTAAACTGCTCAACTTCTCTGGCTCTCGTCTTCCGCGTCAACCTCGTTGAGCCGCTCACCATTAAGAAACACGTTTAGTAGACAAAGCTGAACCCAATGAGTAGGCGGGGAAAAGACACCATGCCGGCCAAATAATGCAAAGAAGCACACATCAATCCTCGCAATAAAAAAGCATGCCTTCCGCCCATGTAGACCAAGGCGATGAGAACCACGACGCTCAACCGACCCAAGGTTCTTCGCCACATCATTCTCTCTCTTCTTCTCTCTTCGGCTCATCACCTTCACCTGTACATCAAAGGACGTGGACACACTTGGTGCCTCTGTCGGGTAATCGTGGCTGGCTTCACGAGCTGCTCTTCGCCTTTGCGCGTCCACCACGTCTCTCCCAGTGCTCCTCATCCGGAACGTATTCTTCGGGGTGAAAATCGGGATTTCCGTAGTGTGCTCTGTTCCATACGCTGTTCTTAAACGTGGTGCTCTGCGTCGTCTGGAAGACCGGCTCCCGGATACCAGTGCGGTTGCTCTCTTCATACTCCAGCTGGACGGGGCTGAACCGTATGTGGTATCCCGACGGGGAAGCCACAGGCGGTGCCGGGGGGTTTGAGGGGAGAAGGCTGCTAATGCTGCTACTCCTCGTGGTAGGGCTGGGTGTCATTGAGGCGTTCGGAGTCATGGGGCTGACCGCCACCGCAGAAGAGGGAGGGAGCGTCGAGGGCGGCGGTGGCTGCTGCTGTGACACCTCGGGATACTGTGGCTCCCAGGGGCCGGACTGCTGCGATGGCACAAAGGGTTCGCCGACAGGGCTGGTCGCCGGCGGCGGTGACGTCAAAGGGGACATGACGCTCACGCTCAACTCGCCCAATCCGCCCACGCCCAATTGACCCAGCGAGTTCATGGTGAAGCCCGGCAGCGTGTTGAGAAGACCCATGTTGTTCGCGAAAACCGTTGGGCTGATTGTGAGGCCGTTGGTGAAGCCGTCCACCCGGTGGATCTGTAGATCGGCAGAGCCAGAAGGCGCAGGAACGGAGACGGGTATGGCCGGCGGAGCGGGAGCCTGGACGGGCGGTGCTCGATAGAGAATGTCGTAGTGGTCGGGACGGTATAGCAGGTACAGCGTGGGCCCGAGAGCGGTCGTGTCCTGCGAGTTGGCCTCCTCCGGGAATCGGTAGCGGTTAACTTGGCTTCCGGGGCTGCGGTCCAGATACGCGATTTCCAGCACAAAGTCGATGGGCTTGAGCAGCAGGTTGGCCAGGCCAATGATGCCGAGGTGCTCAATCTCGCGGTTGACAATGTCGATGGCCTGCGAGCAGTAGTTTGCAATGCCGCCGAAATCAGCAGCAAAGTCGTCGTAGATGGCCGCGTTCGCCTTGAGGGAGGTGGCCGACAGTATGCGGAAGTAGTAGATGATGTTGGCCTCGATGGTGCTGTCGTTGAAGCGCTGGAGCAAAATCACTCGAGCCAGGCCCGGGTTTGCTATGTTGGCGGCAATGTCCCGCAGCAGGTTGTGCGCCTCTTCGGCGAAGTCTTCGTGATACTCGTAGCGGCCGATGTTGGAGATCATGTGGCCGAGGCTCATGAGGCGAGCCACCTCGCCCTCGATCTGGCCTTGGTCTCCGAGGTCGATGAGCTTTTCGTAGTATGCAAAGGCAATTGCTGCAGAGACAGTGGTCCGTCGTTAGCTTTGCACACGCCGTCGAGCTCGAGACTGGTGCAGCAAACTTACCGCGCCATCCGCAGTTTCCATCGCCCTTGATCTGGCGGTAGTGGGAGTATGTCTGTGGTAGAGCCTACGGCGGGGAAAGAAGCTGATCAGCATCCATGTTCAACATTTCCTTTTGCTCCTGTTTCTTCTGTGTCTTTTTCCCAGGCCATGTTTCCATGGCTCAATTCCGTTCGCCATGTATCTATTCCATCGGAGGGGAGGGGGGAGACGAACGATGGTCTTCTCGACATAGACAGGGTCGGCCTTTGCGTATTCCTGGGTGATGGCATCGCTGGGGGTCTTTTCGCCGACAAACGGTCCCTGTCGACAGCATCAAAAGCGTTAGCAAGCCAAGCTGAAGCCTATTGCGCCCTTTTGTCTGGGGAAGCGGGGAGACGAGGTGAGAGAGAGAGAGAGCCGTCTCGCAGTGCGAGACAAGAGCAGAGCAAACTCCGTTGGGATTGGGGAAGCGCTGGCCGTGATGTACAGCATCTTGCGCCAGGCCAGGCCAGCAGAGAAGACGAAGACGAAGACGAAGACGAAGACAAAGACAAAGACAAAGACAAAGACAAAGACAAAGACAAAGACAAAGACGCACCTCGAGGCCCGGCTGGAATCGCTCGGCCGCCGCCTGTTGCGCGGCCATGTCGTGCAGCGCCGAGTCCTGCTCCTCCATCTTGATGATTGGGCTGCCGGATCGATCGAGTCGCCGCCGCTGGGGCAGATGGTGGTGCTGCAAGACCGAGTGCGGAGACGGCGAGCTGTACGGATAGAGAGCACCGCAAGATGCTGGCCCGAGAGCGCTTCCAGGGCCAGCTCCAGCCGAAGCTCCAACTCCAGCGCCTCCAGCTACAGCTCCAAGTCCGCCTCCAGCTCCAGCTCCAGCTCCAGCTCCTCCAGCTCCAGCTCCAGCTGCTATGCCTGCTCCGCCCGTGGGGAACAAAAAGTCGAGGCTGTGGCCGGCGCCTAAGCCATACGGATAGGAAGCAAAGGACGAGGCGGAGTAGGGCGTGGGTTGAGGCTGAAACATTGCCTCCGGAGTGGGCAAGTTTTGTGTGAGAAGAAAAAGAACGGGGAGAGAGAGAGGGAGAGAGGGAGAGAGAGGTCGACGGCGAGATGAGTTTCGACGGATGGCGAGCTGCTGGGCTCTGCTGGGCTGCTGCTGGCGGCACAACAGCACACGGCACAGCGGGTTAGCGACAGCTTCAGCGCTCGGTGGAACACCAAGTTAGCGGGCGACAGGCGCTGGAACTGAACAAGCGAGAAGGGGGAGACCAAAGGAGGAGAAGAAGAAGAAGAAAAAGGACCGGCAGCACCAAAAGCTAATAATCTTTTTTTTTCTCTCACTCAATCTCTTTTTCCTTCTTTGTCCTCTCTACTTGGTATTATTATGGATGGATGGATCAAATCAAATCAAATATGGATGTATCTTCCCCAGTTAGCGGCGGTAGCAGCGGTTACTTGGCACGGTGGATGATGATGAGTGCAGCGACACTTGGTCAAGTGCAAGTGCAGGCCAGGGACAAGGGACCAAGACCAGTGCATGTACATGTATGCGGGCACCTGGTCGAGCGGGCGTCCATGTACCGGTACCTGAGCTCAGGTGCTGGGCTGGACAGGCGCGGTACCTGTGCCGTGCTGTGCTGTGCTGTGCTGTGCGATCAGTGCTCGAGGTGCGGTCCGGTGCGCTGGCGGAGGTGGGCCGCCCAGTGGATTTGAAGCGCTGTTTTGGGGCCCTGCTAGCGCTCTGGCACGCTGCTTCTGGGGCTCTCCGGGGGCGGGTTCTCAGCAGTCCAGGCCGGCAGATTAGCGAGCTTCGGCTGTGCCGTTTGCAGGGACCGGAACCTTGGAAGTCTGTGCTGGGTTCCAAGGTGGTGATGTTCTGTTGTCAACAAAGAGAGAGAGCTGCGAACCAACAGCCAACGACTGGACGCAGCGAGAGGGGAAGTTGTTGTTGATGTTGTTGTTGTTGTTGTTGTTGTTGTTGTTATTGATTAGGTGATCAAATAACGAGTGATCAAAGGGACAAGGAGAGAGAGATGGCGAGAGAGGGAGACAAAAGGTTGGGGAAAAGGCAGAAAAGAGAATGCGGAACGGTGGGTAGAAATTCAAAGAGATGGAAGTGATTGAGGCTCAAGCCGGGAGCGGGAGCGGGGAAGGCCTCGATTCAAGTTAACCAAAAGCAGACGGGCTCTTTGTTCCTGTCCGCTGCCTTGTTCTTCCGTCTGGGTGTTTTGATATCGAGCCTGTGCTTGTGGCGAGTGGCTGCCTGTAAGCCGAGTCTCACTGGGAAGAGAGAGAGAGAGGAAATAAGGCGAGCCAACAAACTATGGCAAGGACGGGGAGTGATGCTTTGTTCGTGATGGGGCTGTGGACTGGACATGCGCTGTCCTGTCCCGCTTCGGCGGAGCGAGCCTTGCTGTTTCTCGTCAAGATCAACTGCAACCGGCGATGCGGTGATGGATTCAATGATTGCACGATTTGATCAAGTGTCTCTTAGGCATCCGTGGGCTAGGGAACAGGGCATGGAGTGGCGGCGGGAAAAGGAAAGATAGACGACCGGACCAAGAAAGATGACAGCGACACCCGGCTTATAAGTACATAACACAAAGCATTGGATGTTGCAGACGCAGACGGGTTGCGACGTTGAAGCGCGTCGGGCCCCTGGCATTGGAACATTGAGCTCAAGCTGGCGATCACGCAGCGGGCGACAACCCCCGGGGGCGGGACAGGGCTGAGATGGAATATGGAGGCGAGGTTTGCCATGCTTCGTATACAACAGAGGTTCAATGCTTACATCTACATACGTCCCGTCTATTGTCTACACGTATCCCAAGCGAGTTTCTTGTCGGCGTCGGAGCAAGACGAGCGAGAGCTTCGGCAAAGAAGCTGCTCAAGTTCGGGCAAATACAGGGTCATGCATGTACATACAGGGCGGGCAGGGTGCGGGATGACCAAGGGCATGAATCAAACATTCAATCAAGATGGGAACTCAAAGCGATGTGATGGGGGTCAAGCATGGAAGAAGTCTAGGACTCGGAGCCTTGTGTGCGTGTGTACATGTGTGTGCGCGCGCGAGAGAGGGTGATTCATTCATTCGCCCAGTACGAGTACTCGTACATGCATCAAGTATCTCGTTCCAAGACCTGGGTGCCCTATGCAAACGGAGACCAAAGGCATAGAATCAAATGTTTGCGGTCCTCGCAAGACACAGGCACAGCTGTTTGACGGCCTATTGGTGCGCGTCAGGGCTGCAGGAACAGAACTGGAGAGTTGCAAGCAGGAAAATCAACTAGCAGTTGTCGACCAACTACAATCCCGAGCCCGTCCATCACCAGAGGCAAGAAGAAAAAAGAGAGGGAGAGACTATCCGGGGCTGGGAGGGCGATCTGGTCCCGGAGTGGACAAGGTGAAGGGCAACCAGGGACCCATGCCCGTGGTGTGCTCAAAGAACGGTGAGAAAAGGGCATGGCGTCGACGGAGAATCAGTTGAGCGCGGACCGAGGCGAGGGTCTGCCTCCAAGTTTCAATACATGTACAATGAAGGCCAAGAATGATCGAGTCCGGGCTAGTCGTGATGCGTGCTAGTAGGCAGAGGTGACGATGGTATAGGAGGCACATACGAGTACTCATACATGTATGTGCGTACATACAGCAGCCAGCATGAGATGGAGGGAATATCCTGGAAAGCCCAGCCGTCAGGTGGCTGGCTGGAGGCACAGGACCCTTGCAAGCTTTCAACGTGCCCGTACGTGTAATAATCCATACATGTGCATACATGTACTTGTGGGAATACATGCACATGTAGGTACGGAGTACCATGTGGTGCTCGGTGCAAAGGAACATTGAACCCAGCAGGAGAGAGAGCTCCATCAACATCATTCAAGGAGGGGAGAAGAGGTTCCGGAGCGGTTGAATTACATGTACGGAATACTGGAGCAGCATCTGTACCCTGGCCTGGCAGGCGAGCAAACAAAATTGAAATGGGGGGGGGGGGGGGGGGGGGGTGGCTGAAAAAACACCAACCAAGCAATCATTAAAAAATAA